AGCACTATAGACTTTGATATATCGTGGTGAACTATTCGAGTTAGCTTATTATCCATCAATGCTCTGTCCTGATGCATGATCTTTTATAGTGTACGCAGACAAAATGGGACGCACTCCGACTGAAGGACAGCACACATTCTTGCTGCAATCAGGTCCGCAGCCCAATCTCAGTTGGCCGCCTGTCCCGGATTGTCGAATTGTAAGCCGTCCTCGTGCTCAGTTGCTTCTTCGAAAGTGCTCTCGTGAATACACCCAGTCGACACTCATGGGCGATGATTGACTGAAACACCGAGATCATGCTCCAAACGACCGTGACGTTTTGACGTGAGAGTATAGTGAATAAATTCGACCACTTGGACAGCTTCCACGCAGCGTCCGAGCTGTCGACATCAAGGTGATCGGGCAGCCCGAGTGGCTTTGGTGCCAGACATCCGGAGCATACTTGGGATATGTTGAACTCGTTCATCGGAAACACTTAGAACGGACCTCAAGGGACATGGTTGATCCTCTAGCGGCGGAGGTGATGGTGGAACTGCCAGAAATATCGATCAAGTGCCTGTGTTGGTGGGCGCGAGACGCATCCCCTCCGCTGTTCACAGAAGATGGATGGCCACTGGGCGATAGGCGTGTATCCCTATCCAAAAGAATATACAAAATCAATATCTTCCGTTTATTTTGGGAGTGCTGTACTGTGACTCTGTCTTTGTTACTGCCTGTCCATGCTGTGTCGCTTGTCAGCGGTTCCGCGTGCAATACTCTGGGCTGTATATTTGTCCGATCACCTCCAACCACCCTGGTCTTGCAGACACCTCAGCCGCCCCAACCATCTCGAACATATCGGATTCACATAGACGTGCTTTTACCTTGATTTTTACCTTGCTGCTCAACCCTCTCCGGTGTGCTTGTCATCAATAGTGCGCCAGCCCCGGACTTGGAGCCTCAAGGATGACACCCGGGTCGGGTGCGCCGTTGGCTGGGTCTGTCTGACGACCCAATACTCCCAGGCCTCTCTTGACCATACAACGAGAGCCAAAAGCATAAAAAAGCATTGATGTGGCGTTTCTGGTGCAAAGGGCCATTTTCGGGCGTGGTGGAATGACGTCTAGAGAACAGCCACGCAACAGCCTTCACGGGTAGTCCCGATCACACCGAAAGCGGCAGCCGCCGCGGCAGCGCTTCGAGCGCAAAGGCAGCATACGTGGTGCGATTGGCCGAATAATTGACTGTGATTTGATCTCGGGCGCCAAAGCGTGGACCCAGTTGAATACAGCCGAAACAGTTGCTGATCCAGAACTTGGTGAGGGGCAGCTCAGACAGCTCACTGTCACATATGGCTACAAGCGACGACACACATTTGGCAGCTAGGCTGTCACCCGAACCGAGGTACATACGATGAGATAGAGAACAAAATACGTGCCAGCTATTTATGAGCGATGGTTATAAGATGGGAGGTGCGGCTGGAAGCCTGGGGAGCGCGGATGGCAGGAGAACGCGATGACAGGTGGTTGGGAGGGGCGTAAAAATATGGCAGTGTTTACAACATGTGGCGGTAGAATGGAGCATAGCGATGGTTACAAGACGTGGTTGTGGAATATGGCTCATAATGGGACGAATAAGGGTGACGGCGAAATGTAGTGGCGGACGGAGGCTCGGAATGTGCTCGGAATGTGCTCGGAATGTGGCTCGGAACGTGGCGCGAAGTGGGCGACAGAATACGGTGGTGGCGAAGGGAGCGTTTTGGCGAGCAAGGCCCGAGTCGCGAAACATTCGATAGCCGTGAGAATTGGCAAAATGAAGAGAACGCGCCTTTCCGGAAGTTACGAGTAGAGGGTGAAGGAAACGTCAATATCGCTTGCAGTGGGTCGAGTGCAATCAACCGAGCGAGCAATCTGGACGGTTGCCTCGATATAACGCATCGTTCCGATGGCAGCCCCACATAGGCATCGCTCTAGCTAACAGTCCATATGTATATTGCTTCAAACAACACTCCAGGCATGTGAATTGCTTTGGCCAGAGAGCAGGACGTGCGAGCGACCAAACACGAATCCGACCGCACCGGCAGGTTCGTCGGCAAAGTTGCTTGGACAGCAACACCCTTATAGGCCCCTATTCAATGAGATCAGCGAGCCGCTCTGATTGTTACTGAGCTGCATTTCGTTGGCTCTGTTCGCCCCCTCCGCCACTTCCGGGTTCCCACGTCATGAACGTGCGGTTGCTGTTGCCGAGCATCCGATGGGCGGCATCACTCGCTTCGCCACACCACACCTCGGTTTCGCGTCTCGCTGTTCCCTCGCCGACAGCTTTCCTGCCACGCATCGGCCCGAGACTGCAATCGCTGCTCCTCTGCATCTCGTGCACTCCGTCACCACTCTCATTCCCTCTGTGTGCACTGACATGTTCATCACCCCTCATTTCTGCTTTGTCGTTTCGCTTCTTTGTGAATCCGCTTCTTTGTGAATTCGCTTCTTCAGTAGTTCGTTTCGTTGCTAATTCGCTTCTTCGTTGCGCACTCCCTCCGCTTTGCATATCCACTCGGCCGAGTCCGATCAGGATCGCGATCGAGTGTGCGACTCGCTCGTGGGCTGACAAGAAACCAGCTCGCTGGCCGGTTGCTAAATCGATCCTCCGCCGGCCCTCCATCGCGAACTCGAGTCATCCTGAACTCGACCGTCGCCAATCGACCAGCCCATCCGCTTCACCGGATTGAATCGTATTCCAACTTCAGGAGAGCGAGGCTGGCCCGATATTGTACATGATCTGTCGGAATCAGAGGGCTCAGCATGTCGTTGATCCGTCGCTGGGTTGAATCATCAGTGTTATCGGGGGTGTGAAGGATTCACTGTATTCAATTCATTGTGGAGGAAGGGACATGATTCAAATAAAAATGTTAAGCATGTTCTCATGCGATATGAATATGCTAATTTAAATAATTGTTTGGGTCAATGGGATATTCACTATGATATGATACTGTATCCGACTGACGAGAGAAAGAAGTTGTGTCGATAGGATCGACGATGACCAGTGACTTGAGCATCGCAGGTTAGGAATTGATCTTGATAACCGTCTGAATAGTTTATTGCTTATGACTAATCCTCGATATATTCCGGTTCCGAAGGCCAGGTGTTTGTTTCGAGAGGTGAAGGGTGAGAGAAGTTGATGCTGTAGCCGATAAACATCCACCCAGTGGTTGTTGTCGTTGTTGTTGCCGTTGTTGTCGATACCGTGGGCGGATGTGGTGTTGAGCCGAGCAACATTTGCGATCGAGCCAGTCGATGCCCGTTGAGAGACGCCACCGATGGTCGTCGAGAATCGTCGTCGATGATCGGGAGGCATCGCATATTGCACATATCGCATACATCAAACAACCGCACACATCGCACATTCCACGCATCGTATCGCATGCATTGCGCATGTGTTCATCGTCAGCGGCAAGTGCAGTCGTGGCCCGTCCAGGAAACGCAGCCAAGCGAGGTTATGTTGACAGCAGATCCAGGAGAGAACCGCCGTTGGCAGGTTTTGTTCCCGGTCGTGAAGCAATTCGTTGCATCGTGCCATCAAAAGCATTGGATGTGCCGATCAGATATAGCGCCAGCCAGGCCCAGATATCCGCCAGCGGCATCACCCAGTGACATTCCCCAGCGGCATTCACCAACCAGCCATGGCCCCGGTCGATGCCAGTGCCGACCCCAAAGGACGTTGTCGTGAGAGGAAGCGAGCCGTGCCGGTTGATGTCCGGTGTCAATCAAGAGCAGGTGGTGGCGGGCCGTCAATGAAGGGGGGGGAGAAGCGGCAGTCAAGGAGCGGCGGTATGGGAAAGGGACCGGAGGAAGGAGCAGAAGAAACGGGAAGGAGCAGAAGAACCGAGAAGGAGCAAGAGAGAGCAGGCCGGAGGCAGAGGAGGGCAAGACAGAGGAGGGCAAGGCAGAGGAGGGCAAGGCAGAGGAGGGCAAGGCAGAGGAGGGCAAGATAGAGGAGGGCGAGATGGGACCCAAGACAGGAGGGCGGTACGAAAGGGAGTCCCATGTCGAAACAGGCACATAAAGCGGCAGGTAATTCACGAGGGGAGATGCACATGCAGATGTGAATGTACATGCATATGCAAATGCACATGCAGAATGGCAAACAGGAGGTGTGCAGGGCGCCGGATGAGCCGTCAGATGTCATGGCCCATGGATGATCGGGAATCGACCGTTTGGTGTGGATTGAATCGACGAGCCGACAGTGAGTTGCACATAGGTCGACAGCCGACGCACGGTGATACCACAGCAGATCGGCCGATCGGGCAGCGAGGATGGAAACGTCGCCATAAGATGAGGATCGGGGACAGAGGATGCAGTTGGCCAAAGAAAGTACAGGAATGACAAGAAGTGCAGGGGTGAGGAGAGTTATGCATGTTGACATCGCAAATGCATGGGGGGGGGGAAGAAACAAGGAGGAGCCGTCAGTTACCGATGCCACACTCCCCTAGCGATATTCTCGTCCCTCGGCGTTGACTCTGTACTCTCCGCTGCTGATGAATGCAGCGACCAACACAACAGCCCGGACACAGCAGCCGGCGAACAATCGACCCGCCTCCATGACCAAGCGACACCGCCAAGAAGGATGACAATGTCGGCACCATCGAATCCTGATGGCCGTATTCAGGTCCGCGAATCATATGTGCTACGCTGGTGTCTATAAGAATGCTTCAAATGCTTCGGATGCCTCAAATACTTCGGATGCCTCAAGTGCTTCGGGTGCCAGCCGGTCAGCAGCATCTTGAGGGACGCAGAGATGCAGGGGGCACAGGAGCACAGGAGACGGGAGCGGCCGCTCCCGATGCATGATCGGCCCGCTGTGTGCCAACGAGGTCAGCTCTCGCTGTGGTGTGCTGGTGCCTCTGGTGCCTTTGGTGCCTCCGACTCTTCCCTGGAGCTCCTGGTGCTTCCTGTGTTTCCTGTGCTTCTGGTGCTTCTGGTGCTTCTGGTGCTTCTGGTGCTTCTGGTGCTTCTGGTGCTTCTGGTGCTTCTGGTGCTTCTGGTGCTGATCTGGCCGTCGATACAACGGCCGAGGCTCGATGTTGCTTGGCGGGCCGAGAATCCCTGGCGGCTTGACGTGCTGCTATATCTCAACGGTCTGGTGTATGTTGACAGCGATCCGATCGTAGACGTCATGCCGGCTGCGACCTCCGAGGCTCGATACTACCAGATACCGCTCGATACTGCTCAATGTCGTTCGATGTTCGACCGTGCCATGCCGAGCTGCCGAGCTGCCGAGCTGCCGAGCTGCCGAGCTGCCGAGCTGCCGAGCACCCGACCATCGTGAAACGTACCTGGGATGCCAATAAACTTTTGCCACTGGAACGAGGTGAAGGAGTCGGAAAAGACGTGTGCTCGGCTGTCGCTGCAAGACGCAATCCAGATGCGATCGAGGTGGAAGGTTACGAATGGGATGGTGTGTAGGGAGAGACGCAAGAGCCGCAAGCAGCAGTGTTAGCGTGCGCAGGAGGTGATCGGCAGAAACAGCCAGTCTTCACACTGCTGCGTCGAAATTGGAGCTGCCCATGATCGATCGGATGCAATGACGCATTGTGCGTGGCAGTGCGCCGAGCCAGCAGCCGAATCAGCAGCCGATCGGCAACAGCATGTGCTGAATCACGCCAACAATGTGCATATTGTGGCTGGACCGCCAGGCGGATCGGGTGGCGTTGGGTCGGCGAAGATCAAGCAAGGCGATAAGCGATGCGATGAGCAGCGGGGCGTGCAATGAAACGGGTAACGAGACGGGCAAGGGGGATCGAGATACGGTCGTGGCGGCGATACGGATGAAGAGTCAACAGAGCGGCACGTGTGGGTGCGATGTGGTGCGGTACGGATGTGTGGAGATACGGATGTGGATGTGGGCGAATATGTCGATGGGTTGTGGGCGAATGTTGTCGATCGGTTGTGGGGTTGGGACGTCAAAAGGACGGAAGGAGCGGGCGGCACGAGGAGCAGCCGAGAGGAGTGCGAGAGCGCAGAGAGAGGGCCACGACTGCAAGCGAGAGCCCTGGCGAGAGCGCGGTGACAGCTGTTGGGCTTGTTTGTCACCGTGGCGCGCCTCATGGCAAGAGCCATCTCGACAACTGCTCCAGATTACGGTGACAGCCACCACTCTGAGCCAGAGTGGTGCCGATGACGCCAGCGATGCCATTAGTGTCGGTGGAGCGACATCGGGGTATCGGCATACCGTCGCCCCGGAAGGACTTGGAGAGCCATGGCACACAGTTGACAGGCGCCAAAATGACAGCCAGGACTGCTGTCGCCCGATGACAGGACCAAGTCGACAGCGGGGTGCCCGGCAGCGCGCTGAGTGCCTCCAACCATGAGTGGTGGGGATGGCGGGATGGAGGGATGGAGGGATGGCGGGATGGCGGGATGGCGGGATGGAGGGATGGAGGGAGGGAGGGAGGGAGGGAGGGAGGGGAGGGATGGAGGGATGGCGGGATGGAGGGATGGCGGGATGGAGGGATGGAGGGCGATGAAGCATGGCAGACGATGGTAAAGAAAGGGGGGCCGGGAACTCTGATGAATCGAAGCAGCGTCGGTGAAGCACCAAGACCAAAGGTAAGGCCGGCCCAATCGACGGATGCGACCAGATCGACGGTGCCTTTGCAGCTTCTGCAGGATGATAAGTGTGTGGCTCTGGCCATGCTTGCGACAGCATCGGAGTGCGACTGCAAGTTGCAGTGCACCAGACTGCAGCCGCAAGTGTCCAACAACCACGCCACCACATCCGAGCCGGCCATCGCTGGCGGCAACATCTCGGCGGAGCCACAAAGCCACCCGAGGAGAGCAAAGGAGCGGGAAGCGCGGGGAGAGGATGTAGGGGATAGGGATATAGGGATATACGGGATATAGGGGATATAGAGCGGAAGACGGTGAAGAGGAGAAGGAAGCAAGCGGAGCTTGGAGGCGGGCTGAGGGAGAAGAACGAATGCAGATGGGGTGGGCGCAAGGAGGGCTGGCACCGTGCCGATCCATCGCCGATCCATCGCCGATCCATTATCGATCCGCCATGGTCGATTTCCGACCAACTTGCAGCCGCCTTGGAGCTGTGCCGTCGGACTCTGGACCTCAGAGCATGCTTCTGCATTGGCTGCTTGACATGAACAGAGCCACCTCTCCCCCAGCCGGCACAGACAGGTCGACAATCGACCCCAAACGCGGACACTGCCGCACCACACCCCGCACCACAAGCCTGCGTCACAGGCCTGCATCGTCACCTTGTCAGTCGTGGCGGCCCCGGCTGCACAGGATCGGCTTGGAGATTCGGGCACTCGAACAGCACAAACTTGAGCTTGTAGTCGCCCTTGACGCGGATGTTGATCTCTGGGAAGATGAAGAGGACCACCTCCTCTCCCATTTCGTTGATCAGGAACTCGCTATGGGCGACACACTTGCCGCACAGCGTGCGCACTTGTGATGTCAGAGGTCGCTTGGAGTTGCTGCTGCTGCTGCTACTGCCGCTGCCTCCGGATTGCTCGAAACGGGCCTCGTGTGGGAACCGCAGATGCGCACGGTCGGACTGGGAGTGGTATTGAACGAGCGAGCGGTTTTCCTGCTCGTCGGTCGACCAGAGCTCGACAAAGAGGACAAAGTTGGCCACTTGCTGGGCGAGTTGGTGAGGCCTGCGAGGATAGACGGCGAGCGTGCGGTAATGTGGATGTGGGAATGTGGGGATGTGGGGACGTGGGGATGTGGGGATGTGGGGATGTGGGGACGTGAGGATGTGGGATATGGGGAAGCGGAAGCGAAGTGAATGGAATCAAGAGCGTCAGCGTCAATGGTATTGGTGTCGAACCAGGGCTGGCATCTCAGGAGGGTGCAGGATGCAGACGCCGTAGCAAGCCGGCCCCGCAGCTGGGCTCGGCGCGCGAACTCGACAGGATAGGATATGGCAGGACGTGGCAGGACAGGACATGGCAGGACAGGACATGGCATGGCATGGCATGGCATGGCATGGCATTTGATATCGAGGGACTGTAAAGTCGCGGGCGGGAAACGAGGCGACAGAATACGGAGGGAAGGGATGTGAAGGAAGGGAGCACGGGGAATAGCCGCTGTCCTGCGATACAAAGCAGGAATACGTGCGAAGGGTAGAGAGCAGAGTGCAAAGTGTGGGCGAAGAATGTTTGCCAAGAGTGTGGGCCGAGTGGGTGGGCCTTCATGAAGTTGCGCAGGGCGCAGCCACACACCATCGCATCCGTCCTGAAATGATGTGATGCAATGCAATACGATGTGATGCAATGTGATGTGATGTGATGCTACGCGGCGCAATGCAAGCCAATGCCACCGAATGCAAACCAATGCCATCGAATGCCGTCGAATGTGAGCCGATCTCGAGCCATGCCGGACCGTGCTGGGCCACGCTCAGCAAAGCAACATTGCCCAGCCGAGCATGTGCCGAACGAGACTTGCTCCGTCGACTTGCTGGCTGGCGGTCTCGGCCGCGGCCCTGTCCTGGCCACAGTCTCGACCACAGCCCAACCACAGCCACACGAGCCAGCAATCTGGCCTCATGGCCAACACCGGCGGGAGTTTGTCTGGGCGGCAACCACAGCCACAACCACAACCACAGTGCCGCTCTACTCGCCTACTCAGGATTCGGTCGTCGGACTGCAGATAGAGCAGCTGGACTACCGGTGGAGGATCGATGGCCCGCTTCTCGTGCTTCTCGCCGAATCCGCAGCATCGTGCCACTTGGGGCTGCTGAATGACTTTGAGCACGTATCGATCACTGTGGTGAGATCGTGACGGGGCAGGTGTGGTTGGTGTGGTTGGTGTGGTTGGTGTGGTTGGTATGGTCGTTGGATGTGGTGGATGCCGCCATTCGACGTTGTTATCGGATGTCGATGAGTATCGAGTGGCAAACATTGATGGATATCGCGTTCAGTGCGCCATGAGGCCGGTGTCGACAGTAGTGGCCGGGTGGGTGGCGAGTTTGGTCCCGATGTCGAAGCGAGCCAGGAATCCGTGTGGAGGCCATCCAAGCGATCCCGGCACAAATCGAGTGTCGGTGTCGGTCGAAAGTCAAATCGATTGTCGGGATACATTGTCGAGAACACACAGCCAAGCGCACATTGTCGAGAACACGCAGCCAAGTGCACATTGTCGAGTGCATATCGTTGGCACCACCAGGTGTTGACGATTCATCCGAGTGCCGTCCGTTCGTTTAAGTGCAAGTGTCGAGAGTGTCCGTGGGTTCCAATGGCACAGGCAAGCGCCGGGATCGAGCCGGGTCGAGCATTGAATTGAGCAGAGAGCCGAGCATCCACAGGATCAAGCCGTCACCAATTCGCGATCACCGACCGCCGACCATCGAACATCGGCCGTGCGAGAACATCCGGTGCCGCCGATCAACCACGCCCACCCAGCCGTCGCCGCAGCAACACATCACACCACACCACCATCCCATTATCATCGCAGCAGAGACGCGCCCATCGACCCGCCAGCCCGAGTGATTCGTGTGCCAGGACAACCAGGATCAACGGCCACCAGACACCGGACCAGAGGAAGTGGGTCGTCACAACAGCAAGTCGTCACAACAGCAAGTCGCCGCAACAGCAAGTCGTCGCGATGGCGAGTCCGCACCAGATTCCAGACCCATGCCGTGCCATATCACACATCGCACCAACAGCGTATCGCATCGCATCGCATCGCACCCATCGGCGAGCCACAAACCACATTGGCGCAGACCGTTCAACGAACCGCGTGGTCGGCAATCGGCAGTGATGTTCGCGAGCAGTCCATAGACGGGGAGTGAGGACAGAGGAAAGAAGCAAAAACACACAGACACAGGATCAGCTCAAGGCCTCGTTTGCAGATGATGGGGGAAGCTGTCTCGAGGCCGACTCGCAGCCATCTCCTCCGCCGTGGTGGTTGTTGCTGCAGTAGTCTGTCGTTCCTCGGCGGGATCGTCTCCGATATCGAGCGCTGGCCCTCGTCGTCGGGAGGTGTCGAGCCATCGGATGGGCGGCCAGCCAGAACGCAGCGGCAGGCGTGGTGTGGCCGAGCAGATCGTGCTGGCGATTATCAACGGACGAGAGCCTGCCGGCTGTCGGCTGTCGGCTGTCGGCTGTTGGCTGTCGGGAGTCTTGGGCAGCAGCACCAGCTCCAGCTCCAGCACCGAGCCAGACTGACGATGACCGAGGAGCAGTTGCCTGCCAAGGCAAGACGGAGGAGCCCGGCAAACGAGTCGTCCTGGCCAGTCGTCGGCGCCGAGCCGACACAGAGGCGGGGTGGCTGCCTCGAATCGATGATGAAGCAATCGGTCTCGGTCGAGACCGACGGCGGCGACAGCGGGCATCCAACACAGCGAACACAACGAGCACGGCGGTCGGCGACCGGCATCCATCTGTTACTTATCCAACTGACTTCCCAGTCCACGACGCTTACCGTTGCTGTTCCGGCAATTGGCCTGCGGTTTCGATGGGCTCGGATTTTATCATTTCGGGCACTTTCGAGCTGTCGGGACGACTGAATTGGGGTTCCTTGGCAGTCGATTCCTGGCCTGGGGTGCTCATAGGCTTGTCGTTCCTGGTGTCGAAGCGAGTTGGTGAAGTGGAGTGGCGGAACGTTTGTGCCCGCTCGCAGGAATGCAGATATGGGTCTGGGTGAGCTGCTGTGGCGCGAATCGTCACAGTTTTCCAGCAATTTCGATTGCTCTGGGCGAGATGTGCGATGCAGCTCGCGACGAGGGACGATCGCGACGACGAAGGAATGAACCCAGCGGCACCGGCCGTCGCAGGGTGCTGCCCGTCCTCCTTCCTCGGATGTGGCCCTCGTCCTCGCTGGCATTCCTGGGTGCTGGGTCCTCACAGACTCACAGTTGTCTGCTTGCAACTTGCTCGCCTTTGTTCTCGCCCTTGTTCGGGACTCGTCCGTCTCGCTTGTGCCGTGGTCGTTCTTGCTGTGACTGTGTTCGCCCTGCCCTCAGTCCCGTGCTTCTCTTCCCGCGTCGCCGTGGGCTTCCCCTCCCCATTTGGAGACACCAGTCCGCTCCGCCAGTCACTCCTGCACTCTCAAATCGGGCTGGCCCCAGGCCGGCTGTGTTTGTCTCCGGCCGAAAGCCTCACCCGGCCTGCGGGCCGATATGCAAGCACAGACACACGGCTCTCCTCACGGGAAAGCATCCGTGACCATCGTCACCGGCGTGCGTGGAATTCGGTCCGGCCTTGGGCCGTGGGCTCTGATCTGGTCTGTCAGCTCGTGGCTCGTCGGGCTGGACTGCCGCTCTGGTCACCTTATCACACATGGTGGTGCACACTCCGACTTGCCGCTGCCTGTCCCCATCGCCAAGGTTGCCTTGCTCGCTATCCTTTTGCTGATGTCTGTGGCCTCGGACGGATCTCGGTGCGGCCCCCCCCCGCTCAGAGTTGCGCTGCTGCGGAGAGGCCGCTCGCATCCGCTCGGCGGTGAGAGGTCTTCCAGGGGCGACGAAACGGAACGTTCCGCTGCGTTGAGGCGCATTTCCGGGGCGGCATGCGGGCCGTCGCTCTGAGGCGGCGTGAGGGCCAACGCCTGTCGCGAGGCCGTGGAGCCAGAGCCCCAACTGCAGCTGCCTGCGGAGATGCATGTCGTGCTGTGCGCGCGGGCGTGGGACTGTGCGGGGGGCGCCCTGTGGCGGCAGGGCTGGCACTTGCGCAAACCTTGCGACAGGTGGGTGGCGTTGCTGCTGGTCGCTGCTGCCACCAAGGTTGATGTTGCGGGTCATCCTGGTGTTGGCATCGTTAATATCGATATCGATATCGATATCGCTCTCGGGACGGCTATGAGCATTTGTATCAGATCGCTGTCGACATTGCCGCCACCCATGCCCTCGACTCTCGCAACAACATTGTCGCCGCCGGCGTCGTCCCTTTCGCCCATTTGGAACCCATCGCCGGTCCCCCCATCCGGCCCGCGCAGCCGCAGCACCGAGTGGCGGGCGCAGGCGCGTGCGCGTGGGCTTCTCCGCAACCCCATTGGTGCGCCCATTGGTGCACCCAGCGGTGCTGCTGCCGCCTCAAACCTTGCTGCTTGGGGGCGGAGGCTGTGCGGTGCGCGGCGCTCTTGGTGAGACCCGATTGGCTGCTTGTCCCGCATAGGGTTGCGGCGCACAGAGTCCCAGCACAGTCTGCAGGACAAGGCCCGCAGCAAGGTTGCAGACACACCCGCTTGCGCGCGCACACCCGGGCACAGGGTCCGGTCGCACCCCGGTGGGGGCACCACCCAGCGCCGGCATGATCACGGCCCTGGCGGCAGCGATTGGCCATATTCTCGTTGCGGTGGTTGCGCTGATCGCTTACGGTGGTTGCGATGCTTGAACCGGTGTGTCTGTGGTGATCGCTCAGACATGCACCAGCGTCGGCTTGATCGCACCGTCAATCTCGCTCCACGGCGCTCTCCAAACTGCACTGCTTCGTCCGCCACCGACACCAAACCTTGCTGCCCGCGTCTGGCCTGGCAGGCGGGGTCCTTGATGGCCCCTCGAGTTTGGTCTGCATCCCGCCATGGGCCGCCGCAGCGGCCCTTGTGCTGGCCGGGCCTGTCGGACTCTGCCTGATTTGAAATGCCCGCCCCCCTTTCTCGTCTGCCTGACCTGTCCTCGTCCGAAAGGCCGCGACCAACACCCGCCCGTGACACAGGCCCAGCCATTACCACCCCGAAATGTGGTGGGGCCCTCGCCTCGCTCACAAGGGTGGATCGAAGGACGGGTGATCATGACGCGGGAAGCAGCCGGGGTATTTTCCGCATCGCATGCCGCCGATTCTCCCGAATGAAAGCGACCATCCTCCGCCAGTACTCAGTGTGCATCAGTCTGATCTGTCCCTGGCCAAGGCGGGTTGAAGCACGACGGGAAGAATCAGCAAATCTGCTATTTCGGCAGTATCGATGCACATGTGCTACTGCTGCGGCTCGTTTCGGGGCGATCGATGGGGTCATCGTCTCCAGCAATATCGCAAGGATGTGGGAGATCTGCCTTCTGTTTTGGACGTTGGTATGGGCGGTTGAGAGGAGCAGCCAGTGAGCGAGGCAAATGATACTGGCCCTGGTATATCGAGACCAGCCATGAATATCGGGACCAGCCATGAATATCGAGGTCAATGTCTCCAAAGACCAACCCAGCAATACCGGGTCAACCTGTCCAGCCGGCCATACTGCCGCCTCTCCACTCAGTCTGTGTCCCAGGAAAGACCGATGCAGGAGGAGCACTATGCCAGTTCGCGTGGTGCCAGCGATGTCGTGCTGATCTTGCCGGGCATGTTTGTGTTTGCTTGGTTTTGTAGCCGCCGGCTGAAGCCCCGAATCACGTTCCGCTTCTTCAGCCCCGAGGTTTGTGACGACAGGCAGTGTGTCAGCGACGTTGATACTAGTTTCAGGCGGCAGTAGCGGGTGAAGGGATCCCCATGGAATCAAGAAATATCAGTGGGTTAGAAACATCGTCATCCGTTTCCAGCAGCATAGTCCTAGCCATTGCGCTTCGAGCTTCATCTCTTCGTCTGTGTCATGTCTGGGTCATGCGAGACAGTATCGATATTGCGCGTCTCACTCCAACCAAGTCCATGGGCCACAGGCCGTCCCAAGCGTACCTGGGATGCCTTCGAACTTTTGCCATTGGAAGGACGTAAATACGTCCGAATAGACCACTGCTTGGCTGCAGCGTCGCGGCCCGAGGCTGAGTGGTCGCAGATGGATAAAGAGACGGGAAACCAAGTCAGTCGCTGCCCATCGCATTCCGCCATAACCGAGAGTCGCCATCCCACTCGACTGTCCGCCAGTGCATGCCCGAGCCGAGAGCACTGCCGGCGAGTGTCCGCTCTGAGCAAATAGCACGAAGTTGGCAGGTGGACAAGCATGTGCAGGGGTTGTCATGCCAGGATGCTCCGAAGCGTTCCTCATCTCCGATGATTTCCGCACGTTGTGCCGCTGAATCGACTCATCATCCCTCGCTCCGAAATCGAGCCTTGCGCACATGTCTCGCCGGCTGCGTCGAGCACGTCGGTGAGTCATGGTCCTCGGGGTCGAGCGCGCTGCTGGTATCCATCCACTCAGTGCCGTCGCTTCGTTTCACACGCTCGTCGTTGCCACAGTGAACTCCGTCCAGATCCATGCAGGCAGGCACAAACCATGTTGCCCATTCGGCAGCTCCCAAAGCCGCTGGATCACCAATATCCGCAGCATGCAGATTGCGGCGGTGCATCTTCATTCGGATTTCCATTCCCATCTCCACTCACAGTCCTTGCCTCCGTCCAGGTTATGGGGAGGGCTCTATGGCATGCTCACTACTTCGTACCTGAAAGGCATTTCGAAATCGATGCTGCAGTCAAAGAGAATAAACTTGAGCCGGTACTTGCCCTTGACGCGGATGTTGATTTCGGGGAAAATAAACAGCACTGCGGCTTCACCATCGTCTTTGATGAGGAACTCGCTGTGGGCGATGCACTTGCCGCAGAGCGCCGTCGGGATTGTCCTGGTGACGCTCGTGCAGGGGCCAGCCGATGGCCGCTCGGCCTCTTGGACCATGTCGGACTCGACCTTGATGCTCCAGCTCGAGTTGGAGTTTGGGTATGAGTCCGGAGCAGGGCTTGGATTCGGATTCACTATCGGGCTGGGATTGATATGGAAATCCATGTTTGGGCTCGGATTGGAGGAGTGAGGGCTGGGGCTTGGGTTCGGGTTCGGGTTCGGGTTCGGTGCCGACCGAGGCTGTGTGTGTACGTGTGGATGCGGATGCGAGCGCGAATGGGAATGTGCGTTTGTATTTGAAATGGCTTCTGGGGTTGGGTTTGCAGGCGGATTCGAAGCGGAGGCGGTGTCGTTCGGATCTTGGCTTGTCCAGAGCTCGACGTACATGACAAACGACTTGACCCGCTCGGCAAGCTCGCTCGGCCTGAGACCGCATATTGGAGGAAACCGAGGCAAAGCAGCAGCGCGGAAGCCGGCCGGCTGTTAGAGTCTGCAGACGGCGGTGGTCGGAGAGGGGGGGGAACAGGAGTGCTTCTGGCCCGGCCATCATGGGTTAGACAGCTCTGAGATCAAGATGGTATTCTACCTTGTGATGAGGCGTCCGTCGGGCTCATGCAGCACCAACTGCACCACCGGCGGTGGGTCGATGGCCCGCTTCTCGAGCTTTTCACCAAACCCGCAACAGCGCGCAACTTCGGGCTGCTGGATCACTGTTAGGCTGTAGGAACTTGCGGCAGGACGGGGCATGCGGTGCAGGGTGTGGGAGATGGGTGTGCGATTTGAAATGGGGGAGGGGCGTTTCGATGACGACGCGGGAACGGAAACGGAAACGGAACGGAAACGGAAACGGAAACGGAGATGGAGACGGAAACGGAGATGGAGACGGAAGGAGGTTTGGGTCAGCCTGTGTTGAGAGCCAGAGAGAGGGCGGGGGGCCGCTGCCCATAGATGGGGGGAAGAGCGGACCCGGCTCGGTCCGACTCGGTATTTTTTGGTCGCTGCCCCAGCCCGATGATGCCTGTGGATTGGGTTTTGCGCCTGCAGCCGACGTGTTTGCCCATCCGCCGCTCCCGAGATTCAAGTCGAGATGTGCAAAGCAGGGAGGGAGGGAGCCGGTGCGCGAGGCGGTATGCTTGGAGCGGTATGACGCCAAGCGGGTCTTTGGAGGCGGTCGCCCACAGGATCCTGGGACAGCGCTCGGCGCACACAGCGGGCATCGCTTTTGGGCAGCATCGACCCAGACACATATGCCAACGCTTGGGGGCCTCTGCTGTCGAGGGAGTGCGGACGCACACGCACTCAGCAGGGAAAGCGAGTCGCTCTCCTTACCTTGGCTGCGACATGGCTAACCGAATCGGGGACGGGAGGGGGGAAGGAAGAACGAGCGGGCGAGCCGTCCCCCGGAGAAGCATCACTATTTATTGCCGGCCCGCTTCCTTGCTCTCGCTCGCCGTCGTCCCCTCCTTCCCCCGCCTCCCCAAGAGGCAGCAGATGGGCTCCGATCGACCGAGGCAGTGTTCGCACGAGAGCCCGTGGGCAGCTTATTGGTGATGCCCGTTTTTGTTTCGCGCAGCACAGTGGGCTTGTCCCGTGTGTGGATCGGCGGTGGTTGGTGCGACTCCCAGTCCCACGTCGCTTGGCAGCAAGAGGATCCAAGCAGTCGTTGTTATCCGAGGCGCAAAGGGAGCGCAGGGGCCGGGCGAGGCGAGGCGGGGAGACTGTGGGGAGGGCTGGAGCCACAAGCTGCTGCCGCGCTGTGTATGTGGTCTCGGCGAGGAGCGAGATGCCGCCGAGGGGAGGCCGGCGGAGCTGTGGCGGCTCTGTGGGCACCTATCGCGGCGCGCTCGTGCCGGCCCAGATTGGGCATGTCGTCATGCCAGGTGGTGTCCAGGCCCACCCCGGCCGACACCCAATCGCCCGCTTCCCGCCCTGTCTTCCAGAATTCCCGGACTCCCCAGGCGGGCTGGGAGCACCCCGATGCAGCACAGAACAATGCGACGAGTGCGAGGCAGGCGACGATGTCCGGCCTGGATTCAAACGGCGTCAGCCAGACGAGAGACCAATGTTGAGGGTGGCGGGGCGACACTCGACCCAAGAGGCCGCTGGGAGGGCGAGGGCGGATACAAGCAGATCACGTCAGGCGTGGGACCGTTTGTCGACAAGCCCTCTGTCCCCCTCCCGTCCAGGCTCACCATGCCGTGGCGGGGGGGAGCGTGTATCCGCAGACAGTGCTCGGCTGTGTTGGCGTTGCCTCGAGGCGGGGCATCGGCAGCCCACACAAGCAGCTTGGCGGTGGAGCAGTTCCTCCTGGCTGGAGCTGGGCGAAAGCGGGGATCAAGCCATCCCGGAGGGATTGATTGCATTTCAAATATCCTTGCGCGGTCGGGGCAAGCCCGGGCTGGGGGCGCTGGCGTGATCGCTGCTGCTGTGTTCGATTGCTGCTGCTGTGTGTTCGACTGTCGTTAGTGTGCACCCAGGCCCCGATCCGCATCTGCCAACCAACACACTCAGTTAGCCAGATCCATCTCTCGACAGCACGCAGCCGCACCCCATTGCACATGGTAACCGCTCTGCTTCCGCATCACCACCAATGCTGTTGGTTTGTGTCAGTCCGCGTTGGTCCGTGTCCGCTCGTGCGTCCTTCCTGCTCTGGTGCGCCCGTTCTGCGGGTAAATCCCGGAGCTTTCTTTCCTCCCCCAAGGTTTTGCTGCTCGCGTCAGATCACGTGTGATGAATGCGGCGGGCTCGGCCACCAACAGAGAGGGATATGCGGTGAGAATGCGATCGGCAGACTGGAGCGGGGGGGGGCGGCTGTGTCCGAGAGAGAAGCAAGCCCCACGGCCGAACAGATTGCGGCAGCGATGGGGAATGAAAGAAGCCTTCTCCGAGGCCATGATGATGTGGGCGACATCGAAACCTGCGGCACGGGCGCGGTGGATCTGCAGCATCCATATCATCCATATCATCCATATCATCCATATCATCCATATCATCCATATCATCCATATCATCCGTCCTCTTGAATCCCTCTGGCTCTAGATCAGACACCGCACCTGTCTGGTACACGATTGGGGAGTGTCGACCCCAGATGACATCCGTCGGCCGCTTCGGATCTCAAACGGGCCTGTTCCTTCACTTTCCATCCCAACAACGCACCTCGCTGTGCGGTGCGATTCATGGAGTAACTTGGACAGCATCGATCCTCACGCTGCATCGGCTAGCATCTGCCCTGCTGTCGTTGGCGTCCTGCATATTTCTAACATCGCCATCCTCCATTCCATCCGAGCATTGACGGCCACCGTCCTGACTCTCGACGGCTCTCTCCGTCGCCCTGCTTCGACACGTTCGATTTCATAATCCCAGCACCTAAACGACCTTCGCACGCGTCGGGGCCGGAACCTCCACATGGACGGCGGGGGCTATCTCCGGTCGCTCTACTCCTCGGTGGAGTCTCAAGGCATGCTCTTTGTGCTGATATGGCACTCCCTATCCGACGCCTCAAAGGCCCAGATTCTATGGATTCTCAGGCTCCTGGTCAGGACGGTATGCGCAAGCCATCGTCGTGCAGTCTCCTATCCACTGTCTACTATACACCTGCGCTTCTTCCTTGTCATTTTGGCATGTCCACTTCCCACGCCCTCGCCCCCCAGTCGCTGACTTTCTGGCGCACTCTCTGGCCACAGCTCTTCCAAAAGTTTTTGCAGCGAATGCTTCCCGGTGGCGACGGCGCTCCTGGCTCAAGAAGGCAGCGACTCTCTGGCGACCGTGAAGGCGATAGCCACCCAGCACATCCTCGCGGCCGGCATAACGGCAAATTACTCCCACTGCATGCTCCCACCAGCCCTTCAGAGTCCAATTCCCCACGCAATCCTCGAAAGACGCCCCTCTCGGTCAGATTTGCCAATGCACCCGACCAGAGCAGCATCGTTGACACCCATCCGACGCTTGTCGCATCGCAAGGCCTGCACAAGACCCCTTCGCCAAAGCACGATCTTCGCCGCGTCCTTCCAGCCCCACAGCCGAACGTCTCAATTCTCCGAAAGGATCCAAGTATGCCTCAAAGCCGCTCGTACAACGATCTTCTGCCCATCTTCCGCCACCAAGCCGGGCGCTATCCGCCTCACACATTCTCCAGTCCACTCCAAGACGCGCTCAAGGCCCTGGTTGATGTCGAAGCGTCCGCCGACTGGGTCCCCAGATCGTCTTCCAACGGTATTCGTATCTCTGTGCGGGAATCGCCGAATCGCAAAGATGGCATGCCTCTCGTTCGCGGTGATGGCGTGATCTCCGGAGACTGGGGTATCGAGGAAGTCGCCAGTGCCATCTCAAGCTACCAGGCAAGAGCAGAGTGTAAGTTGCCCGGTCCGGATGCCAAAAGTCTGCATTTCGAAGCATGCGTTTTCCACAGTATATCGGACCTGCAGTCAGAGCGACGGGTTCTCATCCGAGGTTGACCCCCATATCTATTATCCGGAACTGGGCGGGGATGGACCCTGGCACTACCGGCTATCCTTTCGACGATACAGGGGACAAGCGATTCGACTCCGGTAGCATTCTATGTCAGTACAACCCGTTCGAGTCCCTTGCCTATCTCACTCAGAAGGGCACCTTCCCCGTGGCCGGCCGCGACTTTTTGGTCGTCTCGGCGACCCGAATCGATGCCGCAAGTCAATCGGCATACATCGTCTCGACCTCGGTCGATCCGTCGCAGCTGAGCGAGATCGAGCAGGCCATCTACACACCATACCACCAGAAGAGCAAGGACAGCGGGTTTGTGCGAGCGGATCTCAAGCTGAACGGATGGATACTTCGGAGGCGCGATGATGGGGTGGCTGCCACGTACATCCTGGACGTCGATGTCAAGGGCTCGATTCCTCAGAGTATGTCAGTGCGCACTATATGTGCATCGCAGTGGTGGTCCCCTCTCGGCTCTGACTGGTGGCCCCAAAGTGGCTATCACACTAACGGCCACTCGGACTCTTGCCGATATTCACTGGGATACTCTCTGGCATACTCTCTGGCATACTCGCTCTCTATGGGATACTCTCTCTATGGGATACTCTCTGGGTTCTCTCGTCTCGCAGGCATTCTCAGGATGATCCAGACCCAGTCACCAATGTGCATCCTCGGCATCTCGCAGTATCTAGGCTCGCACGGGCCCCTTCCCTTCCTGCTCCGCTCCCACGATGCTTTGCTTCCACATCGGCCCGTCCAGCTCAAGAAAGTGAGCCAGTCCCCTCGTCAGATCGACGCCATGGTCGAGGCAGCCCTGGCGCCATCGTCCCCGCGAGAATCGGCCCCAGATGCTCCCGAGAACCCCAAGGTGTCTCACGGGCGACTGGAAGGCTTGGTGGCGGACTCGCTGGTGCTTTGCATTCCAAAATCGAGCCACCCGGGCTTGGACATCACCATCGAGCCCGCTCAAGGCATCCGGATCTTCAGGCTTGCCAGCGACCCTGCCTTGGCCGGCGTCCTGTCGCCACACGCAACCCACCTTCTCCAGATCCAGTATGACCCGTCTGAGGCCGGTCGGGTGTTTCGTCGCCAGAGCATCGATGCAAACGCTTCTGCTGCAATCCCTGTCGCTGCCGCTGCTGTCGTTGGCAAAGGGACAAACCATCCACCGCTGGTTCTGAGCATGCGCCTTCATGTCGAGTATCAGCCCTCGGACAGGGTCAGAATCAACGAGCACGGTGCCTTCAGAGAAGTAGAACTGCATCCGTTTCCGTCGGCACAAGCAAGGGGTGACATGGATCCTCCCATGGTCGACACGTACGATTCTGCCCCGCTGGACGCTCATAAGCAAGAGTCTTGGTGAGTCTCCATCGGCTGTCGAAGCATGTGGGGCGCTGTGAGGTTGCGAAAGAAGGCAGCGTGCCAGGACAGTTTTGCCAATTCCAGCGGGCGGTTGCTGGCATGAACCACGCTCTTGGTCCATATCGACCCTGACTCTATCGGCCCGCTCAGTCTCCAGGATGGCTCTGCCGACCCAGGGTTGCCATTACCATCATCATCGCCATCGCCATCATCGCTCATGACTACGGCTGCGAACCGGGTCTCGTCCGAAAGCTGCCCGCATGTTTCATCCAATTGGGCCAACACTCTCAACCAGGCTCTCGATGCATTTGACGGAGCCTGGGACCAACAGCTGGTGAGACCGGCTGCCAGCCTCTACACCGGCGCGCTGCAAAAGATCCACGACTCTGTCTTTCGCTCGCACAATTGATGGCCCCGGGAATATGAAAGGCGTGTTGTGATTCGGTCTGTGTGCTTTCTGTCGAAGGCCAGGCTCATGGCTGATGAATAGAAAAGGCTCGCGAACGAGCGCTGCGTGCTTCGTACAGCGAGAGTGTGGGGGTGGTACCTGGCAAGAGGTGGATAGAGGATGCAGGATGGTACAAGCACTGCACCGGCCGTAACAGACCAGAGACAGAAAGAGTCTTCGGCCACAGCCATGAGGAGCCAAGGACGTGTCCCTCATTTCTTGGAGTCGTTGAGCTTGGACATCTCCTTGCTCTCGCGCTTGGCCAGCTCCTTGCTCTCACGCTTGGTGATTTTGTGTCCTAGGCTGTCCTTGCTGCTCTTGTGAGTGACCTCCTTCTTGTCGTTCAGACTATCCTTGCTACTCTTGGAGGAGAGTTCCTTCTTGTCGCTCTTGAATCCGTTCTGGTCACGCTTGTCGCTTGGGCTGGGGCCCGGATGGCTGCTGTCGCTTGTCTTGGGGCCCTTGCCATTTGTATCATGGTGCGTGTCCTTCTTTACTGCGCTGCCGTCCCGATCGCCGCCGGCCTTGGTCTCGTCAGCGGCTTGCTTTGAGGGCTGGTTCATGAGGCTGCTCGATTCCTTACGGTGTCGCTGGCGATTGGCCGGCGTCGAATCTTGCGAGGCAAACGCCTTTCCTGTGCGGATTGCTGAGATCAAATCGTCCAGTCCGCCTTGATCTTGCTCAACAGCCGCCACCTCGGTGGTGTTGGTCTTGGTCGAGAGGTTCTCGCGCTTCTTGTTGCGTCTCCGCTCAGCTTGTGCCTGTGTCGATCGACAAGTCAATTGGTGCGCATGCATATTTGGTATGCGCCAATCCCACCCCACTCATCACTGCGCTCCGGGGCAGGCCACACTGGCAAGTACCTGTTTTTCCTTCTCCCGCTTCTCGAGCTCGAGAGCCTTGGCGATGGCAACCTGGTTGTCGATCTTGGCTTGCTTGTACGCCTCAGCGAAGCGAGCGAAAATGGCAAAGAACTCATCCGGATTCATCGTCTTAGGGTCCTCGCCGTACCTGACCACAACTTCGTTGTAGGTTTCCTCGGCCGCCTTGAACTTTTCGTCCAGCAGCTCCAGGGTTTTGACGGCCTTGTCGTAGAACTGCTGGATGATCTCGACAAACGACAGGGGCTTGGGCGTCGGTGAACGAGCATCGGAGTCGGGCGAAAGAGGCGCATTGCTCTTGGAGGCCACCGCTGGTTTTGCACCTCCCTCGCCCTTGAGCTTTTCGATGAGGGTCTCGATGCTCTTGAGCTCGTCCTTGACGGTCTTGAGCAGCTGTCGAATCGCAGGGATCGTGACTGTGGACAAGCAGATGTTAGAAACCGATGGCGGACGAGAGGGTACGCTGGACGACATAGTCGCACATCAGGAACTCGACCAGCACATACCCTTTGATCCATCCTGGACATGCTCGAGCTCTTTCTCGAATCCGGTGGCGGTCGGGAACTTCTTCTCAACCAGCTCTGTAAGATAGTGAAGAAGGGTGTGCTTGCGATTCGATATGGTGGACTTGGTATCGCCGAGCTGGAACAGCGGGAAGCCGTGATGGTGAGATCCAAAGCCATCGGACCAGAGGCGGACGAATGGAATGGCTGCAACAACCATCCTCCTCCTCCAAACCAGCCGATGATCGGTTTGAATCATATTCGGCATCGCCAGCAAACAGTAGCGACACCAAGCAGCATCGTGAAATCCAATGCACAGCTCCGGCAATGTGCTCAGCCCCAAGAGAAAGCAGGGCTTTCAACGAACCTTCAGGATACTGCCGAGCTTGAAGCCGTATGCGCCGCCTCTCTGACCGGCGTTCAGGTAATTTCCAAGTGCCAGAATGATCTGTTTCAAGCGAGCAGTTGTCAGCGCGATCCCTTGCAGATCATGGCCGGATGCAACGCAAAACCTACTCGCAGGAGCTCCTTGAACTTTGCGCTATCTCGGACATCCTCGCTGGCGTTCTTGAGCCAGGCGATCAAGTTCTCGACGTCGTCGATGTACTCCTCATACGCCGTCATGAAGGTCAGTGCCTTCAGACGCTCGCCGTATCTTGAGATCGATGACATTTCGTACAAGAAAAACTCAGCGCTGGCGAGGTTCTCGGCCTCTTTTTCGTACTGCTTGATCGCAGCCAGCTCCTCGTCGGTCGGGATAAACTTGAGCAGCTCCACCAGAATATGCCGCTGCAGGATCTCGGTGTCACACTCCAGCAAAGCTGCCTTGACAGTGGACGCATTGAGCTTGATGGCTTTGAGCATGATATCTATTCAGGCATCCGAGCACGGCTTAGACAGGAATCATTTCGATCACAAGCAGCACCGCATACGGGAGCACGCCTCTTGATATAGACGGCGTCTGCGGTGCACAACCGGTTTCAAACCAGAGAGCAGGCACTTACTGATGTTCTGCGAGCGCTTTGGATCCAAGAATGTGATCTGCTTGGTGGCTGGTGGGATAGCCAAGCACGGATGCAGATGTGATGTCTCAGTGAACATCTGCGAAAGCCGGTCTGGACGCCGTGACTACCCTGGCGACAGTGCCAAGCGACCTTCTACCCGAGTCTGCAGAGCTGCGGCCTACCAACGCTCTCGCGAGATGCTTCCTTTTCCTTGACTTTGATCTCCTTGGCTGCAAAGAGCTCCTCAAACTCGTTGTAGGTATCCTTCATGGTGTCGTGCACAACCTGGTCGTCCAGGGCTGACCAGATCGTGCCCTGGACCTTGTTGGGCGGAAGTTTGGTCCAGTTCAAAGACTTGAGTGGCTTGCTGCTGAGGTTCAGCTTTTTCCCCTGCGAAGCCGCCGGCATTGCCGGTCTGTACGCCGCAGGGGCTGCAAATCCGGGCGGGGGCGGCGCACCTAGTGTTATCGCCGTTAAAAATCATCAGTGAAGTGCACACCATTTCACAGCGGCAAGGGGGTGCAAGAATGTTGCCACGTCTTACCTGGGGCGCCCGGTGGACCAGGAGGTGGAGGGGGTCCTGGTGGCCCAGGAGGTCGACCGAATCCTGTCATCCAAACCACATACGTCCGCCGACAAGTCAGACGGGATCCTGTCGGAGCAGACTGCAGCAGACGAAATACATCGCTTACAAACCTGGGGGTGGTGGAGGCGGAGGGCCACCCATTCCTGAGATGTCAGGTGGTGCGGGCCATGGCAGGAATTGTCAGAGCGCGACCACAGCAACGCCCTAAGCAGATGCCACATTATGGCCTTGGCTGGAGGGAAACATACCTGGCATCGGCGGTGGCGGAGGAGGGCCACCAGCACCTGTTGGTAGATGGGATAGTAATGAGTATGCGCCAGGATTGCCTCTTTGCCAAGTCACTTTCACAATCCCGACACTCCGGCGTGGATATGGCCGACGGAAGGGAATTGCCCGACACAAGAAAGCCACACGGACGCTCGGCTGGTACCTGGGGGAGGCGGAGGTGGTGGTGGACCACCAAAACCTAGATTTAGAAGTACAAAGGTCAGTCGCCCGTCAGGATTGGTCCGAATTGGCTCGGAGCGAAGCACATACCTGGAGGCGGAGGCGGGGGCGGAGGTCCTCCGAATCCTAGAAAACCGTGGTGTCAGCTCCATCCAGCGGACCACCCAACAATGCAGCTGCAAACAGTATCGTACTCACCTGGAGGCGGGGGTGGAGGAGGTGGTCCACCGAAGCCTGAGATGCGAAGGAGGTATAAGCGGCTGTGTTCCACAGAACACACAGACGAACGCGGGGCCTACCTGGCGGAGGGGGAGGGGGAGGCGGGCCACCGAAGCCTAACGATTGGACATTCCGTCAATGACAGGGCCGTCGCAATGCAATTCATAATCTGCAATTCACATTCATGATCTACAATCTGCACTTACCTGGAGGGGGTGGTGGTGGAGGCGGACCGCCGAAGCCTAGCAACAGTAATTATGGGCGTGAGCCACTCGGCATGCATACGCAGAACCAGAAACAATATCCAAGCACAGCTCAAACCTGGAGGCGGAGGCGGAGGTGGAGGACCACCGAAGCCTGTGGATTGGATGGATCGGTTCTGATGAGTATCTTTGGCTAATGAGGCAAACGCATTTGGACGCTGAGACTCACCTGGAGGCGGAGGTGGAGGAGGAGGGCCACCAAAGCCTGAGGACCAGTCGTCGTCAGAAACGAATACGCGCGACAAGATACACAGACAAGGAGACGCACTAATCCAATTTGAACTTACCTGGTGGAGGCGGAGGGGGAGGCGGGCCGCCGAAGCCTAAAATCCAGCGCGAGCCAGGTTAGTCGATGGGCAAAGAACCCGGAGCGGAGCCACCAGCTCTCTCTGCGATATCGGATGCACAACCATGCTGCTGCTGATTCAGTGGTTGAGGCGAAGCTAGGGGCGTCAGCCTGATGTCCAAAGATGACCCAGGAACAGTCGCATACCTGGTGGTGGCGGTGGTGGCGGCGGGGCTAAGCGTGCGTGATGTACACAAAGTAGACAATTCAAATCAATCAGACGAGCGCGCAAGATGTACGTGCAAAGCAGGGGTGTGTAAGGGCAGCAGCGACGATATCCTGAAGTGACGGTTTACCCGGAGGAGGTGGCGGAGGAGGGGCAAACCCAGGGGTGCCCAGAGCAGGAGGTGGTGGAGGTGGTGGTGGGGGAGCGAAGCCGGGGGCTCCAGGAGGCGGGGGAGGCGGCGGGGGAGGCACACCAGGGCCAGACGAAACAGAGATGCCGTTCGAACCTGCTCCAGTGTGAACTGAAAGCGGGCGTGGAGCGTCCGGGTTGGATTCCTATGGTATCAAAGCAGCGATGAGTCTGCAGTCCAACTGACTCGGCCACACACTACCAGCAGCGCGGTCACTCACATTCAGAGCCTTCTGTACACGCGAGAGCATCTCCATGGCACTGGCCCCACCGGACTTGAGCAGTCTTTCGGTCAGGAGGATCTCAAGTTGCACAATGTCCAGCTTGCTGTTTGCAGTGAGGTGCTGCACCACATCGCCGGTGTTGCTGACAACTTTGCCTATCGGTTGGCCAAAATCGCGATGGTGAGAGGATGTTGCTATCAGACACGCAAAGCCACCGGAGGCGACATATTCTCGCACCGCTTGATCTACGAGAGGGCACAGCCGTTGCCCAAGCCCTCGGTCGGCGCCGCGGCTTGCCGTCCACAAGCACATGGGCCAAGGGCGGCTACAGATGCAAGTCGATTCGCCCGGCTCCAGGAGGCTGTAGCTGGTCTTACGTTTGTCCATCTCCGATCGCAGCGATTCGACTTCTTTCTCGAGTCGCTTGGATTTGTCGACCTGGCGCTTGTACCGTTCCTCGTGCTCCTTATCCTTGTCGGTCTCCATGAGATGATTCATCAGGCTACGGACATCGAGCTCAGCCAAAGCTGCGCCGGGATCCGGGTCTTCTCCTTCTCTTTGGATGACAATCTGACGCACGACCTTGTCGACAATGTTCATGATTTTCATTCTCTCGATCGGCGTTGCAGGAAGCAGCAGCATGTGTCGCAGTATGCTTTCATACGACGTGGCGCTGGCCGTAAACTTGACGCTCTGGTAGAGAGTCTCGCTGACTGCCTCCATGTCGTTCAGATCCAGGCTTTCGACATCCATACGCTTTCGCAGCTCGGTTTCGTCGAGCTCAAGATTGTCGATCCAGACATCGATCTGCGTCTGCAATAGATCGTTCTCGACATCCAAAATTTTCTATAAAGCGATTCGTGGGCATGGATCAGTGCATGCAGCCACGGATGGCCGCGCTGCGTGACCAGCTGCGTCGGGTATGTCTGATGCACAAACCAAATGGGCACCGCGGGGGCTGTCGCGGAACTTACATCGATCAGCTGTAAGAGTCCAAGCTGGAAAAACTCAAATCGGAGATGCATGCGGAACTCTAGATTCACACCAGGGCCACCGCAAATGACGGCGTTGATGAACGACATGCTGTTGACCTGGCACGTCGCGGGTACATTTGAGTCAGCCATTTATGCAAAGTAGCGGAGGGTGACTCATCGACCTCTGGGCCGAGCAACCCGCTGAAGCAGGTGGCAGCGACGAGGCAGTGGTATTTGGGACATGGCTTACCTGAAGCTCCTTTTCGTGCGGACCCATGCCCTGACATGCCTGCCAAAGACTATAAACCACGATTTCGAATCGAAAGCGCATTCCCGCCGCCTCGCACAGCGCATCCATGCTGTCCAGGACGCTGCGATGGCCGCCGGGAATGAGACAGACAGCACCGAATATCTCCAACACCAAAGACCGCGTCCTCATCGACGGTGATCGAAGTGAAAATGCAATGATGTTCAGGGAGTTGTCGGACTCGAGCACAGCGCAAAGACCAATCTGGGCAGAGACAGTGGATCACGGTACATATAAGCACAGACACAACCGAGCCGTATACTGCCCAATCCCGAACGTGGCGATGGGGACACACACAGTATCCTCGACAAAGCAGATGATCGCCTCAACAGGTGCATTCTATCCCATCAGCTTGTGCTGGCGCTGCCTTCGGGACCTTGACTGATCCTGGGATCATCGACCAGCACGGACAGAATCGGCTTGTCGCGAATCACTCACCTTGTTATTCATTAGCGACTTCAGACATTTGATGTACAGCTCCTCATATTCGTCGTGTCTGGATTCAGTCAAACCACAAAGTCATGAGCAAGGGCCTTGGGCAAGTGCTGGGGGACCGACGGCAGGACACAGGGTCGCACATCCGATGCTCCCAAATCCGAGCATCAAGTCAGCCACGACAAACACACAACCAATCCGCCTTTGTAGATATGCAGTGCACCTGCTGGTGTCCTGTGGCCAGAGCCAGTCCCTCCGATACCCAGGACTTACGATGGATTCGTGCTCTCCAGCTGGCTCAAGTTCTCCAAGAGAATGGCCAGACCGCCGTGGTCGATAAAGTTGCTGATCCACCGGATGGGCCTGCTTCTTAACGAAACGACCAGATTCGTGAGCATTTCTTTATCGGGATTGTTTTTCAGACGTTTGATCTCCTGGATCTCGTGCTCCATTTCTCGATTGGCGCCGTCTCGGTATCGCTCTCCCAGGTGCTGTTGAAGCATGATCCACTTGCGCTCGATGGTGAGGGCACGGAGGATCTTTTTCTTGTCTTCTGTCAGGTTGAGGTCCTCCTGAGGAAGGCCCAGCAAGACGGGTGAGTGCACGAAGCAGTCGCTTGCAGACATGAGTGTCGAGCCGACGCAGGCGATGTGGGACGGCACAGGCGGCTCGAGATAGCCCGAATATGATAGTGGAAATGTCGAGTCGAGCCTCGATGCCGACGCGATCTGGCAAGCATCACACAGCAGGAAAGCCGAGCACCCAGCCGGCGGACTCGGCCGACAGCACCCCGCAGTCGATTGCCCCATGCATGTGGATGCAATGCTGGTGTAGAGAGCAGTACAGGCACTCGGATGTCCACTCGAGCCCGGGTGCCGCAGACAGGTCCAGATGCAGGACAGCAGGCGCCGACACAGCGGCCTTGGCAGCGCGAATGCGTCGTTGCTCCGAATGTCTGCCAAGAAAAGAGGCTCTTACCATGAGTAACTCAAGCATCGTCTCGATTTCGCTGACAGGGGGAATAGGGATATCGGGCGCATGGATGATCCGAGTCTGGGTCGATGTCGCAGATGTCGGTGTCGGGGTGCCTTGCGGAAGCTCGGCTCCCGACTTGCCAGTAGGCGATGGCGACGAGCCGACGGGAGAGGTGCTCATGATAGGGCCGCCAGCGACGGGACTCGAGATGGTGGGTGGGTTCTTTCCCTTGAGCGAGAGCGAGCGGGTCAGGCCAGAGAGCTTTGGAGACGAGTCGCCCTTGCTGAGTGGCGCCGGGGGGCTTTCCTGGACCGAAACCCGGTTGCCCTTCCCGAGCGACACCAGGGACGCTTTCTTCTTGGGCTGTGTCGAAGCCAGGGTTGTGGATGGGTGGTCGATGCCGGTATGACCGATATGCCGATGCGCTGATGCGCTGATATGCGCTGGATGAGGCCACGGACAACTGGCCCTCGAGCAGTCAGTTGCAGCGGGTTCGGCCGACTTGGATGTTCAAGCGCCAGGCGCTGGGTATGCCGTTCTGGACGGACGAGATGCAGGCTGCGGCGAGCGAGATGAAGCGCAGAGAGCCGGGTGGACGCTGCAGAGCACCGAAGGGGTTTGCGGCTGCAAGCCAGCAGAGCCGCCCGTTTTTGGTCTGGTGTTGCGGTGGTGAGACCGCTCTGGCGAGAGGTGCTGCCGAAGGGTGGGCCGAGGACGCTGATTGCGACGGCAGACAAGACGCCTTGCTGCCTGGGACTTGCCGAGCGCAATGCTTTGGCAGCAACATATCGCAGCGCATCGTATACTGGCGCAGAGCAGGCGGCTGGATGACGGCGGCCCCGGCCGTCTCCAATCACTGTCCAAGCCGAGCGAGCCCGGCCTGCTGCGACAGTCCCATCTCCAGCGACCGCTGCTGGACGGAAGCACCTCGACTTGCCAGACGATGGCCGGTCGAGCAAAGGACGCATTCGATCGAGCAGATGCCCGGAATGGAATGGAATGGAATGGATACATCGTCGTAGCCGCATGTCGATGCAGTCTCATAGAATGTCGACCGGGCTGACTGGTAGACATGATTGGGACCAGCGGCCCATGAGGGCTTCAGCCGAGCGTCCCGCCATTGCCATTGCGATTTTGCCGTTCCAGAGCTTTACCGAGGCACGGAGCTGAAGGAGGAGCTCCCAGCGAGCGGCCATAATCTCGCTGTCGCAAGATCGTCGGGGGTTGGATCAAGCCCCACAGCCTCATCCCGGACTCGCTCGGCCATGACCATGACCCCCAACATCGACGTTCTCATCTTCCGAGACAAGCATGCTCGCGCTCGGCGCGAAAGGCTCTTGGCCAAGCAGGAGCAGGGCCTGGAGTCGTCAAAATCCACCCTTGTCGGAATGGTTACCAAGGTACTCTCGCGCTGAGAGCTCAGCGGAATGCGCACTTGTGCATGCAGTCCGTCCTCGGCGCCGATTCTCACACGGCGTCCTGCGGGCCACCATCGGCCGCTGTTTCTCTGTCGTTAGCTCAACAAACTCAAGTATGCGTCGGAGGAGCAGCGGGCGACCACCGCCAAACAACGACACAAGATTGTGTGGCGCGAGGAGCTTGGCAACTTGGCATCATCGAGGTAGTGTGCTTACTGGGTGGTCATTACAGCGACTCAGGAACATCCTGGAGTTGGCTCGGTGGTGCACGGCTCGCAGGCCCGGCTCACCCCGAATGGCTCTGTTTCAACCAGAAAGCACTTGGAGACCGAGATTTTCACGCTGCTGGGCGGCTATCTCGGGCGGTACCGAAGCAGTGAAGATTCGCCGGATGCACAGACCATCTCCGAGTACATGCAAAACGAGGTCCAGCAGATGCAGGCTCGCGAAGCATCCTCTCAGGGTAAGGAATCGGGGTGCTGCGAGCCTGCGGCGACAACTAGTGACTCCTCCGGGCGGTACTTGGATACGATCGCCGTTATTCATGCACATCAGACAAGTAGAGGGCGGCTGTCATTCGTTAGCGCCTGTCGGCCGACGGCGTTTTGACTGGACTGAATCTCCGTGTCTCGCAATGCCCAGATTTACTCGATTTGGTATCGCAATGTCGCTCTCGATCCAAGCAACTTGTGGCCCTGCGGGACGACCGAGCGGCTAAGAATGCCTTTGATCAATTCGAAGTGCTTAAGAAGCAGATTGCAGAGCTTGATGCCCAGGTCAGTCTTGCGGGCTCCAATGCCTGTCGTTCAGGCGAAAGCGCAAGCACATGAGGATGTATCAGCAACCCATAAAGCAGCAGCAGACTCTCGATGTATTGATCTACTGCTGGAAAATAGGAGTCCGCCCTGACAACAGAAGTACAAAGGCTGCGGGACCAGATTAGCGAGTTCGATGGCTGCCCATTGGAGCCAGTTTGGGTCCAAGACTCGCAGGGCCGGATCTTTCGCTCGGACGACGTTCAAGAGACCCCGCTGTTGTCGGGCACGTACATTAGGAGCGAGAAAAGTGAGTTTGTGGTCTGTCGGATGAGACGCTGACGAGCTTGAAGTCAGCGCTGACGGATGAACGATCCCGGACGCAAGCGCATCGGTGTCGCTATTTCCTGATAGTGATTGTGTGTCTTCTTGGGTAAGGTTGTGCATGGCGTATCAGACTCAACTGCTGAATCTGCGAGAAGACTTTGCGGGATACATCGCCACAAAAGACTCCGGATGGACCCAAGATGCCCTCTTTCGATTCGAAAAGATCCGACAGGAATACACGACTGGACACATTTTGCGGCGACAGTTGCTGACGGATCGTCTGCACCTTGAGTATCCAAGTGTATCGGACGACAGACTCAAGGTTAGGGGTGCCTCCTCATCGGTCGGGGCTGATGTGCAAGCCACGGACGGATTATCAGCAATAGCAGGAACCTCCTTGATCACTGCGCCAGTGCATCTGTTCTCCCGCCATCTCACATCTCTATATTACGACTCGACTGGCCAATACAGCGAGTGGGCCACTTTCTGCAGCAGCATTCGTTGTACAAGAAGCAGCTCCAGTGCCTCAAAGAAAGCATCCTCCGCAAGTCCGCCCAGCTGCTCAGCAACCACATCCAGGAAGCACAGGTTGGTTGCGGCTGAAGCGCACCAAATTTCTTATGTACCAAGGTCACCGTACCTCATCAAACGACAGCGGTAGTGCGCTTTCACCGTTGGCTGTACTGTGTGTATGCTTGGCCTCTCACTGTTTTTGGGCAACGGCTCGTTGACGATTTTGATCTTGGTTACTCAGGTGAAGGAAATGGAGGAGGCTAAGCAGCAACAAGCAAGTGCGCTGATGAGACATCAGCTGGAGTACATGGAGTCGCTGCATCGCATTCTCCGCGAGTGGCGGAAGACCAAGATTGAGTACATCAAGGCAGAGGAGGCCCAGAGAGAGGCTGAGATGGCGGAGAGACTGATGTTGGAGGTAAATGCAGCACCAAATCACGCAAGCCAGCGGCAACGGTTGTGTGGAGCAGACGGTCCGCCTTTGGTTGCATCATACTTTGATCCAGTTGAAGGCGAGGTTGTGGTCGCTTGATTCTCGCTGTAGATGCTCACTGCTGGTACACCATACTGCACGGGAACAGAGCGAGCGAGAGAGCAAGAGAAAGAGTCACCAGCTGGCGCTGAGGCTGAAGATTGAGCAGTACCACAACGAGAATAGGGCAAAAGAGGTGGAAGAGAGCAGACGCAATTCCGAGCTCCAGGAGCAGAGGCGCCATGAACGTGAGGCCCAGGAGAAGGTAAGATATCCTTCCCTTTCCAAGTGCCGATGATGCAGATGACTAACGGCCCCTATCGAATCCACCCTTGATCAGCACGACAAGGAGCGAGTCGCTTATCGAGAAGGGCTTCTTGCGGAAAAGGCCGAGATCAATAAGCGAAAACAGGCCGAAAGAGAGGAAGAGAGGCGGTCGCTCGAAGAAAAGCTGGATCGACTGCGAGCAATGGTTGCTGTTCATGTAGAGAGGTGAGCTTGGGCCGTTTGTTCAAGCGCTGTGGACAAGCAAGACCACTCACATGGCGGCTCCTTCGCTCAACAGCAACTGGGAACGGATTCTCAAGGCTACGGGATCTGCTGGTTGTAGTCGAGACACCGATCAGGCCGAGGTACGGGGGCCGGGAGCAGTGGGTGCATACAGCGATTCAGGATTGACCTCTCAAGCCCGAAGCTCGCGCCAACTTACCTTACAACCCCACCTCCAAGCAGCTTCCCGGTAGCGTTGCCCATGGATACTCCATGGACGACCTGCTCAAGGATCCAAGGTAACGTGCCATCCGACGCTGTGTAGTGGAATCAGCGGAGCGTCAAGTATTTGCTGAATGCTAATGCCCTATCTTGTATGTATTACCAGAGCAAAGCTGGCTATGGCGCTTCATCAGCACGGTCTGCAGCATTCGGAATACGGGCGAAACATCATCGTGCAAATGCCAAGCACCGTGCTTCCGCACATGCGGTCTGCCATCGGCTCCGACTGGACGATCGGCAACTGAAGAAATTGACCCTTGAGTCAGGAGAGAACACATGTGAACTCTTCGTAGCATCGCTGCCTATGTCTGTGAACCGTCCGCATCAGCCAAATATCCATGCCTGGATGCCAGACCACAACTTACTGCCGTCCCAATCTCAGACAGCAACCTTGGTGCGGCCATGAACTCGGTCAAAGCTGGGTTGTTGGCGATTGCTAGCTGGGATCAAGCCCTCATGTTCAAGAGCGCACTGCCCAAGACGAACTTACCTTCCACTGCCAGCGACAGCGGCGACGACTGTGAATCGACGGGAAGCCGCTCGTGTGCACCCGCCCAATACATGCAGTATATTTCTGTCGTTTCGCACACCGCCATCACAGCTCCAGATGCCCATGATCTCATCGACCCTGTGTCTTGCCCATGAGCTATTTCCCCACAAGCCCCATCCAGCCATGAACCGGACATAGTCCACGAGTGCAAGCTCATAGTGCAGCTGCAGAACACTGCGATCGTAGCCGCGGCAGCGATGGCCCAGCAGATGGGTGAGTTGATCGTGATAAAAGTCGAGCAGCTGCGATTCGCCTTGTCCCTGGAGCGTCGCCAGAGAGACGCTCGATGTCATCAAGTACGCAATATCGACAGCACCATATCCATATCCGGTGTACTGGAAATCGTAGGCGGAAGCTTGGTAGCTCGGAGAGCGGCCTTTCTCCATGTATGACTGTTCGGAAGCGCGGATCCTGGGGAGGCAGATCAGGACATTTGGCGAGCGCATCGACCCAACATCAGCATACCATCTCATCTTGACCCAACATCGGTGTAGCATGGCATCAGCCACTGCATCTGAACGAGGCAGCTCGGCCACTCCTTTCATACCTTGCGGAGGCTCAGATCGCCCCGTGGAAAACCCAGCAGCCGATTGTGCAGGCGCTCGGCAAACTCCCTGGAAAAGTGTGGCCATTCATCTGTATCTATCTCCTCAAACTCGGCCCACCGGGTGGTGAGATACCAATAGGAGCCAATCGGCGCAAGCTCGCCTTGGCTTTCCGAATCGCTCTCCCAGAAGAAGGCATGGAACTGAGCGAGCCACCTCAAGCCTGCCAAGGCGTAATCGAGCGGGAGATGTGGAGGCGCCCGCAGTGGAAAGGACTCGCTCAGGTCGCTCAGCAGCAGTGTGGCTTCGAAGGTGCCGCTTGATTTGAGGCTCTCCGTGCTGGACAAGAAGTATGGCTCGGGCAAGGCAAGCCCTGGAGAGCGCAAGCACGGCGACAGAGTCAGCAGCATCAGCATCGCTGGCGGGATGCAGAGCGCTCCGGTCGTTTCCCCGCTGTGCATGGCGAGATCGAGCATCCAGTACCTGTCTCGGCCGTGATGGTCTTGGCGTAGAGCCGGTAGAATCTCAGCTCGTTCAGGTACGACTTCAGCTTTCGCTCGTGCGAGACCGACCCGGTCGACGGCGCTGGCGGCGAAATGTGCTTGAGAACGAAGCTCTGTTGCCGGGCACGATCACGGATGCGGGCGCAGAACCCGTATTGGCCCCAGAGCGATGCGATGGTGCGGAACGACGACCAGTCGAGATCCACACCGACGGAGGAGCCCAGGGCCGCCCGAGCTTTCTCGGCGTCTCGAGGCATTGCAGCGGGGCGGTTGCGGCAGCCAGTGCAGGACAGGCCGTGCGATCGGTCCAGGAATCGACCCGTTCATGCGCGACCCACAGCCGAGAAGACATGTCCTCTCGCTTGCCCTGGCCGAGACCCTGAGCGCAGTCGCCGCGAAACAGGCAGCCCGTCGATCCTGGTCTCGCCTTTGCCGGCTCTGCCACGGATCTCCAAGCGCCGCCATGAGGTGGGTCTCTTGCTGGACAGAATGTGCGGCCGTCACCCATGAGGGGCCGCAGTGGGGCAGATGTCGCCGTGTGGGCAGCAGCGCTCCGTTTGATGACCGCCCCTCCCGGCCGTTGCTGATTTGTGGCTCGCGCCGCCGAATCTCGATCTCCAAAGGTTCACGATCGACGGTCTCGAAGTGATCTTTCCATACGACTACATCTATCCGGAGCAGTATGCCTACATGTGCGATCTCAAGCGGGCCCTTGATGCCAAGGTGGGAGGCTGGCGCCGTCGGTGGATGCAGATCCATGTCACCCCATATCCAGCGGGGGCTGTCGACTCCCCATCCCAACGAATCTGACTTTGTCGATGTTTGCAGGGCCACTGTCTCCTGGAGATGCCATGTGGCACCGGAAAGACCATCACGCTTCTTTCGCTGATCATCGCCTATCAAAATGTGAGTGCAATATGCCAATAACCCCGCACACGCCAACCCCAAGATTGGCAGGGCCTGCTTGAGCGGGCGTGTCGCTTGGGCAGCAACGATCTAGAATCCGGTGCCCGTCTCTACATCGGCTCCAGGGCACTAAATTCTACTTGGATGCCCACAGTACTATCCGGAGAAGCGAAAACTCATCTATTGCTCCCGGACGGTCCCCGAAATCGAGAAGGCGCTGGCGGAGCTGAAGCGTCTGATGGAGTACCGGGCATCGCAGGGCCTGCGAGAAAACATCCTCGCCTTGGGCCTGTCATCGAGAAAAAACCTATGCATACATCCCGAGGTAACTGCAGAAGCATAGTCACCTGTTCTGCCACCCCAAGTGGATCACATCCGGATCGCCAGCTGCACGCTGCGAGCCAACTCGAGCCGCCTGTCCATGGCACATTCATTGCGCTTGCCATCGAAGGAACAAGCCGGGCTTGCGATTCCATGGTACTGGCTAACGCTTCCTGCGTCGATCGGTCGAGTAGATCAGCAAAGAAAAGTTTGGCAAAGTAGTTGATACCCGGTGCCAGAGTCTGACAGCCTCATGGATTCGGGAAAAGGCCAAGCAGAGCCCTCCAGGCGAGATCGAACAGTGCCAGTTTTTCGAGGTTCGATCGTAGAGAAGGCGCCGGCATGCGAATCGCTCGTGGGGTGGTCTCGGATGATGCCGATGCTGAGGCGATAGGATTTGGTGGTGCTCTGGACGGATTCATGAACATGTTTCCAACGTACAGTCTCTCGAGGACTTTGAATCCATGCCGACTGGTGTCTATACTCTCGAAGACCTGAAGGCGTTTGGCGAAGCCAACGGACTGTGTCCCTATTTTCTGGCGCGACAGCTGGTGCGTTGGATCTGAAGCCATCATCGTGCATGTTGCCTCGGTGGCATGTGCATGTGCTCGTGCGTGCGAGCCAACTGACATACTGCGTCTCAATCCTGCAGATCCTCTATGCCGACGTGATCATCTACAGCTACCACTACTTGCTGGATCCCAAGGTCGCAGATCTCGTGTCCAAGGAGCTCTCGAAAGATGCCATTGTCATTTTTGATGAGGCACACAATATCGGTACGAAGAGGGATCGAACCTGTGATCCAAGTCGCTCTGTCATCATCCCCGTATGCAATAACGACTCTGCTGGCCCGGATTTGTGATCAAGTGGCTGACTTTGCATGTGCCGAACAGACAACGTCTGCACCGAGTCGCTGAGCATCGACATCACCAGACCAATTCTCGATGCAAGTGCCCGGAGCATCCAGACGCTTTCCTCCACGATTGATGAGTACGTTGAGCAAAGGGCCGGGCTGGGCCATGGCGTGATGCGACCACCAGGCCGCTTGCAGTCATCAACACCGTCTACTCTGCTTGTCTAGATTGAAGCAGTCCAACTCGGAACAGCTGCAAAACGAATACCAGCGACTTGTCGATGGGCTGCGGGAGACCCATCAGCAGCGTGCCACTGACATGGTCATGGGCAATCCAAGTAAGCAAGCATCCTCCCTTTGCCCACAGCCAACCCCAACGAAAGGAGTTTGATTGTACTCTACTAACCCACAAGTGATTGAACGTCCCTTCTCCAGCTCTTCCCGACGATATGCTGAATGAAGCGGTCCCTGGCAACATTCGACGGGCCGAACACTTTGTTGCCTTTCTTCGCAGACTGGTCGAGTACATGAAGGTTGGGTTGCCTCAATCTGCATTGAGCATCTGTTACCATCGAGCAACTGTCATCATCGAGTAGATGTTGATACCGGGCTGCTGACCGATATTGGACCGATTGATCTCACCGCCGACAACGCCATCTTGCTTGCCTCCAGACCCGTATGCGTGTGATGCACGTCGTCGCGGAATCCCCGCCTTCATTCCTGCAGCATATTCGAGAAGTGACATGCATCGAAAGAAAGCCCCTCAGGTGCGACTCGTACTGTAGCCGATGAAAGCCAGCGTGCGAGTCCAGGGTTGCTGACATATCTCGTTGCTCTTGACATCCCCTCGCAGGTTTTGCGCAGAACGACTCGCTTCGCTCATTCGGACCCTTCAGCTGACCCAGCTCGCCGATTTCACGGCACTTCAGCGAGTGGCTGCCTTTGCCACCTTGGTTGCCACATACGAAAAGGGTAGGCATGGACACATCCATGGACTCTCGTTGCTGCTGGCTCCACTTTTCTACCACGGACAATGCTCGCGTTTGAGACTCAACTGCTCAGCGGCTCAGCTCTGATCCTGGCAGCCTTGCCACGGATGTGTGGCGCGATTGTCTGACGACACATGTTATGCACTACTAGGATTCTTGCTCATCCTCGAACCGTTTGAGAACGATACCGACACGATCCCCAATCCGGTGCTTCACCTGACGTAGGCTCCATCGGGCTTGTCCCAAGAAGCAGATAAGCGCGGGTGTGGGTCGGGCGCATCGCGATGCTGTGTTGCTGTGTTGCTGGTCGCTAACCATGTCGCTGCTACGCTCAGCTGCCTGGATGCCACGTTTGCGATCAAGCCTGTCTTTGACCGGTTCAGCACCGTCGTCATCACCTCCGGCACCCTGTCTCCCATGGATCTCTACCCGACCTTGCTTGGGTTCCGTCCAGTGGTCATGGAGAGCTACCAGATGACCCTGACCCGCGACTGCTTCTTGCCTCTGGTAGGCGGTGTTCCCAAGTCATCGGGGATCAAGTGCTGCAGCAATAGTTGAGAGCAGGCTGAACTAACGGACGCCGAACTTGTAATTCGGCAGACGGTCACCCGCGGCAGCGATCAAGTTGCCGTGAGCTCCAAATTCGAGGTCCGTAACGATCTAGCCGTGGTTCGGAACTACGGCAATATCCTGCTGGAGTTTGCCAAGGTGGTCCCAGACGGCCTCGTGTGCTTCTTCCCTTCCTATCTCTACATGGAGTCGATTGTTGCCGCATGGAACGAGCTGGTAAGCACAACAGCAGAGCTCTACAGGCAAGCAAACGCGACTGCCGCACTCGCCCAAGGAATGAGATTCGCTGACATCTTGTGCCTGGTCGTGGAACTCCTCAGGGCATGCTGCAGGAGCTCCTCAAGTTCAAGCTTATATTTATCGAGACTCCGGATGCGGGCGAAACCAGTCTGGCTCTTGAAAACTACAGAAAGGTACGCCGCTCTATTGATTGCAAGCGAGCGCCTTGGTGCGAAAGAGTCGCGTGGGCAGCCTCATTGACAGCGACCAATATGGCGGATGCAATCGAGCATCTGCATGGCCCTATGAAGCTGGTCCGTGATATGCAATTCAATGCTGAGCGATTGAGTGGCTGATCCTGTTCGTCTTGGTGCATGTCAACGGACACAGGCTTGTGACAACGGTCGAGGCGCCGTCCTGCTTTCAGTCGCCCGTGGTAAAGTGTCTGAGGGAGTCGATTTTGATCACCACTACGGACGCGCTGTCATTCTCTTCGGCATTCCATACCAGGTAAGCATCGGAGCGACTGTCAGCATGCGACGCTCTTGTTTCTCCACTCATGGTCCATTGGGCTAACACAATCCATGCTGCAGTACACTGGTAGTCGTATCTTGAAGGTGAGTGATATCGGCGAAACCTGGCTCATCCGCCAGTGTTTCATCGGAGGGCACCCGCGGCCGCAGAAGGGCGTGTCAGCATCGCACTGACAGCGATTGATCCACGCGCACCGACACAGGCTCGTCTGGAATATCTGCGCGACAACTTTGGCATCCGCGAAAACGACTTTCTTACCTTCGATGCCATGCGCCACGGCGCCCAATGCGTGGGACGTGTCTTGCGAGGAAAAACAGACTACGGTCTCATGATCTTTGCGGACAAGGTGAGAACGCTTGTGACTCCCGCAGCGTCAGCGTCCTTCCGTCGAAGCGCCCGCTTCACTCGTACACTCGCGTGGTTGGTTGGATCGTGAAAGCTGACTCGCCCCGTTGATCGCCGTTGTGTGCTTGTGACCCGTGGTTCACCGTAACGTCGCCTCGCTTTCCGATGATGGCACATCGCACCGCATGCAGAGATTCGCTCGTGCCGACAAGCGCTCCAAGCTGCCCAAGTGGATTCTGGCGAATATGAACGAAAGCAGCACCAACCTGAGTACGGACATGGCCGTGGGCGTTACCAAGAAATTCTTGCGCAGCATGGCCCAGCCCTTTGATCGCACCCAGGTTGGCATCTCCCTGTGGGACTCCAAGATGGTTGAAGCCGCGCAGAGGGGAGCAAGGCGCGCAGGACCTACAGCACCATCAAACGCACAAGTGACCGCGATGGAACTCTGAGCGAGCTGTCGTTCCTCCAAGGCATCCGTGATGGTAACTCGACCATGCGCATCTGTTGCTGGTCTGCTCGTTCGGGCATTCCCTGCGCTCTGGCTCTTGAATACACACGGTCATCCTGCGCTCTATTCGACAATCGTCGCAGCAATCGTCGCAGCAATCGACCAGATGTGTTCCGGGATGTGTTGCGAGGTGCACTCCTTCACAAGTGAGCTGTTTTTTTGGTCCATGTTCGCAGCACAGTCACAAGCGACACTGAAACGAGGGCGTGTTCCACTCGTATTGGCGATTCTGTATTGTAACGACCGGACCATAGACGAGTGGCACGCTCCATCCAAGGTCAATGATATCCTGACCCAGCGTTCATCTCGAGGCTATTTCATTCGGCTACCACTCCTGAGACCCACCCTTGTATTTGATAGCATCCAAGAGCGATATGGATCCTATTCGCGAGCTCAGTCCTTGGACATTGCCTCCCCTCTGTCCTTGGCCACCCCGGCCACCACCACCACGTCCTCGTCCGGATCCACCACCACGACTAGCGGTGTTGCTTCCGCCGCGGCTGTTTACGCTCGATCTGCCTTTGCCTCTGCCGCGACCGCCTCTTCCTCGTCGACCACGGCCGCGATACCTGCCGGCACGAACGACTCTTTCATGAGGTGAGTCCAGCCACAGACGCAATCAGCCGCAGACAAGGTTAGTTGAGTTCAAAGCCATGCTCGAGACAGCTCCTCTGAACCCACTCGCCTCCAGCCGTGGCTTGGCAGTCAAGTCAGCACTTGCTTCAGTTCACTCACTTTGTCTCGAGCAAGACATCCAGCTCATCGTCACAAACAACGCATCCGGTGAAGTCGTCCTTGCCCTCCTTCTTCTGGAACTGAACCGTCATGAGGCGTGCGCCACAGTCACCGCATACATCATCCTGGATCGTGATTTCTGAAGCAAAGGGCCAGCGTTGTCAGATGGATGCTGAGTATCTCCTTGGTCACATGCAACCTCTCCAAACGAGCAAGATGTGCCGACAGCATGCGGCGAGAATACGGCAGCAGCGATGATGGGCTTGTACCATTGACGACGTCGTTGAAGCTGGAGACAATGTTGCATTTGTTGCATCCCATCTGAGGAGTTTTGCATCGTCGTAAGCGCCGCCATGCTACTGTGCAAGTATTCTCCTTTGCTCATGGCCGAACATGCTGGCAGTTATCGTGATGCTTACCTTCCAGCGGGGCGCGGATGTGGCATCCAGGACAAGCACGCCGTTGCAGCCCTCATCCGGACAAGAGGTGATGGCTGTGGTCGTGAGACTGTGTCTGCACGTTGGATGAACACAAGCGTTGCATCCCATCCCTGCGGTGTGATTGTAGCTATGGATCAGTCGGGCTGACATTAAGGTGGACGACGTTTGAGGCGCCTTGGCGAGCGATTGCACCTGATGTAATCGAGTCGCCGTGCAACTGTCGGTTACCTGGCTCGATGTTCTCGAATGGAGGGGCGTTGTAGCACATCGGGCAGAGAGGATACCCTTTCCCCTTGCTGCCGGTCGAGAAGATGATGAGTTCAAAGTTGTCAAGGGGGCACTTGAGTTCTTTGAAAAGCTGGCGGATCACAATAAGAAGCAGGGTGATGAGTGGCCCAGCGAGCATATCGCAGAGCGGATGGCATATCAGCGGGAAAGCACCAATATGAGCCCCGGAATCGTGAGGATGGTGGTCTATGTTGACCGGAAAATGGAGCTATGCGAATTAAGATGGAGGAGGATCAGAGGCCGAAAGGGCACAGCTACCTTTATGTTGCCGTTCGGTGGCAGACTGTAAGTGTCGTTGCAATTGCGACAGTGCAGTCGGGGAGGATTCAGGTTGATGTAGTGCATGTAGCGCAGACACCTGCCACACTTGGAAAATGGCTTCTCAGAGGACGCCAGAGGAGAAAATGTGGCTTCGAAGAGGTGATCCATGTTCTCGATCTGAATCAAGGGTGGACGTGGCCGCATCAGTATCGGTGCTGGTCCACAGCAGTGGTTCCAAACAGAGGTTGCTGTTTCCGCGAAAGCTAGCATCAGAGAGAGGCTCGAACCTTCTTGGTGAACGTATCAAACTTTGACGAGTATACTTGTATGGCCTCCTTCAGAACATCCGAGTACTTGGCCTTGCCGTCGGCAATCAGTTTGATCCGCGCCTCCATCGATGAGCGGAGCCTTCGAAGGAGGTTCATATATACAATCCACCACCGGTGCAGCATGTCAACATTCCGATCGTTAGAGCCAAGCGATGGAGACACACTCGCTTTCGGAGTCTGTCGTGAATGCCTTGAGCGTATCCAGCCAGCCGATGTCACAACAGGATGCAAATGCACCCTGGTAAGGCACTCACGTCGGCAGCGCCAGATCCGGATCGATTTTCTGGTATCCATGAATCAAGACGATGCCGAGATTCGTCGGAACCAAGTATCGCTGCTTGCCATGGATCTAGTGTTGCATCTGCTGGTCAGTGCATCGGCAGGATCGAATCGCTCTTTGGCCAAACTATATCAATCGCTCCTCCGCCAGCTATGTCAGCGCCCTTTCGATGACGTGCAGCGGGCAAACCTACTTGCACATATTTTCGATTGACAATGTTTGATATGTGCACAGCCATACTCGCATCCGTACCGATGCCCAGCTTCTCCATCTGAAAGGATTGAAAGCGCCGATAGTCAGCCAACAGCCGTCATTCGACGATCGATGGGAGTGGCATCGGCTGCTCGGACATGCAGGCGGGGAGACGCACCGACCTGGTCAATAAGATCGCTTTCTGTCAAGTACTCCGGGGGCTCTGTTTTGCCTTCCTTCATGGCAATGTCGACGACATCAAACACCGAGCCCTCTTGGATCTCGGCTGGCAGAATCTCGTCGGACATGGACTTCCAGTGCATCACATTGGTGAAACCGGGTTTCTTGACCCTGCTGCAGCTGAAATGAAAGGTGGCAGAATGGACATCCGAGTCGCTTCCGCTGATCGCAATCCGGGCGGTGGTTTTGGCATATTGAAGGCTCGGCGACAGAGTGCCGATGAAGTGCCGTGTGATAAAGTCGTATAGTCTCCAGAGGTCGCCGCCCCCAAGCTCCATCTCCTCGGCGCATCGAGTTGGGGTGCTGGCGCACAGATGGCAGCGGGTATCTGTCAGTAGACCGACGGAACACATGATGGACAGAGACAGCGATCATTGCTCAACCAATGCAGCAGCACTTTCAAGTCACGACGTACATTGGCGGATGGTCTCCGTGGTCCTGTCCGGTCGAGATGGAGAATGAATTGGTGTTGTCCAGAATGTCACAAGCATAAACACCCCTGCGTGTGTGTGAATCAATCAGTTGGAATTGATGGTCTACCAGAGTCGTTGCGTCGGAGAGTCCGAGGAGACCACAGAGTAGTGACAATGTGGTGGGCGGCGAGAAGCAAAGTATGGCAAGGGAAATCCAGCTGCCATGCATATATATGGCCAAATGAATCGATCATCGCGCCATACACACCACTGCGAGTGGTCTTTCTGAATGATAAGAGCTGCCTTGAGGTCAAAGTGTAGGGGATATTTTGACGTCTCTGTTCTGGGATAGGAGATGTAGCCTTGCATATACAGCCGCTCGGCGATATACATCTGTGGAATAGGTGGCATTAGTAGCATACCCTGCAACCGATTGCGATGATATGGAGTTGCAATGGTGGGAGACGTGTCTGCGACACTCTTTGCCAAAATGTACACTCACTGCATCGCTTGGACTGATGCCGAGCCAGGCCGATGCGCTCTTGAGCAGCTCCACGGTGTTGAGGGCTACAGGCGGCGGTACCGTGCGCTTCTCAGATACGATGGCAACAACCCTGGATTCCCACGAGCCCGTCATTGATTTGCAAGGCAGAGAGTGAGAGTGATCATCGGCAGAATCATGAGCATGCCTGTGTCTCCGTGTGGCGATCGACTGGGCAGTCGTCGTTGCGTGATCGTGCAATCACAGTACGCACTTGGCCTTGGCCGGGACCTTGAATGAGTTCTTGATGCCGATGGCGTGGTTTCGGTCAAACATGCGGCCTTGCTCGCAAGTGATCGTGATGGTCCGTCTGGCCACCTTGATCTGACCTGTGATGGTCCAGTACGGCACTGGGACGAACTGGGCGATAAATAGAGGATCGAGCAAATGGCGGCGCTGTCAAGATTTGATGGTCGCTGACGCAACTGCTGGCAATGGTTCCTTCGGTCCGATGCAGAGTGTCTCCAAATTGATCCGTTCTACCACGCGGTCTGGATCTGCAGCAGCCCACTTACACCAAGTATTTCGTCGTGCCGTTTGACGCACAGTGCGAGGCTGCATACCAATATTGACGCCGTGAGTACACTCTATAGTCTATCGGCTGACAGACATCGCAAGACCATCGAATGCCACCCAGCCGACCCCTCCGACCGATTGAGCGGGGACAACCCCGCATCTCCGCTTTGGCTGAGTGAACGTTGCCTGCTTTCGGAACAGGGCCCCAATGACCGTTTACGAGCACGGATGTGGACGTACGTTGGCGTCTGGCAGGGCCCAAACGATATCAAGCTTGAGTCCAGGTTGGCATACTTGCCCTGGAAGAACCGAGTTTGGAACCGGGTGAAGGCGCATCCGATCTGAAGAACAGAGACAAAAGGACAACAAAGTTGAACAACAAACGAGCGGGCCGCTCTTCGTGTCGAGGCGCTGCGTCTCGCTGCTTGGTCCCTCAGCGTCGATGGTCTGACTTTATCATCCTCGCAATACCGTGGGAAGCACCCATGAGTGGTACCTTCAGATCGAGCTCCTGACGCACATCCACGGCCTTGGCTTCGTTTTCGTTTGGGGCAACGAGGTGTCGCAGCGCTCGCTTGATGTCATACGATGTGATAGCTAAGCAGGGGCTGTGTTAGCGGCACATCCAAGAGCACACTCACCTTGACGTCACCATCGTGAGTTGGCTCGACAAAGAGGCGGGTTTGAGAGCCAAGGGCTTGGTCCAGGATACAAAGCTGTCCAGTGCGAGAGGCGCCGAGCTCCCACCATACCTGAAAACTTTGCTCTGAAGATTCGCTCGTCGGCACCAATGTCGGTGGTGGCATAGGTTTTGGGCCCCTTGGTGCGCTCCCGAGGTTTGAAGCCGTTGCGGACGCACCGAATGACTTCGTAGCAGATGTTCTCGCCTTCGCGGTCGCAGTCCAGCCACAGGATCAGGTAGTCCATCCCTCTCGATTCGTTGACGAGATGCTGAACAATGCGGCTCTTTGGGTTGGCCTCGACTTGCTCGACAGGGGCCTCAAACAGCTCGATGGGCGGGACCGACTCCCAGTTGTTATATTTCTGGGTTGCGGCAGTCGGCGTTGGCACGCATCACAATTGACCGCGGGGCCGCATACGAAAAGATAATACAGAATCGTTCCAGCAACGTCAGCGACACTGCTGGTGCAATGTGCGAATGGCGAGTCAGAAGTCTGACGGGACGGAACAGAACGCACCTTTGGAAAGTCGCATGAAAAGACATGCCCTGAACGCGAGCAATGAAAGCGAGATATCGGGCGAATCAGCATGCAGCAGTTGCATATATTCGGTGCGAGCGCCAATATCCAAGTGTGCACTGGCGCAAGCGAAATCCCACCGACCAGCCAGCTATTGTTCTGGAGCGATATCCAGAACTCGGCGGCCCAAAACACCAACCCAACACCTGCACCTTACCCAACACCGAGGTCACCCGGTACTGCGCGGGCTCACACATAAATTTGGCGGTATATTCCCAAACATTGCAGCTGATCCCAGATCGCGAGACGCACTGGGAATATGAGCGGGAGCAGATGGGCCAGGAGCCAAGGATCAGCAAGCCAGCCCAGGCCGATGGAGCGGAAGCGTGGGCTGTCGCACGCAAGCTGCAAAGGGCGTACCTCTCCAGACGATAGGATCTTGGCTATGCTCTCGGCGAGCGATGGCTGCGTGCGGAAGAGAGATCGAGTGGGCTGGTCAGTGAGCGGACTCGACAGACACTGCAGACGATACGATCAAGCCGATAATACGATCAAGCCGATAATACGATCGTGCAGATGATACGATCGTGCAGATGATACGATCGTGCAGACGCCAGGAGCGGCATTTCCTCCCACCCACCACCACCACCACCACCACCGTCTCGTATCTGCCGTCGCTGCCACGCACCTTCTCTGCCACCATGAGCACCAGCGGAGGAGCCATGTCGTTGCGCCAGTCGATACCCCGGCGCAAGCATCGGCGCCTTGATATCAGGCCGCCTGCTGCGCATCGGCTCGAACCGCCCATGGCTCGCCTTGTCTGACAAAGTCGACCTCGCCGGGCTCTGGCGACATCGGCTCTATCCGCCATCGAGAGCGTGCTCGCCCGACCACGCCGCCATCTATCTTTCTGCGTATCCGCTATGGAGACGCTTCTCTCGCACGACCTGCCGCCCTTCGACGGCATCCCGCTCTCGGACTCGAGCGATGTGGACGAGGCCGTCCTTGCCAAGCTCGATGCGCTGCAGCTATTGCGATCCCTCAAGCAAGCACATGCACTTTTGAGGCTCAAAGAGCGAGGTGAGTTTCCCCCACCTCTCGCCCAACGATATGACGGACTCGCCATTCGGGTCGTCCGGACTCTCTGGGGGGGGGGAAGAAGGCAGAGCACTGGACTCGGCTCCTGTGGGCATGCCCAGCTGCTCCTTTGCCCAGTCGGCGTATTCCATGGATCCTGCTGCGATACAGGCACATGTTCATATCGTCTCCTTCGGCCGCCCCTCTCATCTGATTCATGTGTGCTGGCGCCAACACCAGACCTCAACATCGCCGCCGAGATCGGCCAGAATCTGCTCCAAGCCAACTCGACGCTCAAGCAAGCCTACGAAGACCTGCTCAGCAAGTCCACTGCCTCCCCGCCACCAACCCCGGCCAAGGACATTCTCCGGGCCTCTCTTGCACATGTGAATCCCTTTGAGAAGGCCGAGCAGTATGCCAAAATTGCAGCCGCGGCGGCGACCGAGTACGACAGCCTCAAGCTCGCTGACGACTCCAAAGCCTCCCTCCACCCGCCATCGTTTTCCGATACCAGCGCCTCCGAGCCGCCGCCGTTGCCTGGAGCATTCCCCTCGACAGCGCCAGTGTCGCAAGTCATCGAGACCAGCGACCCATCCTCGTCGCCACCATCGCCCGACTCCAATCGGCTGCTGCGTCCGATACCGGCCCCGATTGTCACCCGGCCGAGACTTTCCAAGCCCAAGCCCAGTCGCCATGTCAAGCAAAAGTCCAGCTCCAGTGCCGCCGCCTTCAAGCGGCTGTCGAGCTCTCCCGAGTTTTCCGAGCGAGTCCGACGGCCCTCGCAGACGGACCTGTCCGAGTACGTCATCTTTCTCGAAAAGAGCAACACGGACCTGCAGACGCAGCTCCAGGCAACCCTCGACCAACACAAAAAGTCCGAGATCGACCACCGAGGCCAGGTCGACCAGCTCTTGGGCGACATTGAGGATCTCCGGTTCCAGCTCTCCAAGGCCGAGGATCTCACGGTCATGCTCGAGTCCGACCGCTCGCGGCTCGTCAGCGAGAAGATGGCACGGCTCCGAGAGTCGGCTTCGATCGAGCAGCTCGATGCCTCCCGCATCGACACTCTCTCCAGCACAGTCAAGGACCTTCAGACGGCCAACTCCAAACTCGAGCGTGCCAAGCGGGAGGAGGAGCGCAGAGTCCAGCAGCTCAAGGCCGAGCTCGACCAGGTCAAGAACAGCGACCTCGACAATATCAAGCGCGAGCGACAGACCTACAAGGAGCTGAGCGAAAAGCAGGCCCTCCACATTGCCGAGCTGACGCTGCAGCTCTTTGAGCACCAGGCCCGGAACCAGGCCCTCGCTGAGGAGATTGCGGAGCTCAGTCTGCGGGTGGTGCCTCCGTCCCCCGTGGTGTCGTCCCCGGCTCTGTCGCTCATTTCCATGGCCTCGCGCGAGTCGCTGTTGGTTTCCGAGACCCAGCGCCGTGGCGGCCCCCGTCCATCCAGCGACTTGGATTCTGGTCGATTGAGGGATCAGGCATCGAGCCCACCCGTTTGCACGCCAACCGAGCCCTCGGAGCCCCTCAAGGCCAAGCGGTCGTCGCCAAAACTGAAAACGCTGCTCACGACAACATTTAAGCCTCCGGGGAGCGCACCACCTGTCCAGGTCCATACTGATATCACCAACATTCCGTCGCTTGTGTCGATGGATCGGCAGCGCTCGCTGCTCGAGGAGCTCGATGACGCAACCAAGACATCGTTCCAGCGGGTGGCCATCCCCATCAAGAGCCAGCAGATGGGCGTTGTCGATCTCTCGGGCGACGAGGACGAGTATGTCGAGGCCGAAGAAGGCTACGACCAGGAGGAGCTTGCCCACGAGGCCGACCGAGAGGACTTTGACTCGAGGGACGAGCTGGGCCATGACTACGGCTCGGATCCAGACAGCGACGACGATGACGATGATGCCGAGTGCTACGATGCACTGATGTCGCCCACGCGAACTGTGGGGCCTCTGTTGCTGCACAACGCATCGCATCGGTTTGGCCTGGCCCCGACCCAGCGACCGTCGAGCACTCCTACGGTCGATCAAGTAGCGCGCACGCTGCTGCCGCCCGACTCGGACGAGTCGCTGGCGAGACCCCTCCGGACGCAGCCCACCAGTCCATTCGACGCCTCGGCGATGATCCAGCAGCAGCCCGGACAGGCGGCGCGCATTTTGTTTGAGCGATACCAACTCGTCGGATTCGGCTCGGTGAAGACGGGCATGATTGTGAAGGTTTTGATGGACTCGTGGATCCGGTTCTTGTACAGTCTCGTGGGAGGCAAATGATCTGCGATTGTAGTCCGTGATGATGGAGGGCTGTGGCTCTGCCGGGGCGAGTTCCAGCAAGGACGTATCTCCCAAACGCCCCTCCGCCCCGATGCGGGCACTGGCTCTGGTGGTCAAGCAATATTGGCCAAGAACCTTGGCCAGCGATCTGGTCAGTATCGCGATCTCATAGAATTCTCGCAACACACCTTTTCTTTGTCTTTGGCATGCGCCGATGACGCACTTGCTGCATGTGTCCCCTGCATGTCTCGGCGTTCACGCCTCTCTTGGATGCGTATTTGTATTTGTTGCCTCCTCGGGTCCTGTCTTGCTCGCACTGCACTTCTATGACCTTGTCATTCCAACTTTGCTGCTCTCTTGCGGTCGTCGGCAGAGATCAGTGGCTCTGCACTATCCTGGAGGACGGACCCACAGTCTGCCCCCTCACCAATACACCTTTCTATAACCCTGAATCCAAGCTCGGCCCTGGCTCTGCCTTTGCCTCTGACTACATATCATATCCTCCAGGGGCTCACACTCACGCGATGTCATCCCCAGACATCCTCGCTGTGGTCGATCCGAGAATAAGGCCGTGGGCTCGCGGTGACTTTGCAGGATCGTATTGTATTGCGGGTGGTTCAAATGATGGGAGGATGAAGCTTCAAAAACGGTGGGAGTGCGTCTTGATGAGCAGACAGAAGCCGAAACCTGTGCTGTGCCGCGTTATTGCAGGCATTAGGCTTGGTTGGAGGCATCCAGCTCGCGGTATCGTCTCTCGATCTCGTCAACCTCCGAAGCAGTGCCCAAGAAAATGCCCGAGCGGGCGTGGATGTCATCGGGGATCAGGTCAAGGATGCGCTGGCGGCCGGTTGAAGCCTTGCCGCCGGCGGCTTCGACGAGCATGGACATGGGAAAGCCCTCGTACAACAGACGGAGCTTGCCGCCGGGGTACAGGAAAACACCTCCATAGAGCAGTGTTCGGTGGACCTGAGGATGATGCAGAGGCAGAGCGACGATAGCCGTCAGCAGCGGCGACTGGCGAGCGAGTAGTGCACGATGCTCGGATGTCGGTCTATGCCACGCACTGTTTCATCAGACGGGCACGTTGCCGGACATGATATTGTGTCAGGGCAGGCCATTCGTCTCCCTCCCAAGTGCATGCAATGGCCGCCGGTACTTACGTCCGCAACCATCGAGCCGACATAGCGAGCGGCATAGGGCGTGAACTTGCCCTGGAAGCCGGGCGAGGGGAACTTGAGCGAGTCAATGTATCCCTTGACGGCGGGGTCGAAGGTGTTGGCATAGCCTTCGTTGCACGAGTAGATCTTCTTGGGACCGAGCTTGATCTGCATGGAACAAAGTAGGGGAGAGGTGCAGAAGTCGAGCGATCAGCAACGGGCAAGTCGGAGGAACGTGGAGTCCCAGGTTGATCGACGACGCGTCTGGGAACGGCCGACTTACGTTGGAGTGAGTCAGGACAAACTCGCCAATGTTGGGATCCAGGGTGTATCCGTTGACCTCTTTGCCGGTGGTGAGGACCAGGACGGTCGAGCTTCCGTACATGCAGTACCCAGCAGCGACCATCTCCCGTCCGGGACGCAGGAGATCGGCGAGGCTGGGGTTTCCGATCTTGTTCTGCGGTTAGAGAGCAACGGGCGGTCAGCGACAGCAGGTGTGCAGCAGCAGCAGCAGCAGCAGCAGCAGGCAATGCATAGCATGCAGCGCGAGGCACTGCACCGGACTGGCGTGGATTCGCTCCGACGACTGAACATACCACTTTGTAGATGCCAAAGATGGTGCCGATGGAGACGCCGCAGTCAATGTTGGACGAGCCGTCGAGAGGGTCAAAGACGACGCAGTACTTGCCCAGCTTGCTGTCGATGAAGATGGCCTCCTCGTTTTCCTCCGAGACGAGGATAGCGGTCTTTCCGGAGCCGCGGAGCATGTTGATCATGATCTCGTTGGAGAGAATGTCGAGCTTTTGCACGTTCTCGGCCTGGACGTTGGTGGTTCCGGTCATGCCCAGGCTGCAGCACAGGAGCAAGGAGAGATGGAGCCGTCAGCACGAGTCGAAGGCCGAGGAATCAATTGCTCGAGCGGTACTGATGGGGATGCCATCGTTCGAGCGGTACTGATGGGATGCCATCGTTTCTGCTGTGCTTTCGCCGTGGCTGGCGATCACCCCAGCCAACATGAGCAGCCGCCAGCGAGCAGGAGCGAGCAGGAACGAGTATGATGGGCAAAGACGCAGGCAATGCTTACACTTTGAGCAGCTCGGCCTTGCGCACAACATTGGAGATCCACTTGCAGGCCGAGGCCAAGGACGAGAGCAGGATGGTCAGGTCACCGGTGCTTTCCTTGTGTTGCTGCTGCTGCGACAGGATGGTTTGGGTGAGGGTGACAATGTCGGTTCGTGTTTCGACGCCGTTGGAGTGCGACTCGGCCATGGTGGATAGATTGGCAGTGTTGGGCGGATGGATGTGTTGGATGCGTTGGATGCGTTGGATGCGCCGACTCGGAGATGGAATGTGCTGGATGGGACGGAGCGGCCGATCCCCAAGGCTTTATGTTGCGCCGCCCGGGCCGTCATGCTCCGTCCGCACACGCACTTGCCACCCGACCGCCGCCCAGCCGGAGAAGAGCGCCAGCACGGCTTTGCTGCCGACGGCCCACCCGAAATCTGCCCGTGCTCATGCGCGTGGGAAGAGCATGTCCCGGACTGCCGCCCGCCATGCAGGAATTGCGCCGATACTTGGCGACATGCGTGCTGGCTCCGTATCATGACTGCCTTCAGTGATGATTGCGGCGAGTACCTTTGCTCACCCTCTCGCTCTCGTAATCTCTCCCCCCCCCTCGCTCTCCCAGCGCCCGCTTTCGTCCATGCTCGCCGTCCCGGCCCCCGCCCGATGTGCCCGCCCGGATCGGAGCCGGTCCAGGAAGCATGCCGCACACGTGATTGCATGTCGGGATGCACGCAGCCACGCCCAATCAGCGCGCTCGGGCGGGCGGCACGGCCCGGCTGCGGGTTGGGTGCAGGGGCGGGGCCGGCTGGGGCCGAAAGGGAAGCCAAAGATGACGATGCAAGTTGACGGTTCGGAGCGCGGGAGAAACATTGCCGAAGGCATTGATATTCTCCTCGAGCGTGCTCCTGATCATCTGTACCTTCAGGATATGGCTACTCTCTCGATCGAGCTTGACAGGGAGGGCGAGCGAAGGGCTGCGCCGGTGATTGCTCGCTAATGTGATGCTCTTCTCGTTGGGTTTGCGCATTCAGTGAGTTTGTCGTTCTTGGGTGTGCCACTGTCGGGTGAATCCGGCACGATCCAATGCATTGCCGCTTCTCTGACATCTCTCGTATCTGGGACTGGACGCTGTACATCGTGTTGAATAAACGATGGGACACATCGTCTCATTCAGACAAGCACGGCGTTGTCGGATCGTATCACACACTCGGTCAAGTGGGCACGATGGGGACCAGCGAATCGCTGTAGATGCAGTCGCTGCAAGTCACTGCAGGTCAGAGCAAGAAAACATACCTGGGATGAAAGAGGAATACGCAGAGCAAAGAGAAAATCGCTGGTTTGGGTACCGATCAAAGCCGTTTGGCCAGATCGATCAACACCAACCGATCCACAAGCCATCTGCGTGTGAAAGCGTCCCGTTCATATCAAGTTCGCTGTGTTGCGGTGTGCCAGATTGATCCGTATCAGGCTGGGATGCCGGGACGGCTCTCAACATGGCTTCGGCGGCTGCAGCACAGCGTTGATGCCCAGACAAAGGCCAGCGCGGCGATTGGATCCGGCGGAGGTGGCGGGACGCGCCACAGCGCATGTGCGTGTCTGTGTGAGTCTGTGCGAGCGGGCACGCGCGGCAAGCCCCGTGGAGAGGCGCGCTGCCACGCTCGGCGGATCCAATCGCCGCGCTCCTGCCGGCACAGCCCCACAGTCCATGTGCGCCGCTCTCCAACTGGCCAGAAAAGCCTCCGCCACCGTTGTCTCTGTATTGGCTGCAATTCCTGTCTGTCTGTGGTCGGTGATGTGTGGTCAGTGATGTGCGGTCAGTGGTGTGTGGTCGGTGATGTGTGGTGAGCCTGTCGATTTTTTTTTTTTCTGGTCCCCAAGCCTGCGAGGATTGCCGCCGGCTGGCCTTGGTTGCTTGTCCGTCGGCCTCTGCCCTGGTCTGCACCGCTTTGCTGTCGCCAGCCAGCCAGCTTCCACCACAGCCATGCCCAACACCGAAACGGTCTTTGAATTCGACGACGACTTTGCCCCGGCTGTCGGGGCCGACGACCATGATCCTGGCTCCAATTCGGTCCCTGCTGGTGTCGTGCCCACCATCCGCCTCGATCGTGAGAACGGCTTCGACTCCGACTCCGATGACATCATTGCCCCTGCTCGTCCCTTGGGCCAAGCACTGTCCTCTCGCAGCATCGGCGGCGATCTCGTCGCCTCGCCATTCCTCGACGACCTGGACGAATCGCAAGTCGTCAACATTCTTGACTACGTCGCCCCTGATGCCGACGACGATGACCAGGCCGCCGACCCCAAGCCATCTGCTGCAATTCCACAGCCGGGTGCCATCGACTGTGACTGCGACGGCGCCCCTGCCATCCCGAATGGCGCCCCGGTGAAGCGCCGGGTTGGGCTCGCCGACTTTGATATCATGAGCGTCATCGGGACTGGTGCCTATGGCAAGGTCTTCCTGGTCAAGAAAAAGACCAACAGCCATTTGTTCGCCATGAAGGTGCTCAAGAAGGCCTCGATCGTGATCCACGCCAAGGAAACCGAGCACACCATCACCGAGCGCTCCATCCTCGAGCGGGTGCAGCATCCCTTCATCGTCAAGCTGCACTATGCCTTCCAGACATCGTCCAAGCTGTATCTGATCCTGGACTACTGCCAAGGCGGCGAGCTGTTTAGCTATCTCGCCCGTGAGAAGATGGTCTCTGAGGACGTCGCAGCCTTCTACTCGGGCGAGCTTATCCTTGCCCTGGAGCACCTACACAGCCTCGGCATCATCTACAGGTGCGCTCATCCTGACATTCAGTCGAATGCCTGGCGACTTGATACGCTCCAGTTTCGTCAAAACTGCACTCGCAGTGACAATTCGTATCTCAGCTAAACTGCCCAATTCAGCTCTGGGACCTGATAGAAACCCCGGCCCCTGACACCATCGCTTACTATCTTTGTGCCTCGCTACAACCATCAGGGACCTGAAGCCCGAGAATGTCCTCCTTAACAAGGACGGCCATGTGGTTCTGACTGACTTTGGCCTCTCTAAGGTCGCCGTCGATGCCCGGACGGTGTGCGGAACAGTCGAGTACATGGCTCCAGAAACCATCAACGAAAGCACAGCCTATGACAAGACTGTTGACTACTGGTCCCTGGGCATCATGATATATGACATGATCACTGGATCGCCGCCCGTAAGTTTATCGTGCGTCCCGAACCGCAGCCAGCACTGACCTGTCGCCATCATCCACCGACTCATCTGCAAATCTCATTCGCACGGCCCGCAGTTCAGCGGCAACAATCGCAAGAAGGTCATGGACAGTATCCTCAACAAGAAAATCACGTATCCAAACTACATATCATCGTTTGCAAAGGATCTGCTGATCAAGGTGCGTCGCTGTCGGGTCTGAACTGCGCTTGTCGATGCTGGCTTCGTGGCGCAAGATTCATGGCACGATGCGACCTCCTGCCGTGCTTCTGGTGTTGCTGCTCCAATCCAGCACATCGCCGCCGGCCAGCGCCACACAGGAGAGGCTGCTTATATGATGGATAGTCGAGCGGCCACTCTTCTCGAAGTCATGATGGACTGTTGATTGATGCGCCATGGCAGTGTGCACCTGCGCTTCGTCGTGTGCTGTACCGAACACCGCAATCCCCTCCACTCACTGTCGCGCCATTGCGTTCATAGCTCCTTCGCAAGAACCCGGCTCAGCGACTCGGCCACGGTGACAACGGAGTGGCTCAAATCAAGAAACACGGCTTCTACCGCAAAATCAACTGGACCAAGCTCGCCAATCTCGATGTGGATGTGCCCTTGAAGCCACTCGGAGCGGTGCGTTTGATGTCCACGCTGCCGACTTGCTGGTTTCTTGCACCCATGCTGTCTTCCCCGCCTCTTGTTCTTGTTGGACTACTGACGCTCGCTTTGTGCTCTTTCATGTCGGTGTGTAGACCAGTTCCACCGATCTCCTTGCCAACTTTGACTCGCACTTTACGTCCATGCCACTCGAGTCGCCCAGCCAGGACCTCCCTCCCGAGTTGATGGATGAGCGACACAGCCAGCTGTTCCGTGGATTCAGCTTTGTTGCCAGCACCTCCGAGTACCTCTAGAAGATCCAGCTGCGAGTTCCGGGTGGGAGAGAATGTCGGGTGTATCACCCTCTTCCAAACAGCGAGTCGCCAGGGTGGGATCGATCTTTATGTGGCAGTTCCCGCCATCGACCAACCACCCCCCACGCGAGTATTTTGCTTTGCGCTGTTGTTTTATACCTGTTTGGAGTCGGATTTCCAGCTGTCCTGGCAAGACCATTGGCACTGTCTCGCCCCCCTTTCTCCAGCGAGCGCGGGACTCGCCGTCCACTTTCCATCTCACTCCTCACCCCTCACCCCTCACCCCTCATCTCTATCTTCATTAAACCACCTGTCTTCTGATACTAAAAGTCCGGGAAATCCCGAAATCCGTAGCAAATGGGTGACTCGGCGTTCCCTGTTATCTCTTGGTCATCTCCCTGCTGTCTCCCTGCTGTGCTGCATTGGATGATGCTTGGTGCAGTCGATGTCGTCGGTGACAGCTCCACAGTGACTGCGAATCCCATCGAAACCACACGCCCACACGATGGCAACAGCAGCAGACTCGTCTGCGGCGCAATTCGCTGTATTTCAGAAAGCAGGAGCCACCGGTTGTTTCGGTCGGCTGAACAAGACCACATGATGAGCGCTCATGATCAATGCTGTTTCTCTGCCCAAGGATCCTGCATCCTAGTCTCTGGTCGACTTTCTCTTGGATCCGCCGCTGAAGCTTGCGGAGGAATCACTGGCTCTGGCGTTGCCGACGATCTTTTTGAGCTGTCAGACGACGGGGGAAGCGTCAATGACTGTCCACTACCACGCTGCTAACGACTATCAGGAACCAGGAGAGACCGGCTGGACTCACTCACCTCCTTGTTGAGCGTAGCGGCCGAGAGCTCGGATGCTTGGGTCATCTGGAGGAGCTGTTGGAACAGCTGCACCATCTCGGTCATGTCTTGACCGTTGCCGCCCTGCGGGTTTGAGGCTTGAAGGCCCTCGTCCTCGTCCGTTTGGCTGTCGTTGTCATCGACATCGTCGTCGTCCGAGAAGGGCACGACCTGCATGGCGGCCGAGGAGCCGTGGCGGATTCTGGGCAGATGATGCACCTGGATGCGGGTGCCATGCCACTCACATCCGTCGAAGCCGTCGACGCAGTAGAGCCTGCACTGCTCGCGGAAGCCCGATTTCTTTGTTTTGTAGGGGCACCTGGCTTCCCTCATGACCGTGAGGCCTGTAGACATGCGCACAAGTTTAGTCAAGAGCCATGCCCAAGGCCCCAAGCAGAAATCCAAGGAGTTGCGCTGGCGGTGGCTGCTTGACGCCGGGATTGATTCCTCAACAAGCAGCGCGGGAAGAAGTCGGCATGGCATACCTCGAATGATCTCTTTGCCATGGTAGCGGCAGCCGTCCCAGCCTTTCATGCAGCCCCACTTGCACTGCTTGGTGAAGTTGGAAACGTCGGTTCCGTAAGGGCAGCGACCATCAATGCTCTGGCCGCTGTGGGCATTGCAGAGCTTCCCCGTGGCGAGAGCAGTGCCGGCGCACCGCCTCTTGTTTTCGCTCGAAACGAAGGCGCATCGGGTCGTTTGGAACTGGGGCATCGTAGGTTAGATTGATTTGACTTGCTTTGATTTGATCAAATAGCTTTGAGCGGGTGGGCCTCGGTGCAGAACATGACAGTGAGCCGGCAACGGGGCCATATATATACGAATTCCTTCGCGGCGGGTTGCTGCATCTCCGAGGCGACTGGCGGATACCCTGCGATGTATCCCCTCCAGCCAGGAGAGGGAGAGAGAGAGGGCTGAGGGTACCCGGCTGACCTTGGGTGGAAGCGCCGCGTGTGCCCAGACGACCAATGACATCTCCATGCCAGGGTATCCCCCTCTGCGTTCGCGCAGGGGCTGGGGGGGCGGTGCTTGTCATGGCCCCTTCACAAAACGCGATACGGACCACTCCAAAAGGCAGATGGCCGATGAAATATACTTTGTGGGAGCGACACCGAGAGAAACAAGTCCATCCATTGGGGGTGTGCTGCAGGTCGGGGAGTGCTTTCCTTGCGTATCCACCGCGGATACCCGAGGAATGCTCGGCGGATACCCAGCCGATGTTTGACCAGCTCGACCTGCTCGACCTGTTCGACCTGTTTGATTTCTTTCTTGGCGCCACCGGTCTGTGCAACCAAAGGGCCCATATCACTATCAATTTTTTCCGGCCCCCCGCGGCTGCTCATCTCGGTCACCTGAAAGTCACGTTGTATGTGACGCAGCAAAAGTTGGAATCCGGCCATGGTCGGTTGATGGCATTTGGTATCACCTTGAGCCGATTGACGGTGGTGGTGGGCAATTGGTGTGGAGGAATGACCAATTGTATCATTGTTGGAAGTTCCACTCCGATTGCGGACAAGAACCACCACCATCTGAATCTCTCTGGTTGGAAACCTAGTCAAGCGTGGCTGTGTGTCAGCGAGATGACATGATCGTTTGGCTATCAGGCAAGACTCACCTTGACAAGATGTCTTCCCACGACTGATTGAGCGAGCGATGCGTTTCTGGATCTGAATCAAGGACGCCACTGCGCAGTATCTCTGCCAGCCCAAAATGCGCTGGTTTTGAGGAGATTCTTTCTTCCCCAAGGGCAGAACCAGCCATCGTCGCTATTTTCTCGCCAGATGGCTCCCCGCAAGTGAAAGGCACCACCCAGGCGACCAAGTGGATCCAGAGCACCCACAAGATCCTTGGTCTGCAGCAATGGATGAGCACCACACCGAGCCCCAAGATCCCTGGGTTGGCTTCCTTCCTGCGATACATTCGCCATGTGTTCAATGGAGACATGCTGGACAAACAGCTGTACTTCAGCCTGACCCGGCGACGGCGATTCAAGCGACTCGATCTCCACAGCAAGCGACAGCGCACCGTCCACGAGATGTGCAAGCAAGTCATCGACCAGGCACCACCGGAGACCGAGGTGGTGATTGCCTTTGGGAATGCATCCTGGAAACAGGGGAAGGGATACCCATCCAGTCCCAGGAGACTCAGGTTTGCCAAGTATTTCGAGCAGTTCCACCACCACCAGAGACGACCACCAGACCGATCCGTCTCCAAGATCCATGTGTGTTCGGTGAACGAGTTCAACACATCCCAGGTATGCTCACATTGTCGGGAATTCAAGCGACTTGAGTCACCCGAGCATCTTGATATCGAGAAACCACACTTTGTCCGGAGCTGTGCAAGCTGCCATACGCTGTGGGATCGAGACATCAATGCAGCCAGGAACATGATCTCGGTATGCCAGTCGATCATCGCCACAGGAGATCGACCGGGTGTATTCAAGACTGTGCTCCCGAAACCAACCAAAACCACTCGATTGCCAACCAGGACGGGAAACAATCTCACGGCTTGCTCGCTGGGGCCTACAGTCAGTCAGCGGGGTTCAGATATCTGAAGCCAGGAAGGGGAAGTGTCCCGTTTCTTTCTGGATAGACTGTAAGTATCTTGTTCCTTGTGCATTTCGGCAGTGGATGCCGGGTCGCCCATATTCTGGGCAGTCCACTTCGGGGTTGCCATCCCTCTTGGGATGGTCGATGGGAGGTGGTTGACTCCCTTGTGCAAAGTGTGTGTGTGTGTGTGTGTGTGTGTGTGTGTGTGTGTGTGTGTGTGTGTGTGTGTGTGTGTGTGTGTGTGTGTGTGTGTGTGTGTGTGTGTGTGTGTGTGTGTGTGTGTGTGTGTGTGTGTGTGTGTGTGTGTGTGTGTGTGTGTGCGGATGTGTGTGTGTGACGGCGAGAGGCTTCTCGCCTTCCCTCGGGGGTCTCTCGCCAGAGGCTGCTCTTCTCGCCGACCGAGGTGGCTCCGAGAGCGCGTTTTTTCGTTCTCGCTGATTTTTTTAACATGAAATTTTTTTCATAGTGTATCGTTTCTCTTCGTCCGCAGCCCAGGTCCGCCGTCATCTCTGGCCTTTCGAGCTTCCACCATGATCGGACAGGTTCGTGCCCCATGCCTTGCGCTGTCGGCGTTATGTGCTCGCCAAGACATTGATCCTCCCGTCGCAGCGTAGCGCACCGCACTCATCTGCGATCGGCACCAACAGCCGTGGTCGCGATTGATTCGCTTTGCTGCCCAGGATGGCCGCATCTACCATGGCCAGCCCGTTGTCGACCAGCTCGGTCGGTTCCCGCAAGCTTTGGGCGGCCTCGAGGCCTACGTCGTCGAAGGCGATATCTTTGGTGCAAATTCCGTCACCAACACCTTGCTCAAAGTCGAAAAGGTGACGCTCTGCAGTCCATGGGGCCGCCATCGCGAGCAGCTACTGGGGTCATATCCACGATGCTTGCGCTTGCATCTCGCTCATCCAGCTCCGGTTTCTTCTTTCGCCGCCCAAGCTCCTAGCTCCTCTTGAACGAGTGCCCATCTTCCTGGGCATCGGGCTCAACTACGCTTCCCACGCAGCCGAGCTCAAGACCGCTCCCCCGCCCCAACCGGTGCTCTTCACCAAACCCCCTGGAGCCCTCCAGCATCCGTTCGAGCCCATCGTTGTTCCCCGCGTTTGTGCAGACGCCGAGGCCGACTATGAAGCCGAGCTGGCCGTCGTCATCGGAAAGCGGTGCAAGAACGTCAATGCCCACGAGGCCCTCCATTATGTCGCCGGCTACACCTGCGCCAACGACGTCACCGCTCGATATTGGCAGCGGCAAGTCGGCCAGTGGACTTTCTCCAAGAGCGTAAGTTCTGGGCGAACGGCGAAAGGCGAATCGGATCGTGCCTGTGGATGCGCCTCGTTTCATCGATCGCCGCATCCTCCGCTCGAGCTCCGCCCTGTCAATGAAGGCTAACTCCCTGTCCCTGGCTCCAGTTCGACACCTTCTGTCCCCTCGGGCCAGTCATCACCTCCACGGCCTTGATCCCCGATCCCAATGCTCTCGGCATCTCGCTCAGACTCAACGGCGAGCTCATGCAAAACTCGTCCACCAAAGACATGATCTATCCCGTTGCGTCGCTCGTGTCGTTTCTGTCCCAGGGCACAACGCTCGAACCCGGCACCGTGATCCTGACTGGAACCCCTCCAGGTGTTGGCACTGGCAAGGACCCCAAGTTGGTCCTCAAGCACGACGACCGCTGCGAGGTTGAGATCGAGTCGATCGGCACGCTGGTCAACCCGGTGGTCTACGGCGCTGACGAGCCTTCGGTCGAGTGGAGGACTTTGCCCTGATATCAGCATGCCAATGAGCAGTCCTCTGGTTGGGCTCTACACCGATCCAGCCATAGTCCCGTAACACGACAATGTGGTTGACCGTCGAGACACTGATGCGTGTTTCGGAAGTGAGCTTCGCGAGATTGGGCTGGGCGATAGTGCATGTGTTATTCAGCTGGCCATGTGGTCGATGAGGACGCTGCAAGGCACTGCCCTGTCCACTTGCAGCGACGACAGCAACATCTGCAGCATATCCCATATGGCCAACTACGCCATCGTGAGTAGCTGCAGCAGCTGGAGCTCTTCGTCGGCGCCATCCACGAGGCAGCGGTCCACTTGGGCGAGCCGCTGGCACATCATAGCCTTGTCCTTGTCGCCGATGTGTTCGCTTTTGAGCAGCTGGTCGTGGAGCTGTGCAATCAACCTCTGGATATTAGTCCCTGGCCAAGAGTGCCCAACGCACTGCACCACCACCACCATAGATGCTTGTGTGGAACCAGATGAATCTACGAGCAGATGTGTCCCAATAATCAACCAACTCACAGGAACACACCTGCGAAATGAGCTGCGTGGCGCTGTAGCCAGAGCGAACAGCTCGCTCGACCGTCTTCTGGGCACTTTCGAAATTGCGAGGAGGCTGCCAGACAGCGAGCATCTCGCTGACGAGGCTCTGTGGAATAACCTGAGAGACCGTCCCTCGGATCAGCGACTCGCTCTTTGCCACGGCCAGCAAATGCCGTCCTCCAGCGCCAGGGGAGCACAGAGATGCCTTGTACCTACCCCGCCGATTTCGCATATGATGTCGGCAGTGATCGTCGACTCGTCGCGACAGAGACGGTGGGCGCTTTGCAGGTACATGATTGACTTTCGCATATCGCCGTCGGATATGTCCACCAGCTTGTCAAGTACCTGACGGTTCATCGGCCAACCATAGATCGGCATGCTCGTGTGAGTTTGGATCCATCGGGCCGACACACATATACGTGGTCGGTCGGTCGGGAGTGCAATGCAATGCCGCCGCCCACCTCGTCAGAGCAGTTGACGTTTTCTTGCTTTGCAATGTGGTCAAGGCGAGCTTTGATGGACACACGATCCAGAGGCTTGAAACGAAACTTGGCACAGCGCGAGGCCAGCGGCTCGATGATGCTGTTCGATTCCGAGCGTCGGCCGTGTTAAAGCGGGCCGATATGCATTTCCTCCCCCCCCCCAGACGAAACGTACGCAAATGCTCGATATCCAGATCATCAGCGGCGGATGGAGGGCAACCACGGAGTTCGCGAATGGAGCACTTTACCGGCTGACGTAGTTGCAGATAAGACAGAAGCGAGTGATCTTGGAGTAGGTCTCCATCGTCCGCCGCAAGGCCGACTGCGCCTCGGCTGTCATTGAGTCTGCCTCATCCAGAATGATGATCTTGTATGGCGGGCACGGGTACTCGCTGGCGGAGTAATGCATGGGAGTCGAGTGCGGATTATCGAATTGGACGTGTGGATAAGCATCACCATCGAATGAGGGCACAGCAGCCGGACAAAGCGCAGGATATACCAGAACACACACCTCGATTTTGATGATCCAACTGCCACTCGAGCGAAATCCTTGACCTTGGCCCGGATCACATCGATACCGCGTTCGTCTGATGCATTCAGCTCAAGCACCCTGGCCTTGATCATCTCTGGTCTGGAGCCAAGAGAGAGGTTTTTGGTTCAGTGGGCCTCTATCTCTACGCCAGTGAATGTCTCAGTGGCGGCGATGGTTGGTACGGGAGACGCTCAGCTCCAGCTCGTTGCACTTTGTTTGATCTGGACACTCACCCGTACAGCTCCCGTGCCAACGCCAGTATGCTGGACGTCTTTCCGGTGCCTGAAACAGTCAGTATGGTCGTTGATCAGCTCCCGAGTGTATTAGCTCCGAGTCGATCAGCTCCCGAGTCGATTCACCGGCGCGGCGCTGATCGGCATCCATGTCGATCTACCTGGAGGGCCGTAAAACAGAAGATGCGGGAGCTGGGGGAGGGCATCGTCGCAGCTGGGCTGTCAGTACGAGCTCAATCAAAGCAAAGCCATCAGCGCCAATGGGTCCACATGCTCTGCTTGAGCCGCCCTGGTGCCTACATTCTGAGACTCCATGGTTTTCTTCAGCACCGCAACGGCCTCTTCCTGCGAAGCCACTTCGTTCATGGACTTGGGGCGGTACTTTTCGATCCACGGCTGGCTCTGCAGGTTTTGCGCCTGGATGGCAGCCGAGTTGGCTGTCGGGCGCGGCTGGAACAGTGCATTCATGGTGCTGGCAGGGGGGGGGTGGCTTCTCTCAGGAGTGCCGCTTTGATGTTGTTGCTGGCGCCGGGCCTGGTGGAGGATCGGCAGATGATGCGCTGTTGGCGATCTTGGGCCAGAGAATTGTCAAATCTGGCCAGATGAAGCCGCTCGGCTCGAATGGCGCCGGCCCGGTTCGAGCCGCGCTGGTTGGCTTTTTTTCTTTCATCCCAACTCCGAACAACACCGAAACCAACCGACGACGCAGCCAACGACACATCCGCGACGGCCCCGCTGTTCCTGCACCATTCTCCTGGCCGTGATATCAAGCGACGCATCGGCCACTGCAAAACCGCAACCTTGTCCGCACCACACAATCGGCAGCCATGGAAGACATTGAGCCGCATCTCATCGCATCCGGACTCGCTCTGCATGAGTCCGTCGAGAGCGTCGAGACCCATCTGGAAGCCCTGTTTTCGCTGCCCCTGGAGCAGCACCTCGCCTCGCTCTCAAAGATAGACCGGGCCAAGCTCGAGATCGCCATCGCATACGCTCTCAACACGCTGTCATTCAGTATGGATCCGACCCCCTCCCCATTGCCTCATTTTGCCAGCAAGTAGTGCGGCCAGAGCGGAAGCGATCGCTCGTTGGACCTGGCCATCTAACAACACCCTCTCTGCTTGCCGAACCCAAACTGGCGCCACTCGTGTGCCCGGGCGTTGCTCTGCTCGACGTTCCGTGCAGTCTACTTGAAAACTCAGGGCGTTTCTCCCAAAGAACATCCCGTCTCAAAGGAGCTGGTACGCTGACTCGAGGCATATTGGCGCGCTGCACGAGCCGGCAGCGAATATCGACTGGCATGCTGATCGGCGTCATGGATACAGGAGCGAATCAAGCTGTACTTTCAAAAGATTAAGGATATTCAAGATAAATCCAAAGGTAAATGGAGACCCTGTGCGCCGCCGACATTGGTCGAGTTGTGCCGTGCCGGAGTCATCGATAAGCAGACTCAGCCTGTTTCGCATGCTCGTCCGTCGTCCAGCCAAACTCAAAATCGATGCAAAGTCAGCAAGTCGGTTCATCAAGCACAGCCTATCGGGCAACAAGGATATCCAAGGTAGACTCGCATTCACATCGAATGGAACCGATGCAGCATGCGCGGAATAGATCGACAAGGGGGGGGGAGAGGGACGCATCGCCATTCAAGTCTCTCATCGCAGTTGTGCCGAATGCAGACTCGCTCAGGAACGAACAGGACATGTCCAGACGAGAGGCCGAGAGGATTCTGGAGCAGGTGGCTCACGATATCAAGCAGACCGGAACACCGGCTGGGTCGGGCGCCGGTGCTGTCGGCAATGGAGCACAGCCGTCAGCAAAAAAGCGAAAGGGAACCCCTCAAGACAGTGGCTCGGCCATGCAATCCGCTGCGAAATCAGCATCGCAAAGCGCCGTCGATGCCGACGCTGACAAGCAGCGGAGCGCAAAGTCGAAGAAGAACAAGAAAAAGTAGATGGCTCAATATACGGCGCCGCGGCGATTGACTGAGACAGTGTTTTGCTTGACAGCGTTCCCTTACAGTCCGTCCCTCGACCATGCTCTCGCTCTGTGGGTGGGTAACTGGCATTGTTGCATTCGATGCCAAACTCGCCTTCAACACGCCAAACCAGGACGGCTGAGGAAAGCCGCAAGATCGATCTTGCTCCTGCGCCTCCCTTTCTCCTTGCCTCTCGCCGGTGCGCTCTCGCCGTGCCCTCGCCGTGTCCTCGCCTCTCGCCTGCCATCGCGCTTTGGCGAAAAATCTTTGCCTTTTCCGCCAGCCGGCTTCTGTCTTTGATCTGAGCTGTCTCTGCATCGCCGGACTGCCGTTGTCGACCGCTTCCGCACGCACGCACGCACGCACGCACGCATACACAGCTCCCGTCCCGCTCCTGCCCGGTGCCAAAAAGAAAAGTACAGCAACAAGCTCAAAGATGTCTGCCTGGCGCTCATTGTCGACCCACCTCAAGGAAATCCGTCTGCACCTCTCGCAGACCGCTCCTGGAAGCCAGGGCGTGAGGTGCGCCTCTCTGATCCATCAACAGCAGTTGCTCTTGGCGACGGGCGCTGGGTCGCCAGCAGCACAAGCCCTGCTCCTTGCGATACATATCTATCGATCATTTTGCAAGCACGATGACCGCCTGCGACAAACGCCTCCTACCTGCGATATACACATGCCAATGTTCTCATTCTTTCCTCCAACTTTTGTTCATGTTGCTGTCCCGGATCGGATGATGCAACACCCACAGGGAGTTTGTCAAGAACACTTATCCCGCCATCAAGAGGGATAACCCTGCCTTCCCCATTCTCATCCGAGAGGCTGCCAACGTCGAGGCCCGTGTCTTTGGACGATATGGTACGAGCGAGGGCAGTGGACTGGCTCACCCGCATCACAGACACGGCGACATCCCTGAGTCATTCGCAGATTGTCCCCCTTCTCCAACGCGATATACCATCACCAGACTGACTCTTGTCTCGACGCCACTGCGATGCACTCGAATCGCTTTCAATCTATCACTGGACAAATCGCGGTTCTCCCGACTTCCATCTGGAAATGTTCTCCCCACCACTACTGGCTTGCGCTGCATCGTGACATCAACCCGAATCCGGATGACTGTCGATTCACTCGACCCCGCATGCCCCCCCCCCTCTCTCCCTGGAATCGGCTCGCGATCGCCTCGAATCTTTGGACACCTTATCGATTTCCAGCCCTGGGTCTCGAGCGCAAGGTCCAGCTGGAGGGCCTCACCGAGTCCGAGGTGGCCTCGAGAATCCTGGAGCTTGCCCAGACCAAGCCCAGCGCCACCCAGCACTAAGAAGGCTGTGTCCTATCGCATGCATTCACTCTCTCCCTCGATTATCCCGCACCGACCGACACAACCGGGCTCTCGTTCATCACAAGTATTCCTCTAGATACAATCTAGATCCGAGATAATATACGCCACAATCACGTGCAAGTCTACACTTTTGGCTCCCGTCGACATCTGCGCTGCCGAACAAGCTCGAGACAGTTGCGTAGGGAACTATGGCAGAGCTCCGTGCAGGCGTGAGGCGACAGGGAACTTGATGGACGATCGCTTTCGGAGGAGCAGCTGCTCACTTGTGCTGCGTGGCCTCGCGGACCAGCTCGCCCAGACGCATGAGCGCAGTGTCAATGTCGCTCTCGCTCGCGATCGAATAGGCCGCACGGACGTACGGGGTCTTTGTGGGGTTGGCAAAGAACTCCTGTTGGCGATCGAGGCGAGGCGATCAAGACGAAGCGGTCAGGGAATCGGCAAGCCGGCGACGGCGTCAGGCGGCCACGGCAAGCAGCCCGCACAAAGCGGCTCCATCTTCTTGCAGATCCAAAGGCCAGAGACCGATCGTGGAGCCGCCTTCGCTGGGAGCTTTGTATATCGTCGGTTTGCGGCGAGTCGCCGACCGACAGCAAAATCGAGCTTATGGGACAAAGGTACTCACAAATCCGGGCACCAGGACGACCTTCTTTTCCATGGCCTTCTCCTGGATCAGCGATGACGAGTCGTCGATGCCGAGCAGCTTGATCCAGACAAACATGCCTGTGTCAGAGGATGTTTCGTTACTCAGGGATGCTCCATTGGTCTGAGATGGTCCATTGCTCAGGGATGCTCCGTTGATGCTTACCAGCGGTGGGGACGTTCCATTCCGCAACTCCTTTCAGCCACTTGTCGGCACTCTGGATGAAGGCGTCTCGCTTGCCCTCGTAGAACTTGGCCACGCTTTGCACATGATTGAGGAAGCCAGCATGCCCCCATTTGTGCAGGACAGACGATACCACCGCCTGCGAAATGCCCGAGGGGTGCAGGAACGAGGCCTGGCCGTGCAGGACGATGCGTTCGACCAGGGCCTTTGGGCCTGAGACCCATCCGACGCGGATGCCGGCGCTCAAGATCTTGGAGAACGAGTCAAAACGGAGCACCCGCCCATCAGAGTCAAACGAGAAGTACGATGGGATGCGATGCTTGTTGAACTGGCGAGTTGTGTGGGGATGCAAGTGGTCAGTTCTGGCTCCGGGATGGCAACTCAATGCGTCCATCCGCAAACCACATTCAGGGATGTACCGCCATGTTCCAGGAACAGGCATGCTCCCCTCCCCAAAAGCCATGTGCCGATCGTAGGTGCGCCCTCGGAAATGCTGGCATCACACCTGCAGATAGTAGTACGGATCGTCCTCCAGAATGATAAAGTTGTGTCTCTTGGCAATTTCGTAGATCTGGTGCTTCCTTTCGAGGGTCGTGGTCAGGCCTGTGGGGTTGCCACCGGCCGGAACCGTGTAGAAGAACTGCAGACCGCAACGGGAGGTGGCCGCGGAATCACCGATTCAGATTTGTCGTGCCCAGGACCAACTCCTCGTGCACCAGCTCGTCATGCCCAGCGTCATCCTACCTTGGGTTTCTTGACATCAGCAGGCCAGTTCTGGAGAGTCTGCTCGAGCTTGTCGGGGACAGGGCCACTCTCATCCACTTCGACCTCTGACATGCCGAACAGAGCCGGACGGAGTCGTTCTGGTCAGTCGCACTCCTCGGAACGGGGCTGGGACTGTTCCGGTGGCTCGTGCGGCACCCCCGGGATCTCAGCGAGCCACCACCTACCGACAAACTTGACGCCCAGCGGGCGGAGGAAAGCGAGGGCGCCGACATAGGCAGGGGCCTCGACCAGGACCGAGTCGCCCGGAGCAGCGAGCATTTCAAAAGCCTGCAGATATGCTCGCAGCCGGGTCGGAGTAGATACAGCACCGAGGAAGATGAGCGACGGCACGAGAGAGTCGCGATGCATAGCGAGTCGATAGGATCGCTTGCTATCCTCACAGCGTGCAAACAGGGATTGTGCAAACAGGGATTGTGCACACAGGGCTTGTGCCGACCTTGGTGAGGACATCCTGGCTTCCGTTTCCGACGCAAATATCAAAGTCCTGGAGCTTGGGGCGATGCTCGAGTAGCTGGAGATCCCGCAGCCACTGGACGAGGTTGGGCAGGCCGTTCTGAGCATCCGTGCCGACGAGGGGAAGGACTTGTTAATGAGTGTGATTGCATGGGGTGAGCCGAGTCGGAAGGCCTGGGCTGAGTACTCACCGTTGCGCTGTACTGAAGGGCAACCTGGACATCCGCCTCGGAGATGTCGATGACCTCGCCACCGCGCAGGGTAACCTGTGAGATTCGAGTCGAGACGGGAAGCGAAAGGGCGTGAGCCAGTGCCGCGGGGCCGCATCAACCTGCCTGTTGCTCGTCGAGGTAACAGCAGCGGGTGTAGCGGGAAAGCATGGTGATGCTTGTGACGCTGGTGATGCTGGTGATGCTGGTGATGCTGGTGATGCTGGTGATGCTGGTGATGCTGGTGATGCTGGTGATGCTGGTGATGCTGGTGATGCTGGTGATGCTGGTGATGCTGCCCGTGCCGAATGCCATTGCCTGTACTCGTATTCAGGAATTGTGCCGATGTCGGGTACTCACGCTCATCTTGGAGAACGGGAAGGTGGTAGGATTGGGGTTGCCGCCGCCAAGCGATATCTGAAGGAGTAATGGAAGTGGGTAAGAGCGGAAGCCGCAAACATCCTCCAGGGAGGGGGGAGCCTGTGCGAAACTCCATACCATGCCCGGGATGCTGCTGAACTTTTGCAGCTGGCGGATGGCCGAGGGTTTCCTCGAGGCGCTGGTGGGGGAGAAGAACTGGGAGTAGTCCATGGCAGTGGGTTGCGTAGGAGGACCAGAGGGCGATGCGGAAGATGCAGGGTCAAGAAGACGATCGCGGCCAGATCTGCAGACGGCCGAGACGACGATCGAACGGGAGAGGCGGGGACAGCGGGCCAGACCAAGGGCCAGGCACCTGGGCGGCATTGTGATCCACTGATGAGATTGCGATGGTGGAACCCGACAAAGGGCGAATGAGCGGGCGGGGCCAAGGGCCAGCGAAGAGCAGCGAATGAGGAGCGAGGGCAGCGAATGAAGAGCGAGGGCAGCGAATGAACAACGAGGACAGCAGCGACCTGCGCGTTTGCGATAGCGGCTCCTTGGACTTGATCATCTGCGGGACTTGATCGGATAGTTCGCCCGGATCGCCCGGATAGCGCTGGTCTGTTGTTAGCAACATCAACGACATCAACGGCATCAACAACATCAACGACAGCAACGACATCAGCGACATCAACAACATCAACGACATCAGCGACATCAGCGACATCTCCCCATGGTCTTGAATCGCATCGGCCTGTCCCCGTCGCTTTTGCCGTCCCTCGGCTCCTCCAGGACCAGTCTCTGCCACCTCCGTGTCGGCCTGCCGCTCGCACACCTGCGCTGTCGATTCTCGACCGCAACGCCCGACACCAAGCCGACGCTCTTTGGCCGCATCGTTGGATACGCCAAGAAGAGCCGGGACTTTGTCAAGCAATACTACAACGGCTCGCGGGTGCTCATGCGTGAGTCCAAGTTGGCCGGCGAGCTCCGGAAGAAGCGGGATCGGCAAGGATACCAACTGACTCGCGCCGAGCATGTTCTCGTCCACAAGTCGGCGATGGACGTTCGCAAGACCATTCCGTTCTTCATCACCCTGGTCGTTCTGCCGGAATCCCTGCCCTTCCTGATGGTCTACCAGCCGCACTTTTTCCCGTCGACGTGTCTGTCGGCCGAGCAGTGGATCACCAAATGGACCAACTTGGCCAAGATCCGCACAAAGTTTGCCCAGGAAGCCACCTCGGCCGCTCGGGACGGCGGTGCGGTAGGTGATGTATGTTGAATTGCGGCTGCTCACCCGGCCAGCGTCGAGCAAGCAAGCACTGCCTCGCCGATAGGATGTGCCGTTCCAGGCTGGCCAGATGGTCGATCGGCTGAGTCGTCCATGGCCTACACTGCGGACAACACTCTCGCTCGGCGACGGGAAGATGAATCGATCGAGCGGATCGGCGGATGGACGATTCCTTTCCGTTTCACCTCGTCGCATCGCAGCCAGATCGACATTGTCCCGCAGCGAGCTCGAGGTGCCCGAGTTTTATTTTGCTGACGGTCTTGCCGTTTGTCGCAGGTCATGCCCGAGCGGTTTCTGTCCGACTCGGAGTGCGCCGCCATCGCTCGCTCGCAGTCCAACTATTTTATCGCAGAAAACATGAGCCGGCAACAGCTCGCGGTCTACAACCGGTTTATGGGCCTTCCTCGGTTCGGTCTCCGAAGCACACTGAAGAAGGCACTCAAGTCGCATTTCAAGTATCTGCGGGAAGATGACCTGGTAACTCGTTCGCTGTCTTGGATCGATGTGATATGTGTCGCTGTGGACATGGACAGCCGCTGCGGTGAAGACCGCCATCTCCGGATGCAGATGATAACATTCATCGCCTGTGTTCTGCGTGCGGGTGCACATCTGCTCACAAATCATCTGCTCACGGATCATCTGCTCACGGATCGCTAGCTCATCCAGAAGGAAGGCATCGACTCGCTGTCGGATCCACAAGTCCAGACGGCACTGGAAGAGCGCGGCATGTGAGTATCTCGTCCGAGGCAAGGCACGGCGAGGCAGGGCAATCGAAACATCGGTGTGCAGTTACGAGATTATCATCGGGGGCTAACGCTGATTGTTCCCCAAGCAACTCGCTGGGCCAGTCGCCCGAGGAACGGCGGCGCTCGCTGCAAGCCTGGATCAAGCTGCATCTGCACCCGGACCCGCACATCCCCGAGGGCATGATGATCCTGGCTGTGATGTTCCGGTCGCACATCTGTGGCCGGATCGAGTCTGCAAACTAGTGCGAATACAGCAATGGCGATATCGATGTCGACACCGAGTCGATATCCCAGTCGATATCCCAGTCGATATCCATTGATATCCCAATTGATATCCATTGATATTCCAATTGATATTCCAATTGATATCCCAGTCGACACCGAGTTGATATCGAATCGGTGTATTCGCACCGTCGCTATTGCCCGCAGCCAATCCCGCCGCGCGCAGCCCTTTTTTTCCTTGTCGGCCGTTTCCCACCGACCAGCGCCCCTCCGGCCCGCTGCCCCATCGTCAATCGCTTGCCCGCTTGCCACCCCGGACAGCGTCTTTCTTTGCACACTCCTTCTGCTCGTCCGAGCCTGCTCATCTGTGGTCCACAGCCGGCGACTCGTCAAGCAGCAATCGCCAATGTCCTTGTAGCCTCTCCACTGCCTTCCCAGCTGCCATCACATCCATCTCCCCCCCCCAACTGGCCATCGCATCCATCACATCCATCACCACCAGTCGTGCGCATACCCTTCCAGATAACTCGCTGCAACGATGCCCAGCTCTTCTGTCGATCTGCAGTCTCTGCAGCATCTGCGCTCCAAGATTTGCGCTGAACTGCCCCAGCTCTTTGCCGAGCACCCTTCGGACAATCTGCTCCACCAGCTGTGCGAGCTAATCGATGACGACAGTGAGTTGCGCCATTGTGCATCGCATCGAGGTCGCTGAGGCTTCTCAACACCGAGACACCCAAGCAACTTTGGTTCTGTCCAGATTCCCATCCACTCGTGTATTGTGTCCGCCGCCCGCCTGTGCTCTTGATGGCCTCCAGCATGGCCCACACTCCCCCCACCACTAAGCCCTCCCTCCCGCCAAATGGCTTACCGCTGTGTCTCTGTACTCTACCTGCTCTAGCGGTGCTCTATCGATTCTGCCAATACAAGGCCGCAACCGTAGACTCGGCGTATTCGGCCATCGTCAACCATCTCAACTGGCGGATCAAACGCTCGTCTCGGCCGTCTGCGGGGCCTGTCAGTGCCTCGAGTGTAGACTCTTACATCCATCAGCGGCCCATCTATTTCTTTGGCCAGGATCTCAACGAGCGGCCGGTTATGTGGATCAAAACCAAACTGCTGGACCCACGGAACAGCGCTGCTCTGCCGGACTATGTTGCGCATCTGATGGACCTGGCCAGCTGTCTCGTTCGCAAAACTTGGCTCGCAAAGAGCGGCGAGTATCCGCCGTCGGTCTTCCAGATCTGCATCGTCATGGATCTCGAAGGCGCTGGTATCGGCAATATGGTGAGTGAGTCCCCCAAACCCGGATGAGGACGGCGAAACAGATGCAGTCTTGGTCCCTTCCCAATCGCGCCTTTCATTTGACCCACACTGCCTCATCCCGCTGCCTACGGCCGTGCCCCATGCTTCTCTCCACAGAGCCTGGAAATGATGCCTCAGTTTTTCGAGCTCTTCACGAAGCAGTACCCAATGCTCTTGGGCCCGGTTCGCATCCTGAACTACGGCTGGGTCCACGCCGGCATCTGGACCGTGGTGAAACCGAGTCTGTCGGCCGATGCCAAGAACCGTATTTCATTTGTTTCCAAGGACGAGCTCCGCACCTTCATTGCCGCCGACCAGATTCCGCAAGGTGGGTTGACAGGCGGTCGCATAGCCACATCACATTCTCAGCATCAGGCGCACGGTGGACTCGCTGCCTGTCCGTTTTTGTTGTCTGGTACTGTGCCTGACGCTGTGCTCGGCGATACTTGCTGCCGATTCTTGCTTCAGAATATGGCGGACTGTCATCCGCTGTGCCGCTGGACGGCTTGGCAGCTTTTCTGGCCCAAGAACCGAGCCCGAGGTCGAGCGTGTATGAGAGCCTCCATCAAGAGATGGTCCAAAAGTGCGGCGAACGCTTTGGCGTCGCCATCAAGCCCCTCGGCCCGAAAGTCGGAGAAGCTAATACCGACCAGGTTGTGCCCGATGCCAGCAAGTCCAGCCAGGAATCGGCCCGTGATGAGGCAGAAAGTGACAAGAGCGAATGCACCGACTCAGGCGATGAAGCCGACGTTTTCTACGACTGCGAGATGGACGATGCGCTGGCCGACTGGGAGATGACCCTCTGCACGGTCGCCGACGACCAGACTTCATCCGTGTTCACGTACTGCAGTCGAGAGGGCGATCACCTTTGCCACTCTGACTCGGAGCACTGCCATCCAATCCCCGATTCCGTGTCGGACTCGGGCCTGTCGCGCTATTCGTGCTCGGGTCGTCTCCTAGTCGATCAGGGAACCCAAACTGCTCCCGAATACTCCATCACGACCGTGACAACGACAACGACCGTGTACTGTCCGGACCATAGCGGCCACTCCGCAGACTCGCTGCAGCACAGCAAAGTCAGGCCCGGGAGCACGGAAACCTGGAGGCCGCTTGTGTCAACGGCGGCTCGGCTCGCCCACCGCACTATTGTGCGAATGGCTTCGATGAACCGTTCTCGATGGATTGTGGCGGTCGTTGGCTGCTGCCTGCTGATGTGCATGCGCTCGAGCTCGTTCGCCAAGCGGTTCTGGCCCACGGTGCTGTACGGCACAGCAGGATCGGTCTCGCTGCTCAAGTATGTCTTTGGCTACCACAAAGCGGCGGTGTAAAACGATCAATCCAACGATACCGAAACACCGCAGGCGCCAAACGAGCCCGACGATGACCACCCGACAGGCGACAAGCGAAACAACAACACCACCACTACCACCACCAAAAAAAGAAGCCACATAAGATGTGCTCAAGATCACAAACGGACACAGGCCAAGTCTTGGATGAGCGCCGCTGAAGTGACGATATGATGCGACGTCATGAAGGCCCAACGAAATGAAGAAGGGAAGCCGCGCGAGTCGGCACCAAGATGATTCGAAGCCGTTGAGTTGACACCGGTCCAACTGATTGCACGTGCTGTACGGCCAGCAACCATCTGCTTTCAGTGAAAAGTAATTGCGATGAATGTATCCTGACCCATAAGCATGATTTGGTCAGTCAGCCAGTCAGTCAGAAGTGAGGGATTGGCCTTGTATTTGCTTCATGAATGTGGCTCCGGATCTGCTCACGCTGCAAGGCCGCATGCATGACTGCTGCCTGCCGGATCGCCTCAGTTCTTGGTTTCTATCTGTTGTGACCCCGGCTGTATTTTTGGATGAAGATGGAGCCACGGCCGTGAATACACCATATCGGTATCTGCTGGTAATGACGAATCTCCGAGTACACGTGCGCCATCCAACAGATCCGACAGAACGGCACACGATAAGCGACGGCGCTGTGGAAAGCCGTGCTGGGCGGCAAAGCGTGTGTGTTTTCATGAGCCACAGCAGCCTCGTGAGCACCGCCGGAAACCCAAACACCCTGTCTCGAGCCGTGTTGATTGCGGGCAGATAGTGCTCTCGGCAGTCGCTTCTGCAGCGAGGATCTACTTCTTGTCGTCGGACGCGACGAGAAAGTTCCCGGCGATCTGCGAGGCGTTGACGCAGAAGTGGAATGCAGAAGGCGAGGACAACACACGACACACGATGAGTATGCGTTTGTTCCGCACGGAAACACAGCCAGACTTTGCCATAGCGCCTCGCGTCATGAGATCGCCCTTCGCTTCCTTACATCACTCTGTCGCGGATCACATCGCTATGGCCAAAGACGGACAGATCCGCCGCAGTCCTCGAACTTACCAGGAGCGGGATATTGTACTTGTCTCGCCGAATGGTAAACGAAAAACAGCAGTTGATATACCCGCCCTTCGGGTCGTTGAGGTTGCGCAGGACGCAGCTCGTCAGGACGGCTTTCTGGGCGGCATCAAAGGCAATATTGCCGTACTTTTCCCAGTAGTTGACGGCGCTTTCTTCCGCAAGCAGCTCGTAGATGCAGATCTTGCCGTCGCGCAGCGTCTCAATCGGGATCCCGACGAGGTTGGCAAACTCTCTGTTGGATTTGTAGATCTCGCCGGTGCGCCGCCACAGGCAGGCTGGAATACCCATGGATGAAAAGACGCGGTCGTACTCAAGCAGCAGCCGGTCAAAGGCCTCCTCGACCAGCACCAAGTCGATGTCGGTCAGGCTCTGGGCAACCCAGCGGAACCGCGGCCGAAAAACAGACATGACGTTCAATATCCGCTGGCGCGACTGCGGCGACATGTGCATCTCCATCCATTTTTGCAGCCGTGTGTACGAATTGACGTAGTTGTATGGCTTGAGCAGGCCGGCTTCGAACTTTGCGTTGATGACCTGCTTCAGACGGTCCTCAAAGGTGCCATCAGCAGGATCGGCGGCTGTCAGAATGAACTTTTCGGTGCTGCTGAGTTTGGTTCCGTCTGGAGCAACAGAGACGTTGGAACCGGATCCGACAACACCGCCCGTTTTGCTGTTCGCTGGGATAGCCGAAGTTCCGTCGGCGTTTTGGCCTGTCGATCCATTCTTGCCCTGCTCCAGGCTGTTGAGAAAGTCCGTCAGGATGGTGAACTCGTTGCCCATGTGCTCGCTTGCAAACAGCGGGGGGAACTCGGACATGCCCTTGAAGATGGACTGCTCGAGGGCCATGTTGCTGCCGGTTAGGGCACTCGATGCGGTGCCCATGCCGTTACCGAGAATGTCCAGTCCATTTGCCGGTGCCCCTGGAATAGGGCGGGAGGCAACGACTCCTCCTACACCGAGGGCGTGGGCATTGATGGTCGAGGAGGCCATTGACGACAGCGATGACGACGACGATGAAGCCGATGTCGATGGCTTGGCCTCATCGTGGCAGAGATGGGCAATTTTGCGCTTGATACACCGCTGGCACGGACGGCCTTCGTCTGAATATCCAGTGGGGCGAATTGCAACGGTCGAGATGGGGTTGGATGGACATTGAAAGCGCGGACGTGGGATTATGCGCAAGGTGGATATGCAGTCGTTGGGTGTTTGTGGGAGCAAACATGCAGCCATTGAACATGTGAATCGCGGGACAGGGTGGCAGAGGCAGTACACTCGAGTTAGAGGCTGTTGATGGCCTTGCTCGTGCGAGATCCCGCCCCGATCCAGTCTTCCTGAGGAGCCGTTCTGCTGACGACTTCAGTCCGCCGAGACCCGAAAGCTTCGGCCCGACCCGGCGGCGTGGTTTCTTCACATGCATATCGCGTGCCGAGAGCCGTCGGCCACATATCCTTATCGGATACGCCCCAATCGGCGCCACGGCAAGCCAGAGCGGCACGGACGTATTTGACAGCGCCGTGATGCAGAGATACGGCGCCGACAGGCTTTTCCACATCCGACAGACTCCCAGCCCCGCACCGACCTAATCCACCCTGAACCAGACAGCCGCCCGGCACTATGGCTTACCGCATGTCATGTGGCTTCGCCGGCAGTACACGCATGCATGCGAGACCTTGCGGCGCTTCGAGGTTGGCTTTTTTGGAGTATCGCCGCCGCCGGAAGCTGCGTCGCTGGCAGCCAACCCTGCATCAGCCGAGCCAGCCTGGTTGTCGGCCTGCAGCGCGTCCGCCGCCAGCTCCGAGGCAATGCCGTCGGGGGTCGACAGCGCCACGGATGTCGGAACAACAGAAGCCAGCGCTGCAATCTGAGACATATCCGTGCCTGGAGCGCCCGATTGCGACGAGCCAAAGTCGTTGGTCTTGTCGGTGTGCGACGGCAGCCCGGCGATGTGGGAGGCAAGATGCCCGAGCGAGGAAGCAAACGACGGATTCGAGAGCGAGTTTTGGAGGAGGACCTGGGTCTGGACAGAGCTCGAAGGTGCCGAGAAAGAGGCGCTGGTTGGAATGGACGGCGGCTGCGATGAGCTGGGCGGCTTGGGGGCTGCGAGCGGATCCAGCTGGCCCTGGCGCTGGAGAATCATCTGGGTGAGCTGCTGGAGATTGGACAGCGATGGCGTCGAGCCCGTGGCCATCGATGCCGAGACACCCGAAAGCACGGGTGCAGTCAAAGCCGGTGCCGAGTGAGGGACGCTGGTCGGCTGTGGCTGAGCCGAGGCGAGATCCTGGATGCGCTGCAGATGCTTCTGCTGGAGCTGCTGTAGTTCTTGTATCTTGATCTGGTACTGTTGATGGTGGTGATGCAGGTGGAGATGCTGATCAGAGACAGAGGCGGGTTTGTCGGCAGGGTTACTGTGATCAGAGTGATCCGACGAGGAGTTGGCTGGGTCCGCAGCGGCCGGCGGATCGGCGACCCCGGCATCGCCGCTGGAGGGCTTGCGCTGGTGCTGGCCGGACAGGTGCGTATTTTTAGAGCCGGAGGACGACGAGGAGGCGGGATGCATTGGCGTGGCGGATTACGAAAATCGAGATAGAGAGAGAGAGGAAGATACTTGATCGAGGGGGAGGTGCGACGCAGCGAGGAGAGCCGTGGAATAGTCGGTGACGATGACAGTGTTGGTGCTGTGTTGGTGTTGGCGTTTGTGCTGGTGTTGGTGCCGTGATATGGATATGCGGGCTGTGATATGGATATGCGGGCTGTGATATGGGGTTATGCGTACGTGGCCGACGCGACGCAGATGCGGCACCAGAGATGCTCAAGCCCGACGTCGACAGCGGTGTGCGGCGATGGGCAGCCGGCGGTGATGATGAGACAGAGAGCAGCTGGCGGTGACGGGCCTTCGGTCCTTGGTCTTTGGTCTTTGGTCTTTGGCGGCCAGGACCGGGCTGCTCCGACAAAGGAGCCGCGGCTGCGCACCCGGCCGGCTCGAGCCGGCTCGACCCTCGACACGGGACCATGCGCAGCCGCGCGCAGCACATTCGAACCGCCCGATCTGGCTGTCGGCGGTTTGGCGACTTGTCCTGGCCCCGCTCTCTGTCTGGCTGCCGCCCGGCTCTGCGACACCCCTCTCCCCCTCACGCATCCGCCTGCAGCCCAGGCCACCGCCGCCGGAGCATCGCCTGTGTCGCTATGATGGCTTCGTCCGTGTCTTCAGGATTCATGGGCCCGTCCACCCAATCCTCGCGAAAATCCAAAGTCGCCTACTACTACCATTGTGCGTCGTCTTGCTCGTGCTGTCTCGCTGCCGCCTCACCGCCGTCTGCGCTGGAGGCTGCATTGGATCAGAGGACCGCTCTTCGTGCCGGCTTCGATGCCTCTCTCGATCGTATTTTCTGTGTCGGCTCGCATCGGGGGCTGCCCTGCTCTGGCCGGGCGCGTTTGCGGTATTCGCTCCATGGGCTGATCCCAACTGACGTGCCTTGCTGGTGCTTGCCCTGACCTGTTTCCTCCAGCGGACATTGGCAACTATCACTATGGCCCTATGCATCCGATGAAGGTATGTTCATCGACTCGTGCAACGTTGGGCATTGAGTCGTCTCATACTTCCCCTTGGGTGCCTCTCTGCTGTGTTCGATCGATACTCCGATAGTCCGACCCGTCTGACCCGAGCTTCCTTGCTGTGATCCATGCAGCCTCACCGTATCCGCATGGCCCACAATCTCATCATGAACTACAAGCTCTGGAATCACATGGAGATCCTTGTGAGTGGATCAACCTCTCCCCAGCGGAGGTGGCCCGGTTGTTGGCTGGCGGGGTGCCGGCGCTGATCACACCGCGACAGGACGGCACGTCTTGAAGTGCAGTGTCCGGTCGGATCCAGCGAATGTGGATGTTGGCTCGCGCGGCGGTCCATCATGCCATGCCATGCCATGCCATGCCATACCATTCCATATCATGCTAGCGTTAGAATAGAGGGTGGGGTTCTCGGTTTGGCTCTTGGCTGCCTGATCTGGGTGCCGCTTAGTTGCTCTGTCCGCTCACTCATCCAATTCTCGGCGCTGGCCAACTCTGTCTTCCTGATAGCGGCCCAAACCATGCAACAGTGACGCCATGAAGAAATTTCACTCGGACGAGTATATCGAATTCCTCGCCAGAGTGACCCCTGAGAGCATCGAGGACATGACCAAATATCAGCTGAAATGTGAGCTTGATCCGCCCTTGCTTGCCTTTGATCGCCCTTCCCGATCGCAGCTGGCGTTGTGGTTGCTATGCTCCTCCTCATCGACCATCCCCTGCTGATCTTCTTCTCATGCCAATCTCGCTTGCCGTATCTATCGAAACGCCGCTCCTCCGTGCAGTCAACGTCGGTGAAGACTGTCCCGTCTTTGATGGACTGTATGAGTTTTGCACTCTCTCGGCTGGCGGATCGATTGGTGAGTCACGGGTGCGTGGCATTTGGAGGTGCCTCGATCTACTCTGTGTGTCTTGCCATACGGCTATGGATCGGCTGCTTGATATTTCCTCCGCAGTCTGCCAGCCAGATCCTCCGATCGATTCATAGCCATAGCTCGGCTCACCACTACTCGGCGTTTGTCGACCAACTGTCGTTGATGATGAGCGGTGTAATGGACGATACCGCTTACACTGCAATCATCTCCGTTGATGCTGCACAAAGCCGCGGCCGAAAAGCTGAGCCGCGGAGAGGCCGAAATCTGCATCAACTGGGGTGGTGGGCTGCACCATGCCAAGAAGGCCGAGGCCTCTGGATTCTGCTACGTCAACGATATTGTCTTGGCCATCCTGGAGCTGCTAAAGTAGGCGTCGAGGGAACGGAGGCTCTGCTTGGCACATGCCGACGGCTGCTTCGCCCCCTCACTCGCTGCTGCAAAAGTCCAATCCTCGACTGACAAGATCGGGTCTGCACTTGGGCACCATTGGCAATGCCCTGCTCATTTCACCGATCCAACGCCTTGTTCAATGCCATCGATTGTAGATACCACCAGCGTGTGCTGTATATTGACATTGACGTTCACCACGGTGATGGTGTCGAGGAAGCCTTCTACACCACCGATCGAGTCATGACGGCCTCGTTCCACAAGTATGGCGAGTTCTTCCCGGGAACGGGCGATATCAACGATATTGGCCATGGCCAGGGCAAACACTATGCTGTCAACTTCCCGCTGCGTGAGGGCATTGACGATGAATCCTACAAGAGCGTCTTTCGACCGGTAAGTCCCAGAGGATCTGGCTCACGGCCTGGCCAAAGCTTCGGCCGGAACGGGTCATCGAGACCGCTCCGAAATACACGCGGAGCCGGCTGACGGCGATACATTTCATCGTCGCCGGGGCCACAGGTGATTCAGAAGATTATGGAGTGGTTCCGTCCAGGGGCCGTTGTCCTGCAATGCGGCGCCGACTCCTTGGCCGGCGACAAGCTTGGTAGCTTCAACCTCTCGATGCGCGGTATGGATACTGTGCGGGCGTTACTGTCGTCGCATTTGCCGCCCAGTCCGCCAATCAACGGCGCAGTGTTTCAATGCACTCTGATGCAACGCTTTCAGCCGCTGGAAGGCCGTGTGCGGAGTTACAAATGCATCGAGGGTGTAGTGTATTTGAGAATCGCTTGGTTGTTTTTTGGGATAGCGGCTGATCCTTGGTTGAACCGCCTCTGCAGGACACGCTCAAGCGGTCGAGTTCCTCAAGTCGTTTAACGTTCCTCTGTTGCTGCTCGGCGGCGGAGGGTACACAATTCGAAACGTCTGTCGCGCCTGGTGCTATGAGACGTCAATCGCCGTTGGCCAAAGCCTTCCCGATGGTACGCCGCGCTGCTGCGATTTGTTGAGGACGATCGCCTTGGGGTGACTTTCGGGGGGCAGACCAGTCAGTGCTCCGAACTAGCAAGATGCACACTGAAGGCTGGCGATGTGCCCGCGGACGGCCACGGTCTCACGAGCTGCATGTCTCATCCAACGCTGTGAATGTGCCCGCACTTGACATCTTATGGACGACGAACGCGATGCAGCCCTGCCGAACAACGACTATTTTGAGTACTTTGGTCCAGACTATCGACTGGACGTGCCCAGCAACAACATGGAAAACCTGAACACCCCAAAGTATCTGGAGCAGATGAAGATCAAGATCATCGAAAACTTGCGGCACGTCATCCACGCCCCGAGTGTGCAAATGCACCACGCTCCTAAGGGCCTGTACGAATCCGACGATGAGGACGAGGACGAAGACTCGGAAGATCTCAAGGATACGCGGATTACACGTACGTTAGCATCGAGGGGCTCTCGCTGGGCAGCAGCCTTGTGCTTGCCGTGGTGGCGGCCAATGCGTATTCTAGGCCCACAGTCAGCCACATGGATCTCATACTCGCTGTTCTTTCCGATGTCAACACTCTGCCGTTGTTCTTGCCGTACCACCAACTACCACCACACGGGTTGCATGTTTGGCAACAGAACGTATGTCGGACAAGCATCGAGTCCCCGATACAGAACTCTCGGATTCGGAGGATGAAGGCGATAACCGCCGCGACCAACGTAGCTACCGCGAGTCCCGCGAGCGAGAGATCAAGCGAGCACCACGCCGCGACCGCGAGAAGCAGCGATTTGAAGAGGAACGGAAGCGGTACCAGGAAATCGATCAAGTCCAACAGCAGCAAAAGGAGCTCGAGCGCAAGTACCTGGAACAGCTGTCCGAGTCGGGCAAGGGCAGACGGCGCGACACCCCTGTTGGCGGTAGCGGCACACCAGGCCCCGTCGGCAGCGACGCCAAGGCAGCAGCCATCCTGAGCGAGACGGCCCTCAAGGTCGAGTCTGGAACCAAGACGCTGGCTGAAGTAGCTTCCGAACTGCATGCAGGCAACGCTCGCGTGAGCAAAGACGTCAAGCTGGCAGAGGGTGCCCCCCAAGAGCAAGAAGCGGCCTCGTCGATGATGGATATGGACGAGCAGGGCTCGGATGTGCCCTATTCGCCCGCCAACGAGTCGGACCGGGCCTTCTTCCCCGAGGGCAAAGAGGGCAACGAGGGAACGCCCAGCGCCGTGGCACCAGTTACGGGCGAAGGCGAGGGCGACATGATGGACATGGACCAGGCATGAGCACGATCCTTGGCCCCGAGGTGCTCTTGCTCGGCGAGTGCGCAACACACAAGCGCTTGGAAGGGCCTGGAGGGAGCCGCCGGGGAGATATAGTCAATATACGATTGCCGATAGCAGAGTCCATCGCCGACGCAGTTGCCGCGATCGGCTGGAGGCAGGGCTCCCGTGTGGCAAGCACTGGCAGATGTGATCGAATGCCACGCACGACAGCAAGGGGTGCCATCGAATGCACAACGAATCTGATCCATCACAGCGGTCCTCCGTCCGAGACAAACAAGCACCGCCGGGGTGCAGTGCCCGCCCTTGGCGGCCGATTCCCGCCCTTCGCGTCCGGACGCGCGGGGGGATCGAGTTGCGGGTGCTCCGCCAGCCCAGCCATCGCAGTCCAACGACGCAAACGCAGCGGGGCAGTCGGTAGTGCGGTTGGCGGTGTAGTGGATGTGGCATATTCATGGATGGGTAACGAACAATGCACATCGCGGCCTTAGCTGATCTCCAGCAGTGACTTTGATAAAATAGAATCCGATAGAACCCGACCAAAAAGAAGTGGGATGCAGACCATGTCGATGGCTTGTGTGGGTTGCATCGGCTGTGTGGGCTGAATAGTGTCGATTGGCAGCCCGCACGATTGCGATGGGCTCCGAAAGCGATCCCGCTCTGCCCTGGCGCCGATGCGACTGCCAACTGAATCACCATTGCAGTCTGCGATGTAATTACCAATTCCGTCTGCGATGCAATCCACAACGGTGTCTGCGATTTAATTACCAATGCCGTCGACCGCCATTCCCGACCGCCCATGCGACTTGGTCTGCAGTTCCACCGCTGCCGCCAGAGCGCGGCCGGCGCGTCAGGGTCCTGCTTCCCTCCCCCCGGTCAAGTGCCTCGACGCCTTCCCTCCATCCCCATCGCCCGATCCCGCTGCATTTCATCGCATCCCATCCTGCTCCGACCTTCTCTGGCCTATTCTTGCTCTCTTCTGCCGACCCTCCCGATACTCCTGTACATCTCTACCGATTCGATCCGTGACGATCCCGTCTCACACCAGCTGATCCCGCTTCTGTCTCTCACGGCCTTACTCGCTTCGCCTCTGCTGGCACCGCACATTTCTAGCCTCGCTCGATTGATCGGCTTGGACCAGCTCATTTTGACCGTAAGCCCATGCTCTGTCCATCTAGCCTGTGTTTGTGATCTCCCTCGCGTCCCTGTCGCCCGCCGATCCTACGTTCGTCCATGTTCCGCCATTCGCACGCTCGCTGCCGGGTTTCGGTTGCAACGTCATGGCCGCTCCTTTGCTCCTTTGCACGGTCGCCTTGCCTCCGTCGTGGCTCTGGATTCTCTTTGCGCTCATCTGGATGCATCTGCATCTCAGCCGACTCTCAATCGCTCACTCTGTCCGTCCTGTCTCTTTGCCCATTCCACCAGAGTCTTGCCAGCCGCGAGCCAGAACCACTCTCAGCACCCTCGAGTGATACGCTCCTGTAAGTGCATGCTTCACACACTTAGCCGTTGGAGTGGTGCTCAAACTTGTTGCTCGTTGTCTTGTCCACTATCCGCTCTCCCTTCCCCACCGATCATGTTCGGTAGTATGGTTTCCGGATCCTTCTGGCTGATTCTCTGATAAAGATCTCCAATCAACACCGCCGTGTCCCCGGCTCCACGTCTTTCCCGCCTATTTCATCCTTGCGGCCCGTCGCTTGCTCCATGCCCATTCGCACACCTCCGATGCTGCTTTCCGCGTGCTCCATTTCGCAATTACATACCGACTGTTCACCGACTTGGCTCTGTGCTCCTTCACTTCATTTACTGCTCGTTCTTCCACCGATTGACTCACCCGACCATCAACTGCTGCTGCCTGCTCCATCTCCACAAGCCACCAGTGATTCGCGGCAGCATACTGCACATCCTCACGACCGTTCGTTCTCCTTGGCTGGACCGCCTTTCCTGCCACCTCGGCATTGCATCCCCCTTCTCACCTAGGCAGAGCCATCGGCCGATTTGTGCATTCCTCAGCCTTTAGTTTCCCACTCCTCTTGCTGCTACCTGCATCTATGCCCAAGTACCACAAAATCCCATCCGAGCTCAAGGCGCAGAACCGAACAGCCGAGGGGCTCGGTTCAAATTCAAAAAAGTCTTCAGATTCCTTGGCAAAGTCACCGTATCCTTTGAATCCCAGCACCCCAGCTCTCCGTGCCGCCTCCCATTCCCACTATCCAAAGACCCATCCACGAACGCCCGCCTCGCTCTCGGTCCCTGCGATGGTGCCCTCGAATATGGTCGTGCCCTCTCCGCCGCCTATCGATCCTGATCACCCGAACTTTCCCACAGCCCCCTATGCATGGAGTGGGCCCAATCCCCGCTTTGCTCCCTTCCCATCTGGTGTACCTTCGATCCCATCGGCATCACCTTTCCACATCTACCCTTGGCCTCCAGAAGGCGCTTCGCTGCAGTTAGCTCCTCCCTCATCGTCCTATGCGTACGGTGGGGTGTGTCCGCCCCAAGCCCCTGGTCAGCTTGCATCGTCAATGCCTTTGGTGGACCCATCGGCTACCCCGACGGCCACACAAGCTCCAATCGCATCCTCAGCTTCGGCGTCAGCCTTCCCCCATCTCTCGTACCTATACTCTGGCGCCCCTCCTATCTCCTCCGTTCCTGTATATATCTACTCAAAGAGTGCCCCCAACGGACCCGGTTCCCCAAATGGCCGCAATTCTCAAGGCAGCGTCAAAGGCTCTGCTTGCCCCAACGGCCCCAGTCAGGGTTACTCTGCCGCGCCCCCTCCGCCATCCTTTCAGCCCAATGTCGGAAACCAAAAAGCTCTTGGTGACGACCGCAACCTGCCATACACTTACTACATGCCCACGAATCATTGCTCCGGAAATGAGCCTCCGCTGGCTGGACCTGTGGACCCACCTTCCCATCCCGAATCGATCCACAAGCCCTTCTCGGACAACGTCACCGCGATCGCAGGTCCCCACTATCACCAACTCCATCCTCCGCAGCTCGCCGCCTCGATGATGCCCGGCATTTTTCCGCCTTTACATCAAGCGTACATGTACCGCTCGGTACCTCCGTCAGCCACAAGCACCTGCACTCAACCACAGCCACACGCACAGGGAGCTCTAGATGGTTCTAAACCCTCCAAGGTCATGGGAAACGCACATGGCCACTCAGCTGCAGATACAAGATTGGTCTCAGGCGAATCGGGCATCGATACCCATCGCCCCGCCGGATTGTACTTTCCAGCTCCTCAACGGCACCTGGACGATCTCGCCAACGACAAGAAGAACATGGCTCTGTCTCAGAAGCTCGGTATGTGAGAATGTCCGCACTGGCCCTCTGTGCATAGAATGGGCTTCCACGGATGTATCATGGAAATTGGCTGTAATTAGGTTCAACAAGTTCCGTGAGTCGTTTGCAGCACATGAGCAGGCTTCACCGCCAAACTGACCAACAAAACTTGCTAGTTGGCATGTCGAGCAACAAGACAATCCCGCCCTATGTCCAAGACGAGCCAGGCTCTGTCTTTCTGGCGATCTACAGCGGAGTGAGTACTATCGTCTATTGTGCACTGTGCGGCTCGTCCACACAATCCTGTGCGCCTCACTTGAGTGCACGACCGACCCCACCCATTGCAGCCTCATCAGGAATTGTAATCGGGGGGGGGGGAGGGACTGTCAAAGGCCCGTTTTGGAAATGCAACTTGAGACCGGTTCTCTGCCCGCTTTCGCAGCAGCTAAACAATTACGTCCATGCCTTCTCCCGTTGCATTTCATGCACGCCAGATCAAAGTATACGAGCTTCTCAAGGACTGCATCCCAGTTATGCGGCGCTGTGTAGACGATTTCATCAACGCCACGCAGGTTCTCAAGGCTGCGGGTCTGAACAAGTGTCAGCGGAACACTGTTATCCAAAAGGAAGTCCAGAAGCAAATCGTGCACGATAAAGTCCAAGGCGGATACAACAAGTTCCAGGGCACTTGGTATGACGATGCACAGCTCACTGCAGTTGCTTCTCCGGCTCTTCTGACTCCACTGGCTCCTCTGGCTCCTCTGGCTCTTGTTCTCTATGCTCCTAACATCCCGCAATGCAAGACTGGCGATTGCAGGTGATGCTGAGGAGCTAATCCATCTGATTCCGTGGCGGATTCCTTCTAGGATCCCACTTGATGTTGCACGAAAGCTGTCGCAAAAGTACAATGTGTATGAAGATCTCAAACCTTTGTTTGACTTTGATCCATCCGTCCAGAAGGCCACCCGACGACCGCCCGGAACGGCCCACCATGTGGCCGCGACCGCCTTTCTGGCAGCCATGTCTGCCCCCAAGACACCACTGGAAATGCACCACGACCCGCGAATGCAGATCAAGTCGTATGGCACCAAAGTAAAAGACCGGCCCTCCAAGACCGGATACGAGTTCGTGGCCCCGTTGGCGGCCGAGTTTCCGATTCCGGTCGAATTTTATCCCTTCTGGATCCCAATGGTCCGCGGAAATCCGTCTCGTGCTTCACCGACACCCTCCTCGCCAATCGCCTCGCCTACACTTCTGACTCTCCCGGAGCCCCAAGACGCCATTGGTGGTATGTGCACCTACAGTCCTGTCTCGCCCGAGCCATGCTTGACTGAAGTACGGCCCAGCGCCCTGAATGCTCTTCAGAAAGAGATCCTGTCGTCCATATTCCTTGAGGAGCCGGCAACCAAGATCATCAAACTCCTTCAGCTTTCCACATTGCCGAGTAGTATCGCCCACGCCGTGGATCTTGTCAAACGTCCAGACACCGACGTCGCTGTCGACATGGTGCTCGATCATAGTGGCAATACGGCACTGCACTGGGCTGCCGCTCTTGGACGGCAGAGCATCGTCGCTGCCCTGGTGGAGTGCGGTGCTAATGTTGCACTCAAGAATGAAAACGGCCAAACACCCCTGCTGAAGGCCACATCCATGGAGAGCTGCTACGAAGCACAGGCATTTGGAGGCGTTTTGTATTGGCTGTCGGACTCGCTTTGGGTAAAGGACGACGAAGGCAACACCGTCGTCCACTACGTCGTTCGAGACAGCCTGCAGCCGCGCCGCCGGGCCGTGGGTGCATACTATCTCACGATGCTCTACGAGTATTTCCGCGAGCGCGACCAAGCACAGGCCCAGTGGTCGCTCTTCAATGAAAAGAACCACCGACAAGAGAGCCCCTTGCACGTCGCTGTTCAATCGGGCCATATCAAGATCATCAAGATGCTTCTGGCAATGCGGGCGAACCGGGAGAGTCTTGACGCCGACGGTCGCCTCCCTGAAGATCATGCGCACCTCCGAACATGTGCCTCTGGAATTTTCAAGGTCTTTTCCGAGGATGAAGATTGGGAGCAGTGGTCATGGGCCCTGTGGTCAAATGGGTCGTCGCTATGCGATCAGTTCGACCACGACCCATTTCAAGAGGAGGAAGAGGACCAGCTCCAGAATGCTGCTTTGTTTGAGCCAAGGCCAAGGATCACCGACCGTGAGAGCGAGTCCGATAACACCAGCGACCAAGTCGCTCCGCATGAAGCTGAGGCCACTGTCGATGACGAGATGGAATATGCCGAGCCCGCAGCCTGTATTTCGTGTGCTGGTGTTGGCGAGGGGCGCTCTTTGGCTTCCCGAGGACTCGAAACGCTGTGCTGGGCCGCTGGCCTTGCAGGGGTTTCGGACGCAATCGACAGGGAGCAGGCCGATCGCTGTACTCTGGAAAACAACACCCGCTCACTCCCCGCCAGCTTCTACAGCCTGCTCGAAGCGGTGAAGGCATCCGACTCCCCATCGCCAGCATCGAGTATAGATCAACTCGCCACGGTGGCTCTCCAGCACGCTGGCGGATTGGCCTTTGCTGCAAGCGCCCAGCCGGCATAGCCAGGGACATTACTGGTCAATCCAATAAAAAACGGGACACCCGTGATTTTGGCGATTGATCAAATATTCTGTTACCCAATACAATCGCGCGCTGGCCATGACCATTCTGTGTTTTGAATCAAGGACGCCATGTGTTCGATGGAGACATGCTGGACAAACAGCTGTACTTCAGCCTGACCCGGCGACGGCGATTCAAGCGACTGGATCTCCACAGCAAGCGACAGCGCACCGCCCACGAGATGTGCAAGCAAGTCATCGACCAGGCACCACCGGAGACCGAGGTGGTGATTGCCTTTGGGAATGCATCGTGGAAACAGGAGAAGGGATACACATCCAGTCCCAGGAGACTCAGGTTTGCCAAGTACTTTGAGCAGTTCCACAACCACCAGAGACGACCACCAGACCGATCCGTCTCCAAGATCCATGTGTGCTCGGTGAACGAGTTCAACACATCCCAGGTGTGCTCACATTGTCGGGAAGCCAAGTGACTCGAGTCACCCGAGTATCTTGATGTCGAGAAACCACACTTTGTCCGGAGCTGTGCAAGCTGTCATACGCTGTGGGATCGAGACATCAATGCCTTACGGAACATGATCTCGGTATGCCAGTCGATCATCGCCACAGAAGATCGGCCGGGTGTATTCAAGACCATGCTTCCCAAACCAACCAAAACCACTCGATTGCCAACGAAGACAGGAGTGCAATGCCATGGCCTACCCGCTGGGGCCTACAGTCAGTCAGCGGGGTTCAGATATCTGAAGCCAGGAAGGGAAAGTGTCCCGTTTATTTCTGGATAGACTGTACTGGTCAGCATTTAGGAATGGCCACGGAAAGAGCTATATTCAGTGTTGGATGCAGGGAGTATCAGGATCCATCGAGAAGACCGGAGCCGTCTATAGGCTTCGTTTAACAGCATAGACGTGCTTGGCGTCGGAAGTGATGATGTATTCGTGGTCTGCTGTCGAGACTATCAACAGTGTCAATGATCGAGATTTTGCGTTAATACTGGCCCGAGCCGTGTGTTGGGAGTATCAACCGGATTCAAATGCAGTGCAGGCTGATGAGGTGCCGAGCAGCCCCGCACAAATATCCAATGTGGTGTCGCCTCTGTGCCAGAACCGAGACAGTGCATAACAGCACTCAGAGATGGCGAGGAAAGCGACTGCTGCCGTCGGTGTACAATGCGCTCTCGTGCAAGGGAGCGAGCAAGTAAACGAGTGCTTTCAGTCAATCCGGTGCCGATGCAGCGTGGACAGTGTCTATGCAGGGGGCATCAATTTTCACCTATGATTCTCTTGGCGTGCTCCTTCTCATTGGACAGCTTGGTGATCTTCTTGGCATCACTGAAAATCCCAGCCAAATAGGCGATGGACTCGGTGTCGTTGCGGAAATCACCGACAACCTATTGTTCAAATTGTTCATGGAGTCGTCCCCCCCCCGCCAGATATTGGCAATAGGACATGAGATATGGTATGTATCGAGGGGTTCACCAAAGGCGAATCAAACGATGAATGCATCAGACGACGGCCATACAACTCTTGAGCCCATGCCTCGGATGATCGACTGAGACACGAATGGCCACTAACCTCAAGAACCTTGCCATCACGCAGATCCCAGAGCACTGCCCCAAGCGACAGCGGCACGGATGCCATCACATGAGCGAGGAGGTTGGTGCTGTTTTCGCGGAGATGGTTCTGAGAATCGAGGATCGTTGAAGAATAGTAAGCCGAGCGAGGATCAGCAAGGGCTAGGATGCAATCACATAAACGGCACCCATTCCAGTCCGATTTCGAAGACAGCTGCCCGTGGTCGTGGGTGTCCTTGGCTTCGGGTTGTTGGAGCGGCATCCGACCAACAAGGCCACCGTGCTCATATTGTGCCGGGCTGTTGGTCAAATCCAGGACCGGCTGGCGGCAGCTTGAGGTACGCTGTGTCGCTGCTGGTATCTGCCGGGTCTTGCTCAAGCCGATTCGATGAGGTTGCCTTGCCATACAGGCAATCTCCTGGCGAGTGCAGCGGCGCCTTCGCCCAAACGCACCTCGGTGGACATGGCTGGGTGGCTCGGCTCGCTGCTTGGATCGTCTGGTGGCTCAGTCCCGCCTGGTTGCTTGGCGGGCCTGCTGTGTCTGATGGAAGATAGAGGACAGGAGCTGATCCGCCCTGCAACCGAGTTGCGTCCGCCATCTGCGGCCTCGCTGGCGGCGTTCTCGGCGAGGACATGCCAGTCATGTGACGCGCGTGGCCGCACTCATCCCGGCTTGGGGCTGTCTCGATATCGAACCCGGCTGGGGCAACCGCCTCTGATCACCTCTGATCACCTCTGATCACCTCTTATCGCCTCTCGTTGCCGCGCTGCCCGACATGTCCTCTGCCACCACATCAGACGATCAAATCAAGAAGGTAGGCGGCGGCTCCCCGAGTGCGTCCAGAGCAAAGGCGAGGGCAGGAGGCCACTCGATTTCCATCGGGTTCCGATGCCGTATCCATCTATCTATCCATGCACCCATCCGGAGCGTCCAGGATACGGATCGAGACGCCCATTTGGGATATTTGCCCAGAGCTGAAATGCACAACGCCCTGTCCGCTTGCGCCTCGGATCTGCCGGCCATGGATGATAGGCATTCCTCGAGACCCAGTCCAAGATCAGCGACTACACCCGCCAGCTCAATGCCGTCAAGACCCAGCTCTCGCTGAAGGATCGGGAGGGCCGTCTCTGCGATCTGACTCATAAGGAGCTGGCGAGCCTGCCCAAGGATACGGGTGCTTATCGAGCTGTTGGACGGATGTAAGTATCGTATACTCGAGCCCTGCTCTGCGGCAGTCTCTGCGGCAGTGAATCCGAACAGAAGGGATCTCATCGAACTTGGGCTGGGATGCGAATGAAGTACGACTATTGACCAGAGGCCACGCTCCTCCAAACGGCCTCTGTGCCGGTGAATCCTCCCCTTGTCTGCTGCTGCCATAGGTTCTTCAAGGCGGATCTGAGCGTCCTGGCAGATGAGCTCAAAGTCCAGAGCACCGAGGCCGCCAGGGAGGCCAAGGCTCTTGAGCGGGCCTCGAAAAAGATCGAAGGCTCCATTATCGATGCCCAGGACAACTTGAAAGAGCTGCTGAAGAAGCGGCAGGAGCTCTGAGCCTACCCAGAGGCTTCCTTCTGTCGGCTAGCCTGCCAGTCGGTGCGTGCTTGGGCCAATGAATGGAATATATTCTTCAGCCGTTGGGGTCGCTGCACGCTGGCGTCGTCAAGTTAGATTCGACTTGGTTTGTCCCTCGAAGGTCACAACGGCCACGGCATAGTCGCCGTCGTGCGATATAGATAGATGAGCCGCCGAAACGTTGGCGGCCAACTTGCACTGGGCGTCTAGCAGCAAGCAAGGCCGTCGACCGTCCTTTGCGATGGTGACTTCATGCCATGCGAGGCGGTACCGGGGGCTCAAGGCCTTGTAGGCAGCTTCCTTTGCAGTCCATCTTTGAGGCCATAGTTGGTTGCAACGGTACAAGACAAGCAGTGAGCACGACTCCATGGCAGGAGAATGCAGCGTACGGATTCGAAAGTCACAGACACAAATCGGATCAGAGATCTGCTCTCCCCAGGGGCAAGAAATATTCGTATTCACCTCGTTGCCAAGAAATAAAAAATGGAGCGCTGCTCTGGGGGAATCAACTGCAGGTCGCAGAACTGGACGCCCAACAGAGCTGTCCGTGTTTCTTCCTGATATGTTGCCGCAAAGGCCTGGTGCTCTGACGACGAGAGAATATATTTCGCCAGGCGCTCGGGAGACTTGCGGTTCAACAGCGCGGCGAAGCGAGGCAGGTGCAAGAGATCGACCCCGACCCCAATGATGTGGCTCATCGTGGGGAGGAGAGCGGATGCGGGATGTATTGACGGATACCAGCGAGGACGCTGACGGCGCGATCGAGGCCAAGGGCTGCCCCGGTCGTTCCGAAATCTTCATGGGGTGTTCATTGAATCCCAACGCGTTGCAAGCGTTGTCGTTACGATTCTTGAAGACCAGCGAACGAAGCCGCCCAGGCGGGCTATTCGTTGCCATCGCAGGATGGGCCATAGTCATCAAGATAGTGTTTGCACAGGCCTTACGGCATGACTGGACTGATCTTGAGCGATACGAGGACGGAGCAGGATGGGGCGATCGCACTTTGGACACACCGATGGAGATGCTGTATTCAGGACCCAGAAAAAAATGGCCCATGTCCTCGAACAGGGTGTCCTGTTTCATTTGGCGAGTGCTGCAAACCCAAGGAAGAAAGTCGGAATCGAAAACGTAAAAGCTAGACAAAGTAGAGTGGGCGCATACAAAGGGGCGACTGCGTTGGCTGCCACAGTCTGGGTAAAGGCAATGCTTGCTAAACAGGGGGGAGGCATGAGGTTCCTATGAACAGCGAGCACCGAAAGCAAAAGGGTAGGCAATCAAAACATAAACATTCCAAATCAAATACATAAACAGCAGAAATACAGAGAATCTAGATTCTAGGACATGCCGTCGACTGGCATCACTTGCGGGATACATGAGCCCAATCCTTTGAAAGGCAGAGGCCGCTACGCAGATGTATGTACATATAAGACAACGAAGGCATCGGCTTGCAGTTCATTTTCTTCTCCCATTCGGAGCCTTCTTTCACCTTCCAGAGAGTGTACAGTCGTGGTGACAATCAGCGGTTATCCTCGTTGGGCTTGGGCTGGCGCCGTTGATTTATGAGCATGCCCACAGCTTGACAACCTGGTCAACCGAGGCGGTGGCGACCACAGGACTGTTCTTGTTAAAGTCGATGGATGTCACAAAGTGGGTATGGGCCTCGAACGACTTGGCACAGCGGCCAAATTTGAGGTCCCAAACCCTCAAGGTCTTGTCATCCGAAATACTCAGGAGGAATTTGCCGGTAGGATGCATGCTGAGACCCCGGACCCAGTTGTCATGGCCCACCTGGAAGGATCAATCACATCGGTCGCGTGAGACGATGTGGTTCACAAGATGGCTCACGAATCCGGCAGCTCGCTCTTATAGGGGTAGCCGACTTCCCCTGTTGCACCATAGACCCTTCGAGCTGTATAAGCACCCGCGAACAGAGCGATCCGGCCGCCCTTTCAACAAATCGCAGAAGGTGCACCCAGAAGCAGACAAAGATGAGTGGGGAAGGGTGTTGCATTACCAGTGTGTGCAGACATTGTCCAGTGGCGACATCCCAAATTTTGATGGATTTGTCGCGCGAGCCGGTGATCACGTACTGACCAGGCACGGCCTGCTCGTCTTTGCTCTTCGAGACCTGAAGTTCGCCGCGCGATTAGATGAGTATAGCGCCCAACATGGCGAGTTGTATGTGCGTGAGGAAACACTGCTGGCCAAAGGCCCTGCACGTCTCTTAGCAAGCATATGATTGCTACTTACATCGGCGGCACCGACGAGCTCGCGAATGTACGGATACGCAGTAGTGGGCACAAACAGAACACATTCAACGACATGCTCGTGGCCACGGAGCTCGATTTTGGTTTCGCCAGTGGCAAAATCCCAGACACGGGCGGTCTGTTGCCGTGAAGGCATGTCAAGTCATGAAAGAGAGTCAGAGGGCATGTATATGCAGGCCACGGAAAGACTAAGGGAGTGGGCGCGGCACTAGGTTTTGGACGCAGTCGAGCCGTCCAGCCGTCCAGCCGTCGGCTCGGCGAGCAACAAATGATACGGGACTGGCATGCATTGCGAAGGTGAACGCACCTGGTCATTTGCACAAGTAGCAATCAAGCGACCATCTTCGCTCGAGACGACCGAGCGGACCCAGTCCTCGTGGCCCGTCAGGGTACGCGTGCAATAGCTGGTGCATTTGCGGGAATTGGGAGGGCACGTTGGGCGATGCAAACATGACGGACAGCGGACCAGGAAAAAAAGTAAGTGAGGCGTCTGCGGTATGCTGATATGCCGAGCTGTCGATATGCGGATATGACGAATGGGCCCAAAGTCAAGTACAAAGAGTGGGGCAATCCATGCCCTAGCGAGTCCACCCGGATACGAACCCCGAGGAGGTTTCCCAGAATTTGATGGTCTTGTCACGCGACGCCGAGATGATAAAGTCACCGGACGGCGAGAATATGACCGACGAGACACTGTGGTCGTGGCCGTAGAGCGTTTTAATGCACTGGTAGTCGTTCGCGATGTCCCAGATCTTGATAGAAAGATCGGCTGAGCAGGAAGCTGGAGGGCACAGTCAGGCAAGGGAGCCAAGGCATAGTGGATTAGCAGACAAGATCGAGTGAACGAGATTGCAGGGAGCGAGATTGCAGGGAGCGAGATTGCAGGGAACGAGATTGCAAGGGTCGACAGTGGAATCGGCCGAGATGCGGAGGGACAGTCTGGCAAGCCGACAGCAGCATGCCAGACTCGTCCACACGATGCCCTGTAGGGCGAATTCGGCAGAGTGACTTGTCGATATGCGACTGTCAGTGTAGCGCAGTTCTTACCCAAAAGATGGCCCTTGGCATCGAACGCCAGATCCTGGACAGCCTTCGTGTGGCCCTTGAGAGTTCTCTCAAAGTCGCCGGTCTCACTGTCCCAGATTTTGATGGTCGTGTCTTCAGAGGCAGTGGCCAGGACGGAGAAAACGGGGTGGAAAAGCACCTTTGTAACTGGGTTGCGGTGGCCAGTCAGGGCATGCTTCTCCGGTGGGCGAGGAATGGCATCAACCGAGCCATTGGCCTTTCGCACAGGCGAGTTGTCGAGCTCCTCTTGCATTTGGGACATCTTGGTCTCCAGATCCATGATCTGCCATACACGAGAGCGTCAGCGGATACACGATGGGACAACAATTGTGCGCAAGCTGCCTGGTGACATGCTCGCCTGGCCTCGGTATGGTGCGGTTTCGTTAACCGGCCTATGCAACAGCACAATCCACACCAACAGACCGAGAAAGTCCAGCCCATGCTGTCCAATTCAAAGACAAGCGAAATATGCCTGTGTTCTCCGACACTTCTGGGCGCGAGAGACACTCGATCACAGAAACACAGAGCCCCAGCACCATGCAGCAATGACGCATAAAAACAGCAGCAACCAGTCGCCACCACATCTTGGTGCCAGTAATGCAGGAGCCAGGAATACATGGCACCCAATCCAACAGAAACTCCGGAGACGGCGGCGAGACCCAGGAACAGAAAGGGCGATAGGCAGGACCAAGTGGGGGGCTGACAGAAACCTCACCTTCTTTTGGAGGCGGATGACCGAGGTCCACTTCTTTTCAAGCAAGCCCGAGTACTTTTGCTTGCCATCGGAAACGTAGTCGTCGAGACCAGCCTCTACCTTGAGAGCCTCAGCGGCACTGTCGAGACCATTTGAAACAAGATAGTCCAAGATGGAGAGACGGAGTTCGGCTTGCTGTCGGGAGCCCATGTGGGTGGTTGCTACAGGGAGAGACGCGGAGGGGGGGGAAATCGAGGGCCGAATTGGGAAATAAGGCGTAGAGAAGCGGTGTGGGCTTGCGAGTTGCAGGGAGCCGCAGGGTAGGGATATCTCGAGCAAGCGGGGATTTGACCAGACACAAGCGCTGCAGGAGGACGCTCGATGGGAGAAGGGGATGGAGGCGAAAACGATGAGCGATGGAGACGGAGGCGAAAGCGATGGACAGCGAGGCGATCGGCGCTCTCGCCCACGCCGAGAGCCGGTCTCGTCTCGGCCTCGTCTCGGTCGCGATTCCTTATTTGGCGAGCCAGGGCCGGGGCCAGCCAGCCGGGGCCAGACGGAGACAGCGGGCGGGAGCGACTGAGGGCGCAAACGCAGCCGACGGCGCTGTTGCTGGCTCGGCCCGGTGGCAAGCGAGCAGCGTTAGTACATGAGTGCGATAACGGCGCAGGTGCATCGATCTGACGACAGGCAACGGCGCTAGCGGGGGGGGGAGGGGCTGCTATGGCCGACCAGGCCTGTTGCCAGACCACAGACACAAAGCCATCTCGCCACATGCCAAACCACATGTCTCAGACGTCCACACCCACACCCACATCCACACCCACATTGCGCATCCCGCTCTCATCCCGCTCGTATCCTGCTCTCATCCTGCTCTCGTTTCGCCCACACTTCCCTTGCATTTCGCTCGTCTCTGCTCTGTCGCCCACCGCCGGCGCGTTGCATGGCTGCTCCCATTCGCCCTTCCCGATTCGGGCCTGTCACACGCTGTGTCACGCCAGCCCGTGTTCGCGCAGCGCGCACTTTCCTTTCCGGTCGGCTGCTGTTTCGCCCAACGCGCACGCTGCCCACGGACGGCGATTGGCGCGGCCAGCATGTCCAGGGCCCATGCATCCCAGAGCCAGGGGGCTGGGGCATGTCCATCGGTGCCGCGTCAGCAGCTGGATCAGCAATCAACGCCCGCATATGGGCCGAGGTCAAGGGGAGCGGAGTTCACTCTCGAGTTCGAGAGGCAAGTATGTGTGGCTTGTGTGGGATGTGCCGGATGTGTGAACCAGACGACTTCGAGCGCCTGTATCATCCCCTCGCCAAGGTCTTTGCCCTGTGTACCCCTCCTTCATCCCAGGTATGACTACTTGCTCTGACTGCAGTGACTGCATCTGCAGTGGCTCGCTGGTCCTGTCGTGCCCACTCACTCCATGCATCTTCCTCGCACTTGGTCGGGTGTGTAATATGAACCGACTACGCCGTGTTTTTGTCCGAATGAGACGGTGTGTCCCATTTCATTTCGGAAAAGCTATGTTATTTGCTGGCATCCTGAGCATCGTGATACAGACACTGTTTGTCGCGGCTAGCGTCGCTCGGACACTTGCAGCCTCTCAACTCAGTCCTCTCTGGCGGTTAGAAGCGCCGCTTGGCTTTGGTTGCTGGGTTCTTCAGGGCATCGTTGGCTCCAAACCCAGTCGCAAACGATCCTCCAAGACCTCCTGCTCCAGTGCCGATGGTGAGAGCCGCATGGGCGGCAGCCCCAGCCCCAGCCGTGGGTTTGGTGTTGCTGGCGGCCACTTTGAGCAGGTCGGTATAGTGCTGGGATGCTAAGCGAGACACCGGCAAATCCGAGGCGTTAGAAATCTCTGGCGATCTTGTATGAGCTTTCTCATAACACGGAATGTCGTGACATTGGCATCCTCCGACTCTCATGCCACGCCGCCTGGCGCAGGAGCATGGCATATCCCCTCCGCGCCTGCGCCGATTATCCGTGGCTGTTCACCAACCTTGGCCATCGAGCTCGGACGAGCTGTCGGAGAAAGGATTGCGGTCGTCACCGTAGTACTTCTTTCGGAACTGCACATACTCGGCCTGCTGCTGTAATACGAGCTCGTGTGTGTTTGCGACCTTGCCAGCGAGCATCAGCAAGCTCTCGTTTTGGTAGCGCATGATGTCTCCCAGAACTTGTGGACTGTAGTGCGTCTGCTGTGACACGGACTGCAGATGTCGCTCCAGGTTCTATCCGATGGTTGAATGCATCAGCACAGATCCGATGCAGGGCAAGTATTACGACGCTGTGACTTACCTCGATTGTTTGTCGATTTTGCTCCAGACGTTCCTCCAAGGATGATGCAAAGTCCATAAAATATCTGAGACGTTCCTGGTTAGATCGGGCAAAGAGTGGACAAATCGCAGGAGCAACCGAGCTAATGCCGATTGCCACCGCAGTAATTGCCGGTCTGTCTGCGACAGGCGGGCGGCGTGTCTTGCTTGGGGGGCCGTGCACACATGTGTCGTCTGGTTACCTGGTCCCGAAATTGCGGGTATATTTGCTGGGGTTGGGATTGCTGAGACGCTCCGTGATACGTATTGCCATATCGGCATTTTTGAGCTCTCCGTCAATCTGCTTTCTCAGGTCTGAGATGATGTAGGAGTCTTGGTCCAGCGTGTTCTTGACTCCATCGAGTTTCTGGCGACCGTGCGAGTGCCAGTCGGGATCGAGATGCGCAATGGTCAGTTGCGATACCGCACGCATGAATGCATCTCGGCGACAGCTGTGTGATTGCCGGTTTCAAGACGTTGATCCGACGCCAATATGAATGACCCACTGGCGTGTCAGGGGCATACCTGTCGGAGTTCCGTCACCAACTTTGAAATCTCCATGATGTTGTCGGCGGCTCCATTGACCGACAGCGTGTCCGCGATGTGGATTTGGTCTTGTATCTGCTTTCTGTAAATGGACATTGTTTGGATGAACAGTCAGTCAAGACAGCGCCAGCTAGGTTCTGCCACATGAGCTCCGATGGTCTCATTCGCCTTTTCAGCAGCTCGGGCAGCCTTCTAAGAGAAAACCCAACATACTCGATATTGTCGAGGATTGTTCGGACATTTTCCGGCAGAGATGAGTAGTTTGATGATTTGCTGATTGCGCTTGGAGCCCTGTTGAATCATGAGCCAACCCGGGTTTCTGTAGTGAGTAGAGAGTCCGCGACGCTTCCGCATGGCAGCCACTGTACATTCAAAACGTGTGTCCCTCCGCTGGCTAATCTTTGCTCGGGTTGGAAGCACGATTTTGCTTACGTTACTACCGATGCCGAGCCAAGAGCCGCACCACTGTTCAGGGCCGATGTAGCCGCTGGAGCGGCGCTGAACAACCCGGTGACAGGCGCTGACGCCGCTACTGCTGGAGTGCTTCCAAATAGGCCTGCACTTGCGGCCGAAGCAGGTGCTGAGGTGGCCGCGGCAGCAAACAGCCCGCCTCCTGTAGCAGGGGCAACACCAAAAGGTGTCGATCCAGTAGCGGTGGCCCCTGGCGCACCAAACAGGCCAGATTGCGGAGCCGCTGTGGGTGGAGTTGTTGAAAACAGGCTAGAGCCCCCAAATGCCGCAGCGGGTGCGGATGTTGCTGGTGTGGCCGATGCGCCAAAGAGTCCGGCGGTCGGCGCGACTGCAGCAGTGGATCCAAAGATCGATGACGATGCTGCCCCTGATGTTGGATTGGCAGCTGCCGGGCCGCCAAAAAGTGATCCAGTTGACGTCGGCTGTCCAAAAGGTTGGGCAGGAGCGGCGCCAAATAAAGACCCTGAGGCCGGCGCCGGCTGTCCAAATGGCTGCATGGTTGGGATCGGATTGGGGCGAATAGGATCGGATTGGGGCGAATGGGATCGGATTGGGGCGAATGGGATGGGATGAGATCAGATCAGATCAGATCAGATCACGACGCCTGTGCAATCGAGCCGATGTTCGATTCGGTGCGTCAGGGAGCGAGCAGCAGCGCCAGGCGACAGGCGAATGGGGGGCTCGACTGAATTGGATCGGGCCGAGTCGGATATCGGGACGTGGACAGAACTGCAGCCGGGCTGATCTGCGGCGGAGACCGAGACCGGAAAGCGAGTTGTCCTTGGGGCCAAAGAAAAACAGACGGAACCCGGGGCGGCTGACGAGGGCGTGCGAGAGTCGGGCGAGAGTCGGGCGAGAGTCGGGCGAGAGCGAGGCTGTCCCACCGGCTCCCTCTCATCCGCCTGTCTGCATGTCGGGGCGAATCGGCTGCTCTTTCGATTGTCCAAGACGCAGTACCAGACGCCTGGCCGCCATCCAACTCGCAGTACGATGCTTCATTCCTCCGGAAACAAAAAGGCCAAGCCGACCGGGACAGCCTCGGGCGCTGCCAGCGGCAGGACTCGGCAACAGCCCTCGCTAGCCTCTGTGCGTTCGTCCTTTCGTCAACAGCGTCTCGGGCAGGATGGAGCCCAGGGGCTCGATTCCTCTCTTGGTTTGAAAAAGGTAGTTCCATGGAGCCAGTTGAGCGATGGGCTGCTCTGAAGAATGACAGCAGCACGATCGTCTTACACTCTGCTCCGATCCACATTCACCAGATTATCCAGGCCTCCCGAAGCACCGGTGCGAGCTTGCTTCTGTCATCCCATGAGCCGTGGGCTCGGCGATGCAGTGTTCGAAATCAAGCGAGGCCTTCATGTCGGGTGCAAGGTCGCTGCAATAGCCGGCTGTCTGATTATATGGTGCGCAACTCCTCCAGGTCGTCTCAATCTCTCGAACCAGTCCCTCACCTCGATTCCCGAGCAGGTTTTTTCCCGGGATGGCTCCGAGGACCATAAGCCCGTCGTCGACTACTCATTCGACAGCCCCTCTTCGGATCCCTCATGGTGGGAGGTACGCGAGCACCTCATTTTTCAAAGAAAAAATCACTCTGCGCTAGCAATCACCTTGCTCGGCTTCAACGCTCGCTGCTGTGAGAGAGGCTCACGGTGGCGGTGACTTTGCTGACGCATCGATCATCAGGAAGTCGAAATGACTCGGCTTATCATTGCCGACAACGAAATCAACGCAATCGATCCCAGGATTGAATCCCTTGGAGCCCTGACTCTCTTCGATGTAGGATACAAGCGGGCGAAGCGTCATGAGTAGAGCTGTGGATGCCCATATAGATCGACCCGGTGCAGCTCAAGAGCATAACTCCAAGCACCTTCTTTCCCATGATAGGCACGCAACAATAGGCTCTCCTGTCTGCCCGCCGAAATGGCTCAGCTCACTCAGCTGGTGATCGTCAATCTGGCCAACAATGCCTTGAGCGAGTTTCCTTCTTGTCTGCTCGGGGCTCCCTTGCAGGACCTTTCCCTACTCGGCAATCAGATCAAGACCCTTCCGGATTCGATTGGCCAGCTTGTGCATCTCACCAACTTGGATCTCTCCCGCAACCGAATCGGCAAGCTCCCAGCCTCTGTCTCCGCCCTCATCAACCTCACCAAGCTCAACCTCTCGGAGAATGCCCTCGAATCGCTCGATGGAGTTCAGTTCTCTGGAATGAAGCTGCTCTCCGATCTCGATCTTCACGACAACAACCTTGTGTCGTTTACAGATGGATCGACATCCCTGCCCTCGCTCGCGCGTCTCGATATCAGCGACAACAAAATTTCGCACTTCTCCGAGCAAGCGCCCATGGATCTGCCGCAGCTTCGCGAGCTCTACCTTTGTAACAATAGAATGCACTCTGTGGGCCTGCTGCTTCGCACGTGTCTGTTCCTTGAGACCTTGGATCTTCGCGACAATGCCCTCACCGAAGTGCCAGCAGACGTCCTTGCCATGATGAATCTCAAACGCTTGGATTTCAGTAATAACTCAATTTCCAAGCTCCCGCCAGAGCTGGGTCTCCTCTCCAACCTGAACACCTTGGGCTTTTCCGGAAATCCCCTCAAAGGCGTTCCCACGGGTGGTACCAAGGCTATATTGGCGGTGGGTACAAAGTTGACTCTGCCTATATGGGGGGCCTCCAGATGCGGATATGATAGCATCTGCTCGTCCGCCATAGAGTCGAGCCCGTCTCTTTGCCAGACTTACAGCTCCTTGAACGTGCCGCCGATTATGCCCCTCCAAATTCCACGAGCGCCGGTCTTGTCGAACACGCTGACAGCAGCAACGGTTTTGCTGACTTTTGCATGTGCTTCTATCTTTCTCGATCATAAAGTTACTCAAGGGAAGAATAACCGGTAAGTATTTGAGCTGGACAGCAGCCGTCTCCAGGAGCGGCCCATAGATGAGCGCCACTTCACAGCATCTCAAAGGCGAGCCGAGGACCTGAGTCTGCAATACCATCGAGACGATGCTCTTTGCGTAGTATATATTGACATTGCACTCCCGATCCGTTGTCCGTTTTTTTTTTTCTTTCCAAAGCTGCCCCAGCGCAGGAGATGGCCTCGAGCGGTGCAGCAGACGAAGGAGCTTCGCTCGATGAGACCACGCGCAGTCGCCACCCATCAACCCAGAACCCAACCAACAAGTCGCTTGACTTTTCTTCCCGTCGATTGGAGAATCTGCCGCAGTCGCACATCGAGGATCTCTCTTTCCTCCCCGCCAATGTGATTCTCAGCCACAACTTGTTTTCCAGTGTCCCCGAGTCTTTGTCGATAGTTGCGGCGACGATGACGACTCTTGTGATAACCCATTGCAAGATCACGACCTTGCCTGTGACCCGATTCCCTCTGCTGAAGGTTTGTACATATCATATTAACTTCAATGCGCCTCGGTGCGACGGAATTATGTCCTGCGCCCATATTTTGATCTCACCAGCCAAGCTGTGCCTTGGTCGGTTGGTTGGTTGGTTGGTTGGTTGACTGGTTGACTGATTTGCGCCACTCATTGAATATCTCGTTTTTCGATCCGACCACGTCGACAAGGACTTGAATCTATCGAACAACTTCATTACTGATATCGGCACCCTCTCGTCAAGCACCCTTCCCTCTCTGATTGAGCTCAATCTGAACAACAATCGCATCCGCCAACTGCCGCAGCACCCCATTGATCTTCCGCTCCTCACCACGCTTCTGCTCTCGGGCAACGCCATCGAGTCTATCCATGTGTCTGCTCTCACGGCAGCACCTTTGCTTCAAGTTCTTGACTTGAGCAACAACAGCATTTCCAGCGTCCCTCCCGAGCTTGGATTGGTTCGCAGTCTCAAGCGACTTGTTCTGGACGGCAACACCTTTAAGGTTCCCCGTCGGGCCATCCTTGACAAAGGTGAGCACGGTTGGCTCGATCGAATAGCCCTCGGCCAAGACCACGGATTCCCTTTGGACTTGTGTACACGTCCCCAGCAATCAAGAGCCTATCATGGTTTGCCTCCCACGTTGCATGATATATCTAACAAGGCTCCACACCCCTCCCTTAGGCACCGACGCCATCATGACTTACCTGCGGGACCGCATTCCCAATTGATCTGCTTCGATGAATCGCGCTCCCGATGTCCCAACTTCATTATGTCACTCCTTCCCAAACTACATGCGGTCCAATAAAAACGGGACAGCCCGGATTTTGGTCGTTGAACAATGATGCCTTTGAATGATGACTAGATATGCTTGTATTCAGGCTCCAGAATAGCATTGTCACCATTGACCATAGCCACACGTTATGTATCACCAGGCGAGTGTGTGGCTGTTCCGTTAGGCAACAGTGTCGACCCAGACTCTCCAAGGACCACCACAAGTTGTCTGGCTGGGACCACCGGGACAAGGAGTCGAGCACTGGCTACTGCTCACAACTGTGCCAAAGGTTCCTTGGCCATCGCCTCCAGCGCCGCCTGGGGTAGCCAGACTGTTGCCGCAGTAGCACTCTCCTCCATACTCAACACCGTAGTACCTGGGAAGCAGCGGTGACGTCAGTTAGCGACTTGTATCAAAGACTGGACCAGTGCCGCACACGCGGAGCATATCCGCGGAGGGCGAATATCAATACTCACTTGTACTGCGAGCACAGACTCTTGCAGGTAGCAAGGGTCATGGATCCATAGTCGACAGAGGCCTAGGGAGGTTGCAGTATTAGATCGACACACGAGCCGACATGGGAAGGTTGATGAGCATTCCATGAAAGAGCCATGCAATGTAGGACAAAGCTGCTCGAGGTTTGGATACTTACTTTGTAGTTCAACACGCGCTGAGAGTTATCGACATAGCAGCCAGTAATTGACGGAGTAACAGTGTCTATCCAGACTCTCCATGGACCGCCGCAGGTCGTCTGGCTGGGACCACCGGGACAAGGAGTCGAGCACTGGCTGCTGCTCACAACTGTGCCAAAGGTTCCTTGGCCATCGCCTCCAGCGCCGCCTGGGGTGGCCAGACTGTTGCCGCAGTAGCACTCTCCTCCATACTCAACACCGTAGTACCTGGGAAGCAGCGGCGATGCCAGTTAGCGAGTTGTATCAAAGACTGGACCAGTGCCGCACACGCGGAGCATATCCGCGGAGGGCGGATATCAATACTCACTTGTACTGCGAGCACAGACTCTTGCAGGTGGCAAGGGTCATGGATCCATAGTCGACAGAGGCCTAGGGAGGTTGCAGTATTAGATCGACACACGAGCCGACATGGGAAGGTTGATGAGCATTCCATGAAAGAGCCATGCAATGTAGGACAAAGCTGCTCGAGGTTTGGATACTTACTTTGTAGTTCAACACGCGCTGAGAGTTATCGACATAGCAGCCAGTAATTGACGGAGTAACAGTGTCTATCCAGACTCTCCATGGACCGCCGCAGGTCGTCTGGCTGGGACCACCGGGACAAGGAGTCGAGCACTGGCTACTGCTCACAACTGTGCCAAAGGTTCCTTGGCCATCGCCTCCAGCGCCGCCTGGGGTGGCCAGACTGTTGCCGCAGTAGCACTCTCCTCCATACTCAACACCGTAGTACCTGGGAAGCAGCGGCGATGCCAGTTAGCGAATTGTATCGAGGGCTGGACCAGTGCCGCACACGCGGAGCATATCCGCGGAGGGCAGACACGTCGATACTCACTTGTACTGCGAGCACAGACTCTTGCAGGTGGCAAGGGTCATCGAACTGTAGTTGATCGATACCTGCAATCAAAGTGGTTAGAAACATAAGCTAATGGACGATTGGATAAGCTCATTTGCTCTTCTAACCTGGTTGGACAGGACACGGTTGGAGTTATCAACGTAGCATCCAGTGGCTGAAGTAGGAGTGGCGCTGGGAGTTGTTGCAGTTGTCGTGGTAGTTGGGGCAGTTGAAGAAACGGAATCGACCCAGACTCTCCAAGGACCACCACAAGTTGTCTGGCTGGGACCACCGGGACAAGGAGTCGAGCACTGGCTACTGCTCACAACTGTGCCAAAGGTTCCTTGGCCATCGCCTCCAGCGCCGCCTGGGGTGGCCAGGCTGTTGCCGCAGTAGCACTCTCCTCCATACTCAACACCGTAGTACCTGGGAAGCAGCGGCGACGTCAGTTAGCGAGTTGCATCAAAGACTGGACCAGTGCCGCACACGCGGAGCATATCCGCGGAGGGCGGATATCAATACTCACTTGTACTGCGAGCACAGACTCTTGCAGGTGGCAAGGGTCATGGATCCATAGTCGACAGAGGCCTAGGGAGGTTGCAGTATTAGATCGACACACGAGCCGACATGGGAAGGTTGATGAGCATTCCATGAAAGAGCCATGCAATGTAGGACAAAGCTGCTCGAGGTTTGGATACTTACTTTGTAGTTCAACACGCGCTGAGAGTTATCGACGTAGCATCCGGCAGTAAAGCCCGAGTTGGGAGTCGTAACCGGGGCGATTGACATTCGCCAGGCGCCGCCGCACGTTTGAGCAGAGTTGCCGGCACATGGGGTGTTGCACTGAGAGCTTGAGGCAGCGTTGACGCCGCTGACACCACCATCGCCGCCGGTACCGGTAACGATACTGTCGCCACAGTAGCACTCGTTTCCGTTTTCAACGCCAAAGTACCTGCCAGCGAAAGATTGGTAAGTATATCCGGGGCAATAGGTGCACACATGACGAAGCAAACGAAAGCGATACCAACTTGTTGCCGTTTTGACTGCAGAAAGCATTGCACTTGTCAACCGTCATGGCGGGATCGACCTGGTGAGTGAAAGATGGTTCAATCACGAAATGTCAGTGAGTGGTCGAGCTCAATCAGAACACGAGGGGTACATCCAATTATGAATAAGCAATTGCACTTACCGTGCTCTTGGCAGCCAGAACGCGAGACGGGCCATCAACAAAGCATCCAGGGATGGTTGGGGAGGCCGAGCAAGATGGCGGCAGATCAAAGGCATCAACAGCGCTGGTGGTGGCAGAATATCCCAAGCCACGCTTAGCAAATCCCTTCCAGAGGAGACACTGATTGGCGCCTTTGTTGTTCGTTTGGTCGGCCAGGAGGATCGCATTTCTTGCGTTGACAAAGTTTGGGTTACAAGGTTGATTCTTCAGGCCATCGATAACTAATTGGAACTGCAAAGATATACAACGAACCGAGTTGGCACAGCAGTGGTGGCGCTACACAGCAGATATAGAAGGCGCTCCAAATACAAGCGGCATCGAGGGGGCACATACAAATATGGTGTTGCCTTTGCCGCTGCTGTAAGCCTTGATATCCGACGACGTGCCGTACTGGTCAACGAGGTTCCAGTACACCTCGAGGAGGAGCGACGTCCAGATTTCACCAATCTTGTGCACTTCTTGATACACGCCAGTGAGCTTGTAAGTCGTAGGATTGGTGGTCAACGAGGTCGAGTAGGGATAGGTGCGGATACCGTTCGGGCGATTGAAGGACCAGGCTCCGAGGGCATAGTTGGTGGCGCGAGTATCAGTTGGCTTGATGCTCATGACGAGTGCGGCCATGTCACTCCAGCCCTCGCCAAGGCCCATTGAAGTGGTGGTGGTGAGGCAATTGGCAAGAGCGGAGCCGCCGGTGAGGCGATTCGACACTCCGTGGAAGGTTTCGTGGACGACAATGTTGTTGTCCAACGCCTCGTCGCGTCTGGGGGTGGCCATGGTGCTCAAATAGATGTTAAGAATTCCAGAGGTACCGTCAGGAGGGGTGAAGAAGTTGGCTGGATTTACAAGCAACGGAAAGAGATGGGGCAGAAAGAGCGTTAGGATGTAAGGGGAATGGGGACTAAGCAGGGATGTCTCTGCGTGGGTCCGACAGAGGGGAGCCTCGTATACAACTATATCGGACCGCAGATCTAGTTACCGTTATTCGTCGAGCGGGAGTCTTGGACATTGGCAATGACAAAATCGCCGCCAGCGCCACCCTTTCCAAAGTTGTTGTTCTGGAAGTTTCCGAATGGCTCGGTAAAGCCGTAGAGATAGTAAACATCATGCATGGAGTTGACGAGGTAGAACACATTCGTGACGGCGGCGTTGACTGACTGATACGGGTCTTGCGTCAAGTCGACAGGATAGTCGAAAACGTAGTTGGCGCTCGAAGGACGGCTATGGGCAATCATGTCGGAGGGCAGGGAGCTGCCTTCGTGGTTGTCCTGAGCGTAAACGTTGTTCCCGGCCAGGGTAGGAGAGGAACCGTTTCCAGCATCGTGCCAACCACCCGGGGAAGCAACGCGGTCGTAGGGATCCACAACAAGCGATCGTCCCGAGGTGATATCGATCTGGTTGACTGGAACGACATTGTAGGAAGCGGCCGGTATGGCACGCTTGGCAAAGGACGACACCCAATCGCCGAGACCGAGGAGGCTTCCGTCAGCGACTGAGACGAAACCGTTCCACCAATGGTCGGCGAGCTGGTAAGAGATGTCCCACACCCTGACGTATTCGGTCGGGGTCTGGAAATATCCGAGCGAAAACTTGACTGGGGAGAGAGCTTGAGCAGCTCCATTAATGGTGCCGCTTTGACCATCGGCACTCGAATTGACCTTGAGAGTGGAGGTTGTGAGGTTGACGTTGATATATTGGGCAAAATGGACGAGGGCTTCGGTAATGTTGAGAGACGAAGCGCGACGGGTCAGGGTGGTGACGTTTTTTTCGGAGCTACCAAAGGTCGAGCCAAGTGATATCACGTTTCCGGCAGCGTCGAGGTTGACGTTTGCGGCAGCGTTGACGACCGGGAGGCCGTTGACAAGTTGGACGGCGTACACATGGGTAATCTGGTTATGGGGATCGGTGGCACTGGAATGGCGAAGAGATGAGAACACAGACTCGCTGAAGGCCATCGGTGGCCCCGACATGCCACGTTTCGGCATGAGACGCCAGGACTGGTCGAGACATGGCGGAGGTTCACGAACACGCACCTTCCAATCAACTGGTATTGGGTGGAGTTGACACCCAGGGTCGTCTGGATGGCATCTTTGGCGCTAGAGTCGAGCTGACTGGAGTCAAGAGGGACAAGCGAATCCGTAGCGGGCTGCGATGGGAAGTATTCGGTCACATTGGGCCAGTGGACTTTGGGGTCGTCGACCGAGGGGACGTCGTTGCTGGGCAGCACAGCCGCAGCGATTCCCGTGGCCGAGGGGGCGGGCGGAGGAGCAGAGCACTTGGCAGCAGCAAGTCCGGCTGCCGAGGCAAGCAGGGCGAGACTGCCAAGGGTGGTTTTGGTTGCGAGGACCATGGTCGACGGCGGACCCAGCGGCGACAGGGAGACGAAGGATGGCGGTCCGCTGGCCAGCAGCGAAGGGTGCGGCGACAACAGGTGTATTTAGGGGCGAGCAGAGGCAGCGCACGCGAATGGGCTGCGCGGACACGGAAGGCTCGATTTGGGCAGGACCAGCGCGACGCGGACGCGCGGCCGACACAGACACTGTGGGGTGGGGCAGCGCCTCCGACGCGGCTGTGGCGGACGCGCTGCCGGCCAATCGGATGCGCAGGGGATGTGTTTAGACGCAAATACGCGGGGCGGAGCGCGCAGCCGGCTGCGTGGGATCTGCTGACCCAAACCCGGTCCATGGCCTCGGCAGGCGACGAAGCGCTGCTTGTTTGTGGCCGCGAACGAATCGGCCTCGGCCTTGGTCAGCCCGGGCATCCGAAACGCAACCAAGCATCCGAGATGGAGCAACCCCGGATCCAGACATCCAGCGCTGAGTCTGCTGCTCCGCACGACGGCGCCGGACGACAGTCGCTGCAGACGCCCGTGGAGCTCGCCCGGTCGGCCTCAGGCGGCGACGAGCGGGAGTACCAGTTCCCAAGGTTCACAGATAACTGGGTATGTGCGGCAGGCTTTGCCCATCACGACATTTTCATCAGGTGCGTTCGACAGGAGCACTCGATAGGAGACGATCAGGGCGTGCTGCATCGTGGCCAGCAGCTCAAGCATTTGACCTTTCGTCTCTCGATGGCCGAAGCTATCGTGTGGCTACCGATTTCACCGCTGCCGGCGAACTCCACTCAACGCTGTGTGTCACGACAGGGCAGGCCCAAATCCATACGTACCTGGACCGGCGCTGCCTTGAAGACGGACAGCCATGGGAAGAGGGCTTTCTGAATGGTCTCACAAACTCCAGCGTCGTTGTAATTCTGCTCTCAGAGAAGGGGATGGAGCGAACCAAGCGCGCAGACATCAAGCCGGACAATCAACTTCTGGAGGTGGGGCCCGCTGGACATCGTTTCGGTCAGCAATGGAACCGCATCGACCCTTACCACTTGCCTTTCCACCCATGAGACTAGATCGAACTGGCCCTGAAGCAGATGAAGAAGACCCAGAGCACCCGCTCGCCCGTCCAGATCCTGCCGATCCTCATCAAATCCAAAGTGCTGATCGGTGGCACCACATATATCCGTGACTGGTTCCCAAACACAAACGACTTTCCTGACAAGATCCACTGCCATTCCTCGAGCCCATCCAAACGAGGCGAAATTGATCCTCCGCTTACCATCCGACAAACTTTGTCTGAATTGCTACAGCTTCAGGCTTTGATTGCGGCCGACGACTATGCCGTCACGAAGTAGGTAACACCCTTGAGCATCTACTGGCGAAATGGTTTCATAGAAGCGAGTGTCTAATGGCCACGCTTGCTGTCGATTTAGACTTGCTCCGCATATACTTCAGCACGTCCACAAAAATGGTTTGGGATCCGAACATCAACCGGGGCACCCGATACCAACACCTATCCGACTTACCGCCGAACATGACTCGCTCCTGCGATCCCTCCTCGATCCAGTCGACTCCTCTTCCGACAGAAGGGCACTCGAGGATCTGTATGTCGAGGGCACTCGCCAGTGGCTGTTCGATCAAACCACCGACTGGGTCAACCAGGATACCACCGACACTGTCCTGTGGGTCAATGCCGTTGCTGGAGTGGGCAAATCTGTTGCTGCTGCCCAGATCGCCAACATCCTCACAGCCAGCAACCAACTGGTATCGGCGCTGTTCCTCAAGTACAACGATGTCCGCAAGAGCGATCCACGAGTTGTGTTGAACACGATCGCATACGGTCTGTGCAAGTGGCACTCGCCGATCGGCCGCAAGCTGCTCGATGCTGGTCACTCCAAGGACAGTCTCGACAAGATGAGCATCCCCGAGCTGTTCAAGGCCGTGATTGCCGATCCACTCGAAGCCATCGGCGACTACAGACCCAAGGGATCGGTGATGATCCTGGTGGATGCACTCGACGAGTGTTCTCCGCGCGACCAGCTGCTCAGCCTGCTTGCCTGGCGCTTCGTCGAACTGAACAGGACCCGTCCGTGGCTCAAGCTGCTGCTGACATCCCGACCCGAGGACGACATCAAGGCAGCATTCGATGGAGTCCCGACCAAGACAATCGAACCCTCGAGCGAGGAGAACATCCGTGACCTCGAGGTGTTCATCCGCCACCGACTGCGAGTGTATGACACTCTCAGTGACTCGAACCGCACCGAGGCAGTCGCCATCCTGCTGGACCAGTCCAAGACATTCGTGTGGATCAACCTGATCCTCAACACCGTCGACGCAGCATCCAAGGACGGCCCAGTGACACTCGCCACGATCAAGGACATCAACGACAGCGCCGCCGACGGCGGCCAGCTGTACCACAAGACATTCGCCAAGATCCACTCGCAGTCGAGCCACCCGGCCGAGCTGGTCACGGTGGTGTCGGCGATCGCCACGGCCCAGTCGATCCTGACCCCGCAGATCATCGCCGATGTGTTTGGACTCGAGATCGGCGTCGTTCGCGAGTGTCTCAAGGGCCTCAGTCTGGTCCTCGATCCTGGCGCCAATGGACTGGGTCCCCGAGACAGCCAGTCCACCAACAACGAGGTCAAGTTCAACCACAAGTCGGTGGCGGACTATCTCCTCGACGCATCGGCTGGCCATCCGTGGCATGTGTCGGACTCGTTCCACACGGCGTTTGCCAATGGATGTCTCGGTGTGATCCTCTCGCACGAGCCAGTGATCAACATCTGCGATATCTTCGAGTTCCACGACAAGATCGCTGACCTCGAGGACAGGGTCTCAGCCACGATCACACCGTCGCTGCGATACAGCGTCGCCCACTGGATCACACACTTTGTGTGGTGTGTGGACGGAGAGGCCGAGTCGAGTCCGGTGTGGCAGTCGGCCAAGATGGTCGATGTGGCAGCGGTGCTCACTCTGTTCGTCAAGACGCATGTGTTCTTCTGGCTCGAGTGTGGGTCGCTCACACATGTGGTCAAGCCGATCATCGAGCAACTGGCTGTGCTGCGAGGAGTGATCGCCAAGGCACCCAGCACCATCGTCGACGACACCACGAAGGAACTGGTCAAGGACACGTATCGATTCATCCGCGAGTTTGCCGATCCAATCATCAAGAGTGCACCACAGGTGTACAACTCGGGGTTTGCATTCACACCGAAGGAGACGGCGATCTACAAGACATATGCCGACCAGCTCGAGGACAAGATCCCGTTCTTGGTCACAGCCGGACCGAGGCCCACCTGGAATTCTTGTGTTTCCACTATCCAAGTCGATGGTTGGGTCAACTCCGTTGCACTGGCTCCTGATCAGCAATTCATCGTTTCCGGTACAGACGGCCCCAATGTTGTCATATGGGACGCTACAACAAGCCAACGGAGCCAAACTCTCATAGGGCACAGCACATGCATCATGGCCGTGGCTGTAGCTCCGGATGGTCAGACCATTGCCTCTGGATCCATTGATGGCCAAGTCCGATTGTGGACGCCAAGCGGACAATTGAAAGTTGTGCTCGACGGACATCAAAAGTCCGTCAATGCACTCCACTTCTTGGCCGATGGACAAACAATCATTTCGGGATCAAGTGATAGCTCCATCCGGCTCTGGGACAGCTCGACTGGAGCCTGGAAGCGCACCCTTACCGGCCACACTGAGTGCGTCTGGTCAGTTGCGGTATCAGCCGACAATGACACAGCGGTTTCGGCATCAAGTGATGGTACAATTCGAAAATGGAGGACTTCGATTGGAAACGAGAGTCTTGTAATCCGCGAGGATAAAGAGCGATTTTGGGCCGTTACAATATCGTACGACAATAGCGTTATCGTGTCGGGATCGAGCAGCAAGTCCATCAAGGTTTGGAGCGGTATAACTGGAGACATGATTCGCACCATGTCGAGCTACACTGACGGTGTAACTTCAATATGCGTTGACATCGATAAAGGAATTGTTGTCTCAGGTCACTGGGACGCCTGCATACGAGTTTGGGACTTGAAAAGCGGACGACAGAAGCTTGCACTCCGAGGACATGTTGACAGAATCAGCTGCGTAACAATGTCGGCTGATGGAAACACGATATTGTCAGCATCATGGGATGGAACAATCAAGCTCTGGCTACCGGTCCCGCACGAAGTTGATGATTATGAAGATTCGGCTCACTCCGACACTGTCCAGTCAATTTCCGTGTCCCCAGACGGTCTCCTCGTCGCCACTGGATCAAAAGATTGTTCGGTCAAGCTATGGGACGGAGTGACGGGCAAATTGAAAAGCACGCTTGAAGGACACACCGGAGGAGTAACCTCCGTTTTGATTTCACCGAATGGGCAGGTCGTTTCAGGCTCCTGGGATACAACCATCAAGATCTGGGAGTCAGCCACAGGTCGACTAGTGCAGACGCTAGAAGGACATGAATATCCGGTTGGAATGCTGCTCTACCAAGACGGAATCGGATTGGAATCGATCGATTGGAATGGTATTTCGATATGCTGGGTTCCTAAACATGGCCGGTTTCTCAGGAGTGAAGGCTTTTCAACTGAGATTATCAGACCAACGGCATTCTCCTTGCTCGAAAAGTGGAAACAGATTGATGATGCGCCGTCAATGCAATGGCTCTCGCACGACCATCATATGATATACATCCCAGGCTACTTGTATGGAATAAGTATTTCAAATCGATTCGATTCTTTGTGTACGGCCGAGCGACGCCTGGCAACGATATGTGTAAGTACTGTCCCAGCATTGGGGAGGGGGAGGAAAGGCTGGGTTCTGATGAATAATAGATATTTGGGTCAATTAGCCAATATACATGGACAGCGCCAATACAAGGTTTTGGACAGCGTATTCCCATCAAAATTTGAGCGGTTTCTCCAATAGCAGTGTGTCAAGTTGAATTGGAAGTTGAATCGTCGGACATTAGCCAAATTTCGACAATAGTGATGACTGGACCTCATGAACAGCTTGGAGAGGAGCAGCGCTCCACCAGGAAAAGCATCAGTGCCAAATTCAATGCATAAGCGCAAGATGCACTGGTGTGACACCTGAGTCTCAAAAAACCTTCAACCTTGAATGGAAACTTATCAAATGGAACGAAAGGCGGACGAATGCGCCGGTATTTCATTCACAATGATGGTGAAGAATCGATACAGGGGCAACAGAAGTGACCGGTATATCAAGATTAGAGATGGAGGTTTACGCAAGTCCCTAAGGTTGAATAGATGGATAAGTGGAAATACCGCCTGTGTTACGGACGCGGGCCATGATGTGGTTTGGGCGCAGAACATGGTCTTGCCACTCACTGACGGTGAGAGTCTCAATGGCCTTGACCTGCTGGATCATGCACGAGAATAGTTCATTCAATGCCTTTATTTGATCACGGCGCGATCCATCGCGGCGCGTGTCCGTGGCCTATTCCGTGGCCGAGCTCGCCGATATGATAGATTAAACCGTAGAAGTAATAGTAGAACAGCCCAGGGTCGGAGGAAAAGCCCACTCAGTGAAACATTTATGAAAGAAATATCATCGCTCGCTCGTTCCCTTAACTTTGCCTCTTACTCCTTGCTCCATATCCGTACCCTTGTCTCAACTCCCAGGCCATGTTCCTGCCAACCCACCTCAATGAAAGTGTAAAACGAGAGGTAATGGCAATTATAATGCGCATGGCCAACCCAAGAGATCGGGGGAGTGGAATTGGAGTGAAGTTGAAGGAGAACAAACAGTGTAAGCTGCGTTTGCTCGCTCCTTGCTCCTTCGCCTGTGTTCAGCGCCGTCGTTCTGGACCACAAGGGGGACTCGCCTGTGTGACCGGCTCTGACAAAGGGACCTGCCGTCGCCTCGGCTGCGCTCTGGCTCGTCGGTCCAGGCTGGTGCTGCGCACTCTGTCTTGCGAGCGCCCCTCTCGTCCTCGCCGCCTCGCGGCTCCTCGCTCGCGACGAGGAGCGCTCTCTCCAGACCGTCCCTCGCGAGATGCGTCTCTCCCTTCGTGTCGGTCTCGGTCCTGGCTGTTGCGACTTCATGACTTCAAATTTTTTTCATCGGCACCCCCCAGCGGCTTGTCACCCCGAATCTCGATTTTGCATGGCAAGAGATGAATAATCGGCCCAATATTAGCCGACCTCCGCCTGCCTCCGGGCTTCCACCCTCTTCATCTGACGCTTCATACCGTCCGTTGCCTCGGCCCCCGTCACAATTCCTGCCGAGCCCTCACGGCCCGGTTTCATCCTCGGGGCATCCTCATCTTCGCCATGCTCCGTCTACAGATGGGCGTGGATACCCGCCCCCGCCTCCTCCCTGGTACCAATATGCTGACTGTCCGTCTGGGTCAATCCCAAGCCAATATTCGGCGACGTTGCCACAGTCGACTCCCTACAGCTCGTATCAACTTCCAAGCGTCCCTTGTCAGCCGCATTCCAGACAGCCGCCAGTCCATCCACCAGAGACTCAATATATCGGTGATGCTTGGCCCCGAGCTCATCAGCATGGCCTTCACTACCAATATCCTGGGACCGTACCACGTCCTGCGAGCGACGGTTCTCAGCTCCCCTCTCATTCGCCAAACCCTATCCTGGACCAGGATCTTCTCGCTGGTCCGTCTCAGGCTTCCACAGATGTGGCAGTCGGAACTTCATCCTTTCGTCGCCTTGCGCCAAAGCCGGTGAACCTTCCGCCTCCAGAACCACCCCTTCGCTCGAAAAGAGCCTCAAAATCGAGATTTTGTCGTTGCAACCTATGCCGAATCAATCCGGAAGGGGGTCTCATGATCTCGGCAGCCTCCTTCTATGATCATGCGCGAAACTATGGATACCCCGATGGCGAAAATCCAATCAAATCTCGCCGTCAGAAGCCATCCGTCGCCAGAAGCATAGCGCCTTTGACGCAAGATCCGCCAATTGTATCGGCTGCCTCAGATTCCGGTGGCCCTTCTCTCATGGACGAACACATATCCATCCAGGCATCCGACCCATCGTCAGCGGGAGGATCCACAGCTGTTCCTTGCACTAATCCAACTCAATCTTCCCGACGAAACCCTCAATCTCCAAATGTTATCGGTCTGTTGAATCCGCTTCCCCGCTCTCTCGTGATTCATTGAACAGCAGCCGCTCACACTCTCCACGATCATCCCCTCAGACCTCAATTCACCTAGTCCAGAGCCTCACTTGGGTATGATTATACAGCTTTCATCGATCTAGTCAGCATCAGATGTAACAAAGACATTTCGTGGCTTCAACTACTGAGCTTTACCAGCTTCGTCATTTCCAGGGGATATGGATTGGACTGACTCACATGAGGGAAGGATTGGTTCCCCACCACCTCACAACGCGGGCACAGATGAAGGACACTCCGAAGTATCGTCTCTTGATTTGGACGCTCTGGCCGATGAATATGACCTTGATTCGCCAGACGAAGACGCCCCGGTTAATCCCAATGGGTAAGCGATTCATCCTTGTGCCGATCCTGGTGTACGACCACCAATATGCTGACGCTGGTATGCCACCTCCAAATCCTCTCAATAAATGGTCAGCCAAGTGCCCAGCTTTGATGACTCAGAGAACACCGACAATCTGGAGAACCTGGACCACCCTAGCGACTCAACCGACGATGAAGAGGTCATTGGACTGACTCATCCTGTTGGTCCAGGATACTTTGAAAGCTACCTCAGAGACCCAGATAGCCATTCAGATCAATCATCCGATTCAGAAGCTGAAGAGAATCTTGGGAATATCCCAAGGTTACTGCCAGGTTGATAGCCACGTTTCGATCCACACGTTCGACCGTAATGCCATTGAAGTTAACTTATTGGCATTCCAATCGGATCTAATCTGACACAATCAATCGTTCGGGTCCGAAATTCTTCCAGAATCGACTGCCCTCGGCTCGAGTGATTCGCCTGAAGACGGTGAGTATAACTGGTTAACAAGGTGGTAAACAAGCCTACTGACTCTGTTTCTCTCCACAGAAATCGATCAGATATCTGCCATGCTCCTCGACATCAAGTTTGAGTACAAAGTCTCAGATGCAGTTATGAAAGCTCTCTTTCGAGGAATTGGGCTCTATTCTGGTCAAATTATCCCCAAGATGAAAAGCTATGAGCATTCTATCGCACAACTCGAGGGAATGTCTAAGCAAAATATCACCTTCTTCAAGACTTGTGAAAGAGGCTGCGTCGTTCACAGTCGAACCAAGAGGACGTGCACGGCATGTCAACACCGTGATACTGTGAGAAAACGAAAGAATGTCCCTGAACAAGTGGCAGCACCATCACGCAATACTCGCCGTCGCATAAGGCCATTAATTAATAACGGGCCTACTCCTTCACATCCAAGTCCCCACCTCAGAAGCAGCCAGAATAGCGGCAGTTCACAACCCATCCCTCCCAATAATAATTCTACTGTGGGTCACATGCCGCCTGATTCCCCAGATGAGACAATTGCCAACGCTGGAAGTATTGCTCCGCACCCGGCGATTGAAGAAGTCCATATACCGGAGTCTGGCTCAGTACTTCAATCAACTGAACTCGCCGACCCGGCTCGACAACATGAAAGGAGAGAACCCAAGTTTGGAAAGTATGCCTACTTCCACTTGATTCCCCGACTGCAGGAGATGTTCCTTCATCCAGAAGCAGTCGATGAGCTCATGTATAGAGCCAACCGTAGACCGACCCCAGGCAAGCACTGTTGCTCTGTGGTTGAATATCGGGTGGACAACAAACTGACCTCAATCATCCCTGTAATTCAGATGTACAAAGCGATATTTTTGACGGAAAGCACTACAAATACCTCCGAAAGCGAAAATTCTTTTCCAGACCAACAGACATTGCGCTCGGACTGACACTGGATGGATTTCAGATATCCAAGAGGTAAAGCATTGTAATCGAGTCGCTTGCACATTCATTTTGTGTCTAACATTTGGTCACTCTAGAAATGGCAGGCAATCGCGGGTGTTTGCCATAATCAACTACAACCTGCGTCCCGAAATCCGAATGAAGGAAGAAAATCTGATCAAGGTTGGGATCACTCCCGGGCTGTCCTCTCCAAAAGACTTGGAATCCTTCCTGGAGCCTTTATATGAAGAACTAAGTCAGCTCGAGAGAGGCAAGTATTCGCCGATGGCCATACCAGAAAGATGCACCGGAAATTAACATGTCCTGGCGACATTAGGAGTCGAGTCCGTTATTCTCCGCCTGGATGGTGTCTATGAAAAGTTCACCCTGAACGCCCATGTCATATGTTGCACCGGGGATCTTCCAGCGATCGCCAAGATATCTATGATGTCGGGACATACTGCAAAGAGTGGCTGCCGATTCTGTCACATAAAAGGCAGGTACTGTCGAGGTATTTACTATTACGAGGAAACGCTTCCATCGCGGAGAACAAAGCGAAGTTTCAAACGGACCTGGAGCCGACTCAGCCGAGCAAACTCAAAGAAGCGCAAAGAAATCATCACTACCACAGGTACTACGGAGTGTTGTCCCACCTGATTGGAGATGAACTTGAAATTAACCACCTGTCTCAATAATACTGCAGGAATCAATGGCTGTCCTGGTCTATGTCGCCTGAAAACTATTGACCCAAGTGTCTGCTTTCCAATCGACCTGATGCACCTGATGGCAAGAATCAGCTACATCATGGTTTCCATCTGGATTGGTGAGACGACAATTCCCAAGGCGTCGACACTCAACCAAGTAGATATGAAGGCCAAGCTCCAGCACGCGGACCGATTGATGGGAAATATTGATATCCCGACTGGGTTTGGTCCCATGCCTCGACCCATTTTCAGCGACTGGAAGACCTACAAGACCGAGGAATGGCAAAATTGGATAATAGCCTACTCCATGCCCTTGCTACACAGTGTCGGAGTCCCCGAAGTACATATGTAGGTAGAAATGCAGATCCGACGTTTTCTACGAACCCAGGACTCACGATTCTCTCAGTCAGGGGTGGGGCTATTTTGTCGACGCAGTCAGACTCCTGCTGCTGAAAAGCCTCGATCAAAACCAAAGAACCATGATTTCTATTCTCTTGACAAAATTTTACAAGTACTACACCAGGTAAGTCAGCTCTACATGGAGAATATGAACACCAGTCACTCACTGCGGCCGCATCGATTATTCGCACTCACATTTCCTCGTTTCCCAGAACGCTGGCTTGCTTGCCTGAGTCCCTCAGTCCGGCGTCTCCGGGGAGTGAAGCCGACAACTCAGGACTGAAGCTCATGAAAATGTATATCCATCTTCTTCTTCACATTCCGCTTTGTATTCAGTATTTCGGGCCAATGTACAGCTACTGGCAGTTTCCGATGGAGCGACTTGGAGGATCGATCATGCGATCGATCAAGTCCCGATCGAAACCCATTGAAAATCTGGCTCGCCAACAGATAGTCCGGGAGGCGCTCAGAGGAATCGAAAAATTCAACACAAAACGACCCTACTTTGCTGTAAAATCTGTGGCCCTTCAGTTGACGAAAAGGCACGAGCAAAGGGAGTCATCCGAGGCAGCCTCCCAGAACGGAGCCCCAAAGCACTCTTTGACGGGAAGAAAGGAGATCAGCAGATTGAGTGAAACGGAAATGTGTAAACTGAAAGCGGCGTATCTGAAAACCCTTATCTGGGGCTCGGGCCCTACGCCTTTGAGCTCACTGGAAAGTTTCAATGACTCATGGATTGCAGCCTCCCCAACCATCACTATCTATCACACATTCCAGCACAATACTATGGAGATGCATAGGTTTTGTCACGATCGCCCAAATGGTCGTCGCAGTAACTGCTGGGTGAAGGTACGAATCTCGAGCACCCTCCATACCTTACGAGGCAAACTGCTGACCGTCCCCTTCACAGGTCTTATTCAGTTCTCCGCAGACCACTCGAGAAGGCCAAATTCATCCCCTTAGATATTATCGAGTGGCCTTTTTCTTCACCCATACCTTTTGCGGGATAACTTCGTATTGGGTGTGTTGCGCTGTTCCCAAATCTGTCCCCGCGAATCGTGGATACGATCGGCATCCAGTGGCCAGAACATTCCGCTTCGATGGATTTGACGCCACCCAAGCCAAGCGGATATTTATTCCTCTTCACGAGATTGACTCAGCAGTCGGCGTTCTCTGTGTTGGCGAAGGTAGGCGTGGGTGACCCTATACTGCGCATTTCGGAGCAAATGGCGTCTCCTCCCTAACTCTATCATCATGACAGTCATATACATATTGGACAAGGGCGACATGTCTGTGTATATTACTCCCTGGACACTGCCTGCTGCAGGGCGGTGAGTCTGAACAGAATCCTGACGATGATATCCTGACTTTCATAAAAATACACTCCAAGTCACGATCGGCTTTTTTTCTTATTCAGCGGATCCCGCAGCCGGCTCTTGGGGGTGTGGGAGCGGATGGGCAGATTGAGAGACAATCATGCGTTCGAATGTGGTTCGATTGCCTCCCCCCTCCTTCGCTGGGCTGACCAGGGCCTCCCACGCGCAAGAGGGAGGCTGTTAGGGACGGACGCGGGAGCAGGGCGAGGCAAAGACAAGAGCGTGGGAACCGGGAGTAGTCAAGGTCTAGAGGAGTGATGATCTTATATTGGAGTAGTGAGAAGATAATTCACTTGATGAGCTTTCTACCCACGTCCTGAGCCCGTCTATTTATACCTCAGCCGTCTAGTCTATCTGATCTCCGAGCTCAATCGGTGACAAGCCACGCCGTGATCAAGGAAGGGAATGAATGAATTGACTAAGCTAACGAGCTGCGCAGAAAAGTCCCGAACGTTGTCGGCCATCCTTTGCATAGGTAACATGACTAACTGCCCCGCCACACCCCAATCATGACCTGCACCCCAAACACGCGATCCCTGAACCCTTGTACTTTTGGGCAAGTTCTAACAGAGGCGATCTCCTTCCACCCGATCATCACAATCAAGTCCGAGGTAAGTGTTTGGCGACCAGCGAGCTAACTGATCTTTTCCTTTTCTATATTTCTCTATTTGTTCCATATCTTCTCATTCCAGGTTCGGTCCAGCTTCATCGAGGTATGTGTCCAGAATTTGGTCTTGGATTCTGCAGGGTGAAGGAGGGGGGGGGGAGCTAACTTCTCAAAACTTTTCGATGCCCCTCATTCTCTGCGCAGGCACCTGAGTGGTAAGTTTATTTGTTGACAATAACGCTCCTGTCGCGCACCATGATTGTAAAGATGCTCCGTTAACGTTTGCCGCAGCTTCGGTCCTTCACCAGATATTCGAAGTCAGGTAAGTCTGCTCCGCACGGAAATAGCCAGTGCCAAATGCCCAGCTCGACTGTTGGTCGTTGTGGGTTATTCGTCCAGTAGCGATAGTCGCCTCTGAAAGCAGCTTGCTCGATATTGAGGCCAGCGACAGACTCTATGATGCTGTCATTGGATATTCGTGCACCCCATCTGAATCACGGAGCTTGCTGAATACACACTGCCCGATCGTTGCTTTCAACCCGATTCATCGCAAGAGCTGGCTCGACGGCCACAGGGTGAAAAAACCCCTCCCCTGGTCGTCTGGTGTCATGAACCATGACGTATGCGGGGTGGGGGGTGCTACTCTCATTCCCCAACCGAAGCTGATTGGGGGATGGCCCTCGCTGCGCTCAAGGAATTCTAGATGCATGGCCACGATCTAGACACGCCCGAACCTTCCAAGGTAGAACACGCTTTGCAGAACCTTCTTTGCAGCGTTGCCCCTTTTCTAGATATTTGTCAGCAGAGGATACCAGCCGGTTATATACCCGACCTTTGGCCGTGCTGTATACCTCGTCAGTGAAGTATTCAATAAATCACCACTCTATCTTGTTTTCCGTGTCTCCGATCCTCCTGACCTACTGTTAGAAACAAGGCAGAGACGGGGCAAGGAATGGCTTAGGAGAGTGATGATCGCGTGTATTGTGAGATAATTCACTGAGGGGATATTGTCATCGGGGGCGCCTGTCTATTTATACTCTATACTGTCGTTGAGTACCCGCCAAACGATAAGCCACATCTTTGATCATGCCCCGATCAAATTAAGATAATTAAAGAATATGAATCGATTTTCCATGCCTTTCCTCGCACTTCCCTCAAGTCAGGTGTTCATTCGCTTCAGTGCCAACATGGCTGTCCCGAATCACGTTGTTCGAACACGGCGTCGCGGTCGGTCGATTCATAAAACCTGCCAGCCCCGTTCCTCCCAGTAACCCCGACTAGTTCTCACGCCCCTCTACCCTGCCCAGTCCGGCTCTGTTCCTGTTTCTCACATCTGGGATGGTGCTGGGGGGGGGAGGGCGAGGAGTGCAGCAAACGGGGGGCAGGGGCGGCAAAGCGAGAGGGTCCGCCGAGAGCAGCAGAGCGAGGATGCCGGAGGGAGAACGACATGGCGAGAGAGCCGGGAGGGAGGGAGCTGCCGCGGTTTCCCATCTAGATGCTGATTGGCTGGCAGCAACCCGGAACAAAGGGCTTGTTCGGTCGGATTCTTGTGTAACGAAACACGTGTGTTTGTGCCCAGTGCCCGCCGTCGTGAGTACAAGCTGCAATTGGAGAGGGGAGGATAATTGTAAGTGTTCAAACCGCACTTTCCGGCGGCTGGAACCACGTGTGACACGCTTCCCGATCCAGCACACCTGTCCGCGATTGGGTTACACGAGTGCGCCTGTCCAGCTCTGTTGATTGTTCCCACAGCCATGTACCTTGAGAGACCCAATAAATAAATGACTTCCCTCGCCCGGCTCGTCCCAGGCGTGTGAATCTCTCACAATCTTCCTGTCCAGTCTCCACGACCCCGTTTTCGCTCCACGACCCTGATTTCGCAGACCCAGCCCATAATATGGTAGCATCGGATATAAGTAGCTCCGACGACCACGTCCGTGCCTTCGGGCTATTCTCTTTGCAGGAGCAGGTCTCTGTTCTCACCGCCCTTCGAAGCAGAATCGGCGTTGCTACACCCCTGCGCCATCGCCCCTGCCCCTGTGACGACTCCGTCCAGTCGCCACATGTCGCGAGGGCTGGGTCGTGCACGCGAGCGAGGAGACTCCCCATCACCACCCCCACTGCGGCTTGCTGGGTTCCCACGATTAATAAAGGGCGATGCCCCAGCACCGGAAGGGCCCAGCAAGACGAGTCTTCTGTTTATCTCGCCTTCCTGTTCGTCCGTTGGGTCCACGTCCCTGAATATACATCTGTTTCGCCCGTACTCGCCGTTGCCTGTTACCCGCCTATCCCGTGCCTCGATAGTCCCATGTTCCGTCCCCCATTCGTTACAACCCCTGCCTCCTCAGTGAAGCCCAAGATCCCACTCCCCGAACCCTTCACCGGTGTTCGGAAGGCTGGAGTAGTCGAGGAGTTCATCCTCTCGAAGAACGAGTACATCGACTACTACCAGCTCGACGATGACGTTGCCGTCCGCAACATCAACATGAACCTCCGTGGCACCGCCAAGTCCTGGTGGCGCTTCTACGCCCAGGGCAAGCAACTCGACAACCTGACCCCGGCCGCCGTCCTGTCCCTCGTCCGCGACACCTTCCTTCCGTCCATGTCACAGATCCCTCTGCCCGCTTGGCTGCACCGTCGCACTTGTGTCACTGTTTGCGTCGCACACTTTCTTTTTCCTTTGTCCTGCGACGCCTTTCCTTTTTCCTTGCTCATATGTTGCACACGCCGCTCTGTGTTCCCTGCATTTGTCATCGACCATGCATTAGTCAGACGCCGTGTCACCCGCATTTGTCAGCCACCGAGCATTTGTCAGACTTTCACATGTTTCTCCGGTTAGCCGCTGCTGCCTGGCTGCTGTCCCGCCGCCTCCGCTGCTTCGCTCCCACTGCGGCAGGCTTCGCCTCCGGGACCGCCAGACAGATAAATAGCCCGCCTTCGCCCGCTCATGTTTCTGGTCATCACCTTCGACCCCAGACACACTTGACTCTAGATCCTAGCCTCGCTAAGATCAATAAAACCCTTCTCTATCTTCTTCTTTTGACTTCCTCTTGATCCCGTGATCTGACATGGTAGCATCGGACGATCCCGCCGTCAATGCCTGCCTCCAGGCCCTTGAGCAACTCTCGCTCGAGGACCGCGCCCTGGTCCTCTCCGCCCTGACCGCCCAGCCGAATCTCCCCACGGTCCCTCCCGGTTTCAAGCGTCCCAAGATCCCGCTCCCCGACGCCTTCACTGGCGAGCGTAAGGCTGCTGTCGTTGACGAGTTTGTCTTCTCAATGACCGAGTACATTGCCTTCCACAGTCTCGATGACGCCACCGCCGTCGCCACCGTCGCTGTCACAGATCGCTCTGCCCGCCTAGCTGCACCGTCGCACTTGTGTCACTGTTTGCGTCGCACACTTTCCTTTTCCTTTGTCCTGTGACGCCTTTCCTTTTTCCTTGCTCTCATGTTGCACACGCCGCTCTGTTTTCCCTGCATTTGTCATCGACCATGCATTAGTCAGACGCTGTGTCACCCGCATTTGTCAGCCACCGAGCATTTGTCAGACTTTCACATGTTTCTCCGGTTAGCCGTTGCTGCCTGGCTGCTGTCCCGCCGCCTCCGCTGCTTCGCCCCCGCTGCGGCAGGCTTCGCCTCCGGGACCGCCAGACAGATAAATAGCCCGCCTTCACCCGCTCATGTTTCTGGTCATCACCTTCGACCCCAGACACACTTGACTCTAGATCCTAGCCTCGCTAAGATCAATAAAACCCTTCTCTATCTTTTTCTTTTGATCTCCTCTTGATCCCGTGATCTGACATGGTAGCATCGGTCGATCCCGCCGTCAATGCCTGTCTCCAGGCCCTTGAACAACTATCGCTCGAGGACCGCGCCCTGGTCCTCTCCGCCCTGACTGCCCAGCCGAATCTCCCCACGGTCCCTCCCGGTTTCAAGCGTCCCAAGATCCCGCTCCCCGACGCCTTCACTGGCGAGCGTAAGGCTGCTGTCGTTGACGAGTTTGTCTTCTCAATGACCGAGTACATTGCCTTCCACAGTCTCGATGACGCCACCGCTGTCGCCACCGTCGCCATGAACCTCAAGGGCAAGGCCAAGACCTGGTGGCGCCTCTGGTCCCAGGGCAAGCAACTCGACAACCTGACCCCGGCCGCCGTCCTGTCCCTCGTCCGCGACACCTTCCTTCCGTCCACCTCGCTGCGCACCACCGAGGATGAGTTCGAAGCACTGCGCCACACCGGCTCCGTCGAGCAGTTCAACTCTCGCTTCCGCGATC